GCGCTGATACACAGACATATCGTATATGTGTAATCACACACCACGCACATAATAGTGAGGTTTAGCTACTCGTTTTACGTGAACGAGTATATTTATATAATTCAATTAGAGATTCGTTTCTCCTTTTTGGTATTTTGTTGTCCGATCGTGTACAAAGGTATAGAAAAACTCAAGTGGTAATTCGGCCCATTGAAAAAAAATCGAGGGGGCGATCAATCACTTTATGTAAAAATCATGTTTCGCTTTAAATGTTCATTAAAACGTGAAGCTTGATCCCCCATATGGCAATACATTCAGGACTATAAGCTAGTTATCTATCCCAGAAGAAGTGAGTAGCTCCCGTGATACTATCATATTCTATCGTATTCGGGGATTCCCCTTAGCCATCCCATATTGTCATACAAGCCTTAAATGGATCTATCACATGATATTCAAAATGGCGGACAACGGTCAGTTGGATTCCTATATGGTCATGTAAGCCTTATATGGATCTAGCACATGGGTACCACGTGATCGAATATGAAGGCTGAACTTTGGGAGATCTCCCCCCCCCTTGTATCTATCCGTATGATCATTTGAGATCAATGAGATCATTTAAGGTATGTCCGTAGGTTCATCAATTTAATGGCATCCTAACTTGAATCTCATGTTATTTTCAGGAACACATTGTATACAGTAATAAAATTCGTTGACAAACGACATGCTTCCATCAGGAAAATCAATACTTATTTTTGAAATACGCGTGTCCTATTTTTTAGTCCACCCTGCATATGTGTATTTAAAGTGCCCGATAAAGTATAAAATGCGCATGCGTCCAGGTGTTGATAAACTATAAATAGCGAAAATCCAGGGTTTGTCACCACAAGGTAAGCCAGGACGTGTTGAGAGAACAGCTAGTGTTGATATTGAATTTATATGTAGCCAGATAAGTTTCCTTATTGAAATTACATATGGTTATTAGCAATACTTTGTAGGTGCTAAATAATAAAATATTTAGAGTATATATGAGAGAAATTGGTCATTTCGAACCTGTTGAAAAGTTTGTGGCTCTCGGCTACACCGGGGAATTTACTTCCATGAGTACACACATAAATGTGGGGTTCCCCAAGAGGTACGCGACAAGGTGACCTGGCATCAAATGTGCGACTAAATGCTACTATTGAGAAGATAAAATAACGAATACGACAATCAGTTATTGCATGTGACAATTCCGAGCCTTCATCTCACTGAAGTATTTTGAAGTGAAAATAGGATTTTTGTTTTGATACATGGATTCAGATGAACGTAACTTTATTCTGACAACTAATCAAAACTGAACAAAATTGATTGTACGTAACAGACAATTTATTGTTTTACAATGTTTTGATTGGCTAAACGAATGAAACCAACAAATTATGACATGTGAAATGACAATTTTGAAATGTAAAATTTAAAAGTGACAAACACAACCTCCCTATCCACTCTTTGGGAGCCCTAGTAAATTAGTAATATGTACATGCAGCAGTGGTAGTGTGCAGCTTATTATCACACTACGCTTTGTATTCTAAAGCCTGTTGTTTGTAATAACACTGTTCACTCAACGTATGTTTTGTGTGTGGGCAGTCAACGATAATCATTGTTTTATCCCGGTTATATGACCTCGGCAATTATAACAAAACCGTACTAAACGAAAAAACGCAAATAAGAGAAAGCTTTCACACACATATAAAAAATGAACTAGTCTAATCCGCCAGTATAAACTCTGTGCTATACGTAGCCGGGTCAGGCGCACACTTTAACAACCTTGCTCAAAATGAAGCAACACAACGTTGTGTTTATGTCATTTTGTTTCAATGAGGTTCGGATAGATGTTTCATTTCATTCCGAACATATGATAGCAAGAATAAAAAAGTGTCTTATGTATTTTCTAAAACAATATAGAGAAAAGTATATGAATTTTTTCGAATTAAATTATTATCATTCAAAAAATGACCATTAAATTGACAATGTGTACAATTTTCAGAATTTTTTGATGACTGGTTTAACAGAACTTGTGTTCAAAAGGTTTACCATATTGATACCAATCCTTTGAGAAATTTCGGTCTTTGCCCCACTTTGAGTCATGTTTTGATTATACAGTATACGTACGGATGACTTGTTTTTTTTAAATAAAAATTGACAAAACTGAATTTATATTTATGGTTTATGGATTATGAAAGCACAATCCTAAGATGCAGAAAGGGGTAATACTCTTTATCTCAGTCATTGATGCTAGTTTAAGTTCTTTCATTCTTTAGAGTTTCAAATATTGAACAAACTAAAAGAAAATTAAAGGAATATTCCTTGCCAGACCCTTTCTCTCTTGATATGGTAGCTATAATCATATATAGTTTCAATATTTAGCAAAACATGAGAAAATGTTTTAATTTGGTCAATATTGATCATTTAAAAATCTAGTGCTTATTTCCAGTGAGCTGCCATCTTTTAAGATTTCTTGCAGGAAGTGATGTCATCAACTCTCAACTTCTATTACCTTGCCCATAACAGTATAGGAAACTAGCACAAAATCACTTCTAGACAAGTGATCATTACTCTCTGTGCAAAAATATTTTCAGGGCTTGTCAACTTAGAATAAAAGAAGAGATTTTCAGAAGGATTAAATAAGATACAAAGTTGAAAAAGAATATTTAGCTGGTTTTGTAATTCTTAATACATGTAATAGCTCCTCACCTAATGCTATATGCAAAGTTGAGAGTCGATGACATCACTTCCTGTGTGAAATTTTAAAAGATGGCAGCTTACTGGAATTGAGCATCACATTTCTAAGTGATCAAATTTGACCATATCAAAACATTTTTGAGTGTTTTGCTAAACATGGCAAGCATGTTATAGCTACCATATGAGGAGAAAGATGGTTTGGCAAGGAATATTCCTTTAATATTCCAATATAACTTAGAAAGTTTTCTCCAAATTAAATGATGTCACTTTTGTGGCTACGCTTCAATGAACAAAACTAGTCGAACAATCGAACACTACGTTAAACAATACGGCATAACACGGTGAACAAATGTCACAAAAGCCAAAATAAGACAATAATATGAATCATAGTTAGTAAGTTTATTTATTTATTCATATGAGTCAGTCTTTAACAATTCAATAAAATATAAAACAAATTAATTACAATTTTACCCAGCCCACCTTGCTGGGCTATGAACTCTTAGTTTGACAAGCGAATATAATGCTTAGATTTATTGTCAATGTAATATCCTTTCGTCTTTTCTGGAGAGTAATTCTGTCTCCATTCCTGCATCATACTGCTGTATATGTCTTGGACTCTCTGATTGACACCTCTATTCGTTTTAAAAAACATTACTTCAAACGGATGTATGTCTATGCCATCGTAATAAGCTCCTTCGAAATATGGATCTCCATTCTTTTTGGTGTTATGTTTACTGCACATTTCATCTGTGCGATGTTTATCCCGAAAATCATGATCTTCCCATTGTTTTAAAAGGGACGCTATGTTAAACCCCTTTTTCAGAACAGCTTGCGACATCTTTATTTCGACATTAAAAGTAACTGCAAGTTTGTCTCTATAACCGCATTTGAGGAGATCTTCTATCAGCGCCAGTCCAGTTTGGCTAGTTACTAAGAACATAGACTGGATATGTACCGGCCATATTTTTGAACAGCAGATACTCGTCCCCACTAGTTTCACATATGAATCTAAAAATTTGGTAAAATATGTTGTCCAGTGTTTATCGTTGGCGTAAGGAGGTATAAATGGTCCCCTGACAGATGCATTTAACAATACAAAATACTTATACCACTTATCCCCTTTCTTATTTCTCATATAATCGAGCCCAACCTTCCAAGCACAAGCATCAAACCCAGAATTTGGTCGAGCAATAACATATGTATTGTTTTGTTCTGGAATGTTAACAGTACAATTGTATCCATTGACTACAATGACGTAATCAACATCGTAACTATGGTGTTTGCCGTTTATTGCAAAATCGATGAAAAATTGCAAATTGCTCTTGCTATCATATCTATCGTATGCGATTTCGGAATATGCATAGACAACTAATATTCTTTCAGAAGCTGGAGCCATCTTGGCCATTGGTATTGGTGGGTTGGTCATCGCTACTGATGGGAATGTCATTAGTTCGTCAGTTTTTTGGACCGATTTGGTAGAGTCGGACTGACGATGACTACCTTAAAGTATACAAACATAGAATAATGTATAAAGACTTAGGGGCGTCGCATGAGCCAGGCAAGAGTTTGGGTCTCCAAACCAGTTTACAGCATATATTTTCCAGACGTAAATGTTTCAACTTAAACTGTGAATATACAGTATGTAAGCTACCTAAGCTTGAGTGTGTCTCCCCTGAAATGTTGCTTCGTATTAAATTCAGCATTACTCAGTGGCGTAGCTACGTGTACGCCAAGTACGCCCAGGCGTACTCTCAAATTTTAAGGAAAAATAAAATTTACCTGATTAATTGTGATGAAAAATAAATATTTTACCAAGAGATAGAAATCGATAGGAGACTATTCAACAGACCCCCAGCCTCTTTACCCCGATGTCTACACGTGTTTGGTCCAGCTGCTAACATTGCCAGTATCCACTTGCGTGGCTGAACGAAGCTTTAGCAGTTTGAAACGCATTAAGTCATACTTGCGTTCCACAATGAACGAGGAAAGACTTTCTTCCTTGGCCATGGTACATATCCATAGGGAACAGGATATAAACATTGATACTGTTATTGACATGTTCGCAAATGCAAAAAACAGAAAGATAGAATTTATTCTATAGAATCACGTACAGATTGTTAAGATCCGAAATGGAGTTGAGACGGTCGTGTAACTGTTCTTTTATTGTTAATCATCTTGTGAGCTAGATAAAAACAAACACAGAAAAAATGATAATATTTCATGGAAAATGACCACAAAAGCTTAAAACAATGAGCCTCATACACACAGTTTTAGGTAGCCTAAAAAATAAAATCGCCTTGATAGACGGCTTCGATCGCCGATGGCATGATTAAATAGAATCTGTCTATTTTGTTTCCCGAATATTATCTGTTAATACAGTTAGGCTAATTCAATCCCTTTAAAAAGCTATGTCAAAATAATCAAACAATACATATTTCCTTCATTGAATTAAGAGTGTTTAGTGTGTCCCCTATCTTCTGAACACCCGTGATCTTCCTATTTTATGGAACCATCGTTTTGTTAATTTTGATAAAACCGGGAAATCATACGGGCGTACACTCGCAAAATGGGCTAGCTACGCCTCTGTTACTGGCCTAATAATTAGGCCTACAAGATCAAATGTTATGCCCCAGTTGTTACATTCTAGGTAATACTTACTTTTAATGGGAGGTCCTTTGAGAAACCGCCATATCAAGAGAATGCAAATCACTCCTCCGAGGCCTAGTCTATAGCACTTTTTCCTCATGTTGTTGATGCAAGCACCACCTGAAAAATTACATAGGCTGATAATTAAGAGAGCATCGATGTTCTGTGTGAAAAAGTTCCCCACTTTGGTGGGAATCGAACCCACAACCTTCCTATTGCATGTCAGATTCTCTACAATTTGAGTTACAGAGCAAATATCTTGCTAAAAGCCTCTGTGACTCCCGCCCCCCCCCCCCCTCTACTTGACTAAACACCTTCTCACTCAAGTGTGCATGTTTATGGTCCTGAAATACTCTACTTTAAAAGTCATGTCAACGAAATTTAGAGTTGAATTTGTAAAAATGAAAAAGCAACTGAGTAATTGTAAATGTTAAGATATATGGAGTCTTGTCGTGACTATAAAATTCGAAATCAAACAGCTGCCATTTTTTCACTTCGTCTTTCCAAACGCAAAATTAAAAACACAAGGAAGTGATTAAAATAATAGCCAATGCGAGGCGTCTTTAGATCAAGTCATATCCTTCAAGATTTGATGCATATGGTTAGCATATTTCTTACCTCAAATCGTTTCAGTTGTTTTTAAGCCATGCTTCAAATGTAGTCGTAGACGCTTACATCGATGTATCAACGTTAGCATACATATAGGTATGGTAACAGTACTTTAATAGTTGGAAATATACAATAATGTAAAATACCTGAATGATTTCATCAATCTTAATTACAACCACATAAACAAATTAATTTGTATTTCATACATTATTTAATTGGTTATATCTGGCTCGGGGCTCTCCGAAAGTATATGTTAAGTATAATTTGGATATTTTTATCAAACTGATCGTATGCTATTTGGTATGATCTCTCCGTTCCCGGAGGCGATGACGAAATTAGAAATTAAAAAATAATAAAGCTCATTTTTGTGCCTCATAGCAGCCCTAAAACAGTGTGTGTTTGTATGAAAGCAGTTAACGTCGAAGAGGGGAGAAACCCCCATCTTTCTTCATCAAGCTTCGGGCTTGATTGGGCATTGGAATCGACGATGACTGGTACGCAAGAGACGCAATATGTCTGTCGTTGCTAAAGCTCTGGGGGTTTCTCTACTCTTCAATTAACACTAAATACGTTTCCACGTGTAACGACGTAGATGTTTTAAATACACCATTGCTTATGTTTGATTTACATTTGGACGGTGTGGGTGGTCCCCGGGAATGGTCATAGTATGGCGCAAGTGAAAATGCTGATCAGAGAGCGGTTGGCTTCAAAATAAACTCGTCTGATTTGTATTGCTCATGAAAAGAAATATTTCCTGAAGTAATTACCTCAGTCACATTCGTCCTATGGCAAACGTGTGGCGGCCGTAGGTTCCCAAAATCGATAGAAAATCATATAATCGAACACATAGCCTTGGGTAAGGGTGAGTGCGTGTTTGGTGTATCTTGTCAATATTATAGCGGCCTGTCACTGCTTGTGGCCCCGAAATAGGGTAAGGGCTTTACCTCCAATGTCATGCAAAGAAGTGGGGATATCTGACTGCTGCCGTGAAACAGTGTTTAGGCTATAGACTATGCATAGGGAACTGACATTACATCAAACTTTCGATTGAAACACTTTGAGTCATGTTTTGATTATACAGTATACGTACGGATGACTTGTTTTTTTTAAATAAAAATTGACAAAACTGAATTTATATTTATGGTTTATGGATTATGAAAGCACAATCCTAAGATGCAGAAAGGGGTAATACTCTTTATCTCAGTCATTGATGCTAGTTTAAGTTCTTTCATTCTTTAGAGTTTCAAATATTGAACAAACTAAAAGAAAATTAAAGGAATATTCCTTGCCAGACCCTTTCTCTCTTGATATGGTAGCTATAATCATATATAGTTTCAATATTTAGCAAAACATGAGAAAATGTTTTAATTTGGTCAATATTGATCATTTAAAAATCTAGTGCTTATTTCCAGTGAGCTGCCATCTTTTAAGATTTCTTGCAGGAAGTGATGTCATCAACTCTCAACTTCTATTACCTTGCCCATAACAGTATAGGAAACTAGCACAAAATCACTTCTAGACAAGTGATCATTACTCTCTGTGCAAAAATATTTTCAGGGCTTGTCAACTTAGAATAAAAGAAGAGATTTTCAGAAGGATTAAATAAGATACAAAGTTGAAAAAGAATATTTAGCTGGTTTTGTAATTCTTAATACATGTAATAGCTCCTCACCTAATGCTATATGCAAAGTTGAGAGTCGATGACATCACTTCCTGTGTGAAATTTTAAAAGATGGCAGCTTACTGGAATTGAGCATCACATTTCTAAGTGATCAAATTTGACCATATCAAAACATTTTTGAGTGTTTTGCTAAACATGGCAAGCATGTTATAGCTACCATATGAGGAGAAAGATGGTTTGGCAAGGAATATTCCTTTAATATTCCAATATAACTTAGAAAGTTTTCTCCAAATTAAATGATGTCACTTTTGTGGCTACGCTTCAATGAACAAAACTAGTCGAACAATCGAACACTACGTTAAACAATACGGCATAACACGGTGAACAAATGTCACAAAAGCCAAAATAAGACAATAATATGAATCATAGTTAGTAAGTTTATTTATTTATTCATATGAGTCAGTCTTTAACAATTCAATAAAATATAAAACAAATTAATTACAATTTTACCCAGCCCACCTTGCTGGGCTATGAACTCTTAGTTTGACAAGCGAATATAATGCTTAGATTTATTGTCAATGTAATATCCTTTCGTCTTTTCTGGAGAGTAATTCTGTCTCCATTCCTGCATCATACTGCTGTATATGTCTTGGACTCTCTGATTGACACCTCTATTCGTTTTAAAAAACATTACTTCAAACGGATGTATGTCTATGCCATCGTAATAAGCTCCTTCGAAATATGGATCTCCATTCTTTTTGGTGTTATGTTTACTGCACATTTCATCTGTGCGATGTTTATCCCGAAAATCATGATCTTCCCATTGTTTTAAAAGGGACGCTATGTTAAACCCCTTTTTCAGAACAGCTTGCGACATCTTTATTTCGACATTAAAAGTAACTGCAAGTTTGTCTCTATAACCGCATTTGAGGAGATCTTCTATCAGCGCCAGTCCAGTTTGGCTAGTTACTAAGAACATAGACTGGATATGTACCGGCCATATTTTTGAACAGCAGATACTCGTCCCCACTAGTTTCACATATGAATCTAAAAATTTGGTAAAATATGTTGTCCAGTGTTTATCGTTGGCGTAAGGAGGTATAAATGGTCCCCTGACAGATGCATTTAACAATACAAAATACTTATACCACTTATCCCCTTTCTTATTTCTCATATAATCGAGCCCAACCTTCCAAGCACAAGCATCAAACCCAGAATTTGGTCGAGCAATAACATATGTATTGTTTTGTTCTGGAATGTTAACAGTACAATTGTATCCATTGACTACAATGACGTAATTAACATCGTAACTATGGTGTTTGCCGTTTATTGCAAAATCGATGAAAAATTGCAAATTGCTCTTGCTATCATATCTATCGTATGCGATTTCGGAATATGCATAGACAACTAATATTCTTTCAGAAGCTGGAGCCATCTTGGCCATTGGTATTGGTGGGTTGGTCATCGCTACTGATGGGAATGTCATTAGTTCGTCAGTTTTTTGGACCGATTTGGTAGAGTCGGACTGACGATGACTACCTTAAAGTATACAAACATAGAATAATGTATAAAGACTTAGGGGCGTCGCATGAGCCAGGCAAGAGTTTGGGTCTCCAAACCAGTTTACAGCATATATTTTCCAGACGTAAATGTTTCAACTTAAACTGTGAATATACAGTATGTAAGCTACCTAAGCTTGAGTGTGTCTCCCCTGAAATGTTGCTTCGTATTAAATTCAGCATTACTCAGTGGCGTAGCTACGTGTACGCCAAGTACATTGACATGTTCGCAAATGCAAAAAACAGAAAGATAGAATTTATTCTATAGAATCACGTACAGATTGTTAAGATCCGAAATGGAGTTGAGACGGTCGTGTAACTGTTCTTTTATTGTTAATCATCTTGTGAGCTAGATAAAAACAAACACAGAAAAAATGATAATATTTCATGGAAAATGACCACAAAAGCTTAAAACAATGAGCCTCATACACACAGTTTTAGGTAGCCTAAAAAATAAAATCGCCTTGATAGACGGCTTCGATCGCCGATGGCATGATTAAATAGAATCTGTCTATTTTGTTTCCCGAATATTATCTGTTAATACAGTTAGGCTAATTCAATCCCTTTAAAAAGCTATGTCAAAATAATCAAACAATACATATTTCCTTCATTGAATTAAGAGTGTTTAGTGTGTCCCCTATCTTCTGAACACCCGTGATCTTCCTATTTTATGGAACCATCGTTTTGTTAATTTTGATAAAACCGGGAAATCATACGGGCGTACACTCGCAAAATGGGCTAGCTACGCCTCTGTTACTGGCCTAATAATTAGGCCTACAAGATCAAATGTTATGCCCCAGTTGTTACATTCTAGGTAATACTTACTTTTAATGGGAGGTCCTTTGAGAAACCGCCATATCAAGAGAATGCAAATCACTCCTCCGAGGCCTAGTCTATAGCACTTTTTCCTCATGTTGTTGATGCAAGCACCACCTGAAAAATTACATAGGCTGATAATTAAGAGAGCATCGATGTTCTGTGTGAAAAAGTTCCCCACTTTGGTGGGAATCGAACCCACAACCTTCCTATTGCATGTCAGATTCTCTACAATTTGAGTTACAGAGCAAATATCTTGCTAAAAGCCTCTGTGACTCCCGCCCCCCCCCCCCTCTACTTGACTAAACACCTTCTCACTCAAGTGTGCATGTTTATGGTCCTGAAATACTCTACTTTAAAAGTCATGTCAACGAAATTTAGAGTTGAATTTGTAAAAATGAAAAAGCAACTGAGTAATTGTAAATGTTAAGATATATGGAGTCTTGTCGTGACTATAAAATTCGAAATCAAACAGCTGCCATTTTTTCACTTCGTCTTTCCAAACGCAAAATTAAAAACACAAGGAAGTGATTAAAATAATAGCCAATGCGAGGCGTCTTTAGATCAAGTCATATCCTTCAAGATTTGATGCATATGGTTAGCATATTTCTTACCTCAAATCGTTTCAGTTGTTTTTAAGCCATGCTTCAAATGTAGTCGTAGACGCTTACATCGATGTATCAACGTTAGCATACATATAGGTATGGTAACAGTACTTTAATAGTTGGAAATATACAATAATGTAAAATACCTGAATGATTTCATCAATCTTAATTACAACCACATAAACAAATTAATTTGTATTTCATACATTATTTAATTGGTTATATCTGGCTCGGGGCTCTCCGAAAGTATATGTTAAGTATAATTTGGATATTTTTATCAAACTGATCGTATGCTATTTGGTATGATCTCTCCGTTCCCGGAGGCGATGACGAAATTAGAAATTAAAAAATAATAAAGCTCATTTTTGTGCCTCATAGCAGCCCTAAAACAGTGTGTGTTTGTATGAAAGCAGTTAACGTCGAAGAGGGGAGAAACCCCCATCTTTCTTCATCAAGCTTCGGGCTTGATTGGGCATTGGAATCGACGATGACTGGTACGCAAGAGACGCAATATGTCTGTCGTTGCTAAAGCTCTGGGGGTTTCTCTACTCTTCAATTAACACTAAATACGTTTCCACGTGTAACGACGTAGATGTTTTAAATACACCATTGCTTATGTTTGATTTACATTTGGACGGTGTGGGTGGTCCCCGGGAATGGTCATAGTATGGCGCAAGTGAAAATGCTGATCAGAGAGCGGTTGGCTTCAAAATAAACTCGTCTGATTTGTATTGCTCATGAAAAGAAATATTTCCTGAAGTAATTACCTCAGTCACATTCGTCCTATGGCAAACGTGTGGCGGCCGTAGGTTCCCAAAATCGATAGAAAATCATATAATCGAACACATAGCCTTGGGTAAGGGTGAGTGCGTGTTTGGTGTATCTTGTCAATATTATAGCGGCCTGTCACTGCTTGTGGCCCCGAAATAGGGTAAGGGCTTTACCTCCAATGTCATGCAAAGAAGTGGGGATATCTGACTGCTGCCGTGAAACAGTGTTTAGGCTATAGACTATGCATAGGGAACTGACATTACATCAAACTTTCGATTGAAACACGGTTGTATATGAAGCTTCAAGTGTTCTTGGCATCTGCGTCAAGAGATGAGTGTTAAAATTGAGTGAACGAAATAATTAAAATGATATATGTATATGACTGTCTCATACATACATTTATTCATATAAACTAAAATGTTTCCCGTTGACGAATTGCAGGTCCCCGGTTGTGCGACTCGTGCACCGTGAACCCTAGAATATATAAATATATTAAGACTAGGTATAAATTTCAGGAAAACGCCTCAATTTTGAAAAATGAGCCTTTTTGAAAAAATGGGCCTTAATTTTAGAATATGTGTCAACATTTCCAAAAATAGGGTCTAAAATTTCAAAAGAGGGCCAACATTTTAGGGAAACACTCATTTCCCAGCAAAGATATTTTTGGCACCTCTATTTTGGATTTCCAGAACTTATATAAAATAAAATATGAGAAGCAAATCTTGAGGCAGTATAAAATTGTGAAATTTTAGGCCACTAAAAACCAAAAATCGGGCCCAAATTTTCAAAATTTAAAAAAGGCCAAATTTTTGAGGCCCTGCACAATTTTTGCTATAAAACCTTTTTGTCTTCATGGCGTGCAATCATCGTGCAATGTCGTAGTAGTATTTTTTCCATATAAAAATGTAGTGTCATCTTTATCTATTGAAAGTTACTCGGCTCCTGGGGCATCTTGTCTTGTGGCACCAAGCTATCATTTCCTCTTAGAGTAATAGTAGTACCCTTGCCTTGCCCTTAAACAAGTTCTCACTAATCCCCAGTCACACAAAACAAGTTCTTGGAACGTCCTCTCTCGTTTTAAAAATCGTAAAACGTGATGTGGTCACATCTTTCAGAACTGAACGTCAGAATGAATTTTAACAAACTCGGATTTCTGGAGCATTTTCCCGTCTCAATACGTCCATGCCGTTCATGAAGACCGTAAATGTTGTAACTACTGCGGCCAATCCGTCCGCATACAGTTGAAGCTTAAAAAGCAAAATCTACAATGCTTAAGAAAGTCTGAGTATACAATTTCAAAAATTGTCGTTGTCCCCATTATAACAATACATTGCCGAAGTCAAATTTTACGAGTAGCCAGATATCTACAGTCTTACTTCAAGTTGCCACTTTCTGACGTTGACTTGAATAATTGTTTTCAAGCTCACTAACAGTTCCCCGTTGCCATGGAGTTGAGGAGTCTTCTAAAAGCATCCTTGAAATCCTTGCTCCTGACCGCATAGATAATCGGATTAACAAACGAATTTCCAACTAGAAAAAGTTCGAAAATGTTATATATGTGTCCAAACCATTTCAGGTTTATAGTTTCTTTGTCAAGAAACTTATGGACAAACATTAGCGTAAGTAACGGTGCCCAAAATATGTAAAGAATTCCGTTAACTAGAGCCATCGTTTTCACCAATTTGTTGTCCTTTGCTGTTGTACTAGACGAGGCGCCAACGCTTACTTCCAAATTTGCGATCTCATTCCTTTGTTTTCGCGCTATTAGGAATATTTTGAAATATAGAACATTAATAATTACCACAGCAACGACTAAGGTTGACGTTTCGATGATAAGATAAGGTGTTTTCGCGACATTTACAGGTTTACACATTTTTGTTGAATCGTAAGTGTTCCAAATAAATACACTACAATGTAGAATTGAATTGGCAGTCCAGATGACGATAACAACAACGATCAGCCTAAACTTGGTGATGATCCTTGGATAGGAAAGAGCGTGCACGATTTTGATGTATCGCTCTACAGCGATGGCCAAAAGCGTCTCCAAGGAAACGGAACAAGCGAGCGATATAAATTCCAGACAACTAACGCACAATGCTTCCACATTGTCCGACCCTAGAGGGATGATAGCACCCCAAATGATGCATGGGATGAAAATGACGCCTGTAAACATATCACAAAGTGAAAGATTAAACACTAAAAGATTCGTCATGTTTCTTAGGCCTGGCGTTGTTGCTATAGCAACCAAGACTAATCCGTTTCCAAACCATATCGCTAACACCAAAATATACCCTATAGCTGCATATATGCTTGCTACTGTTCTGTTGAATCCATTTCCAGAGACAAACACCTGGTCCAAGCTACTGTCATTGGAAAACGACATCGCTCCCTAAGTGCTCAGAAGGAAGTAAGGACTGTCTAGTACTGTCGGAGAATCTGAATTAGATCATGTATAATGTTACATTTATTCAGTGTATGAATCCTGTATATAATCACCAAAAATGATATGACAAAACTCATGTTTCCAATGTATTAATTGCAATAACATGTTAGTTAATATCCACTAATGGATTACACGTTAAACGCTTGTTTCCTCTCATATTCAAGTTTATATAATCCCAGTAATGTATTCCCTGTAATTAAAGTTGGAGCAAATGATAAATGATCTACCAAAAATAATCAACAGATTTGGTTTTACGTCCCACATATCATTTGATATGATCCCACTTATTTGTCCCAAGTAATGAAGTAGAAGCAAATGAAAGAGTAAATGAGCTGATGAACGGATGTCTAATGTTGAAAGCAGACGCTCGATGATCGGACAAAATGAACGCATGGGGAGTAGCTTATAGCCAATTTATGCTAGAACAAAAGCTGGAATTTCTATGGAAAGAAAATTAATTTAATACTATTGAATTGCTAAATGAAAAGGCGCGAGTGAAAAAATTGCGAAATAAAGTATCATGCCCCATCCCCCCCCCCTTCGTTCAATTTTATTTATTTTCCATTGTTTTTATGTAATGTATGGAACATTTTGAGATGATAATGTGACTTACAAGTATTTATTACAGGTCGCTTACATCCCCGTCAATAGAACGTCTTTGAAAAGGACAGTGGAGATTGTCAAGTTTAATACATTTAATCATCATTGCCAATGGGTGAAGTCTTTAATAGCTCAGTTAAGAATTGGTATACTTCCATTAGCAATAGAAACGGGGGAGTTACCCAACCGAAAACCCCAGTAAACAAAAGACAATGCCAAATTTGTATCTCAAATGATATTGAAAATGAATCACATTTTGTATTTACATGTTCAAGGTATTCAGCAGCTAGAAAGTCTTTTCTTCAGGAAATCAAAGGCACTTTCTTTAAAGATATCTTTGAAAATAAAAAATATATTAAATGTTTTGGAAAGTATTGCAAAAAATATTCTATATAAGGAAAAACGTTTTACTTAAAAGTCAAAATCAATAACGATATTGAACTGAATTGCACTAATTTTATATTTGTATTTGTATAAAATGTAACTATATTAATGTAAAATGTGTCTCATAAGCCAAGGTAGGGCTGGCTATTTTAGATAGGTGACACTTAAATAAACAAATGAATGAAAAAATAAATAAATAATACATCATTTAGTATCAAACATCTCCATTCGTATGAACACCTTATCGATCCTCTATTCATATGAACACCTGATAGTCTCCTCCATTTAATATATGAACACACGATAATACCCGTCCATTCAAATGAACACCTTATAAAATCCTGCATTCATATGAACGCCTGATGGAATCCTTCATTCATGTGAACGCCTGGTAGACTCCTAAATTTATATGAACACCATTTTGACCCTATGAAAGCCTGATATATTCCTTTAATTCAGTTGAATACCTGATAAACCATTCCATTCAATGAACACTTGATAGACCCCTCCATTCATATGAACACCTAATAGACCCCTCCATTCATATGAACACTTGATAGACCCCTCCATTCATATGAACACCTGATAGACCCCTCCATTCATATGAACACCTGATAGACCCCTCCATTCATATGAACACCTGATAGACTCCTTCATTCATATGAACACTTGATATGCCTCCTCCATTCATATGAACACTTGATAGACCCCTCCATTCATATGAACACCTGATAGACCCCTCCATTCATATGAACACCTGATAGACCCCTCCATTCATATGAACACCTGATAGACTCCTTCATTCATATGAACACTTGATATGCCTCCTCCATTCATATGAACACTTGATAGACCCCTCCATTCATATGAACACTTGATAGACCCCTCCATTCATATGAACACTTGATAGACCCATCCATGCATATGAACACCTGATAGACCACTCCATTCATATGAACACTTGATAGACCACTCCATTCACATGAACACCTGATAAACCCCTCCATTCATATGAACACTTGATAGACCCCTCCATTCATATGAACACTTGATAGTCTCCTTCATTCATATGAACACTTGATAGACCCCTCCATTCATATGAACACTTGATAGACCACTCCATTCATATGAACACCTGATAGACCCCTCCATTCATATGAACACTTGATAGACCCCTCCATTCATATGAACACTTGATAGTCTCCTTCATTCATATGAACACTTGATAGACCCCTCCATTCATATGAACACTTGATAGACCCCTCCATTCTCATGAACACTTGATAGACCCCTCCATTCATATGAACACCTAATAGACGCCTCCATTCATATGAACACTTGATAGACCCCTCCATTCATATGAACACCTGATAGACCCCTCCATTCATATGAACACCTGATAGACCCCTCCATTCATATGAACACCTGATAGACTCCTTCATTCATATGAACACTTGATATGCCTCCTCCATTCATATGAACACTTGATAGACCCCTCCATTCATATGAACACTTGATAGACCCCTCCATTCATATGAACACTTGATAGACCCATCCATGCATATGAACACCTGATAGACCACTCCATTCATATGAACACTTGATAGACCACTCCATTCATATGAACACCTGATAGACCCCTCCATTCATATGAACACTTGATAGACCCCTCCATGCATATGAACACCTGATAGACCACTCCATTCATATGAACACTTGATAGACCACTCCATTCATATGAACACCTGATAGACCCCTCCATTCATATGAACACTTGATAGACCCCTCCATTCATATGAACACTTGATAGTCTCCTTCATTCATATGAACACTTGATAGACCCCTCCATTCATATGAACACTTGATAGACCCCTCCATTCTCATGAACACTTGATAGACCCCTCCATTCATATGAACACCTGATAGACCCCTCCATTCATATGAACACTTGATAGACCCCTTCATTCATATGAACACTTGATAGACCCCTCCATTCATATGAACACTTGATAGACCCTTTCATTCATATGAACACCTGATAGACCCATCCATGCATATGAACACCTGATAGACCCCTCCATTCATATGAACACTTGATAGACTCCTTTATTCATATGAACACTTGATAGACTCCTTTATTCATATGAACACTTGATAGACCCCTCCATTCATATGAACACCTGATAGACCCCTCCATTCATATGAACACTTGATAGACCCCTCCATTCATATGAACACCTGATAGACCCCTCCATTCATATGAACACTTGATTGACCCCTCCATTCTCATGAACACTTGATAGACCCCTCCATTCATATGAACATCTGATAGACCCCTCCATTCATATGAACACCTGATAGACCTCTCCATTCATATGAACACATGATAGACCCCTCCATTCATATGAACACCTGATAGACCCCTCCATTCATATGAACACTTGGTAGACCCCTCCATTCATATGAACACCTGATAGACCTCTCCATTTATATGAACACCTGCTAGACCCTTTCATTCACATGAACACCTGATAGACCCCTCCATTCATATGAACACCTGATAGACCCCTCCATTCATATGACCACCTGATAGACCCCTCCATTCATATTAACACTTGATAGACCCCAGTTTCTTAACAATCCTATCAGTATTAAGTTATAAAATAAGATCTTTGATTAATGAATTCATACACATCTGACATGTGATAGACCCCTTCATTTATATGAACACTTGATAGACCCCTCCATATGTGAAAAGAATGAAGGGAAGCAAAATTAAGTATATATAATAAAAAATATTTATTTCAGAAGTTTTGCACAAGACACTTAGAGAGTAAGCATTGCACAACATACTTTATACAAGGCATCTATCAAACATCCCAAAATTAATGAAAATCAAGGTGAATAAAAGTACATGTAGTATTGGAGATCAAGGGGTTCACCTATTCACAACATTGCAAACAACACAAATTAAATAGAGTAGAAGGGTGTTTTCGAAAAACTTACATACAAACTTGCATGTACATTAAAACTTACATGTACGTTAAAACTTACATGTACATTAAAACTATAAAACTTACATGTACATTAAACAATGCATGAAAACACAATATTGCACAAGATAAACAATAGAATGCTTAGAATCGTTTACAATGTTCTATCAACCAAAATAGGGAAAATGAATTTTGTGGATATACACACCACAGTACAAAATTCTAAGAAATTTACATTTAGAGAAATATTTTCAAATTGCCATATTTGACAAAGCAAAGCTTGCTGAATACGACTCAAGTTACAGTTTATAAATAACCACTTGCCAACCCCTCGACAGATTCAAATAAAGATCCTCATCAGGGGTTTCATTAGCAGCAGGAAATTTTCTCCGGTTGTTTTCACAAAATCGCCTGATGTTTTTAGGGACTTTTCAACTTTACAATGTTACATTTATGATTTCCATTAATATTGCCTGTTGTTTTCATTTATTTAGGCTGTTGTGAGAAATTCTAGTAAAACCCCTGCTCATAATGTCCTGCCTTTGGTAGATGAAGCAGAGACTATCGGTCTACTATAGTAGTTCCCAAAAAAATATTTAACAAGATCTACTGAAATATGGCCCCTTTAAATTATCAGAGTTAATAGCCCTGGCCCATATTTCATACTTAACAGTAGGGTCAGAATCTGGTATGCTAAAATCAGTTTTTGTGATGATATAGGCAATTGATTTACTCCCAGTTGATGATTTTGTCTCAATCTGAAGTTCATACTTGAATATTGTTGAGAGAGGGAGGTATTGTAACTGCCAAGGTGGCTCAATTGTTATGTGTACTTTATTGTTTCTCCTGTCACAGTGAAGTTCCTGAACTGGTCCAGGAATGTATCTATTATATGTTGGTGAAGAGTGAACTTTATTGTTTGAATTATCACCTTCCATATTGGGTTTAATTATTTCTAGAATTTCTTGTGTGTTTACATAAGTGTCTTGGTAGATACGGTATAACCAATGAGGATTATCGCAGCATAGATGCCGTGGCACTGTCAGTGAACTTTTTATTATATCTTGTGTGACGTTGTCAAGGTGATTTATTCCACCTTCCCAGGGTTCCCTGTCAGGGTATGTCACTGTCTTTGCAGGGTTTGAATTTTCCCACGATTTATAATTCAAATTCATCCCTGGGATTTCAACAAGATTTTTATAGGGGGTGTAATCACTTGCTGGAACAGCGTAAGGGAATAATTCCAACAGAAGAGATCCAGGGGGGAGGAACATTGAAAGAACTAACAGCGATCCATGCATTCCAATAAGAACTTTTGCGACTGATATCGCTTCGATAATCTGTTTAATTGAATGAGTTTCAACACTCAAAGAAATGACTTTCATTCGGAAAGTTGTCACCAAATTCTGAATCAATTCATTTTCATTCAAAATCTTTCTGTTGAATTTTCTACTGATTAATACAAGGTAATCGGACACTCTTGGTTTTATATCAAGTTGCGTTTTCACAAAATTTGTAAACTGCTTTATTTCAACAGAAGTTACATGATTTCCTGATGGTCCTTGAGGTTCGTTAAATCCATACTGGTACCATGTGGTAGATTTAGCAAGTCCTATGTATGCATGTTCGAAGCATACCATGGATTTCGTTTGTGACAAATTCCTTCTGTAAATAATCTCCCGATTTGTGAAGATGCTATATAGTTCATTTGACCATTCAATATCAACACCATGGTGATCGATAAACACAATATTAGTGCCTAAAAATGTTTCATTTTTATAGCTTGTGTTTGTCGCGAGAGCTAGAGAGTTGAATAATGGAAGTAAATCATCGTGAAAAATATGCATATGGTTATCAGGTTTAAATCTTTTAAATAACAGGGAATCTCCGGAAGTGAAATCCACATCAATGTTGCTCACTGCTGTTGACGGTAAATCAATGTAGTTGAAATATCCCAAGGAGTGATTCTTGATGGATATCGTCTCTAATAATGTTGGACTATATCTATCACTAGGTAATCCAAAATACACACTATTTTCACTATGTAAGAACACAAATTCATCATGGTTAGGCATATAGCAGAGATTCTTGAAGTGACAAAGGCGATTACTGTGTTTGTCGCCACTACACCAGACTGAGGATCCTTCGTACTGTAAAATCAAATTCTTTTTTTCTATACCGTCATCTTCATTAATGCAATATTGTGTATCATCCTCTGCTTCATTAGCATCATTGCTATCATTTTTAGTTCTTACAGTTAGGAATTCAGAAATGAAATTTTCAATATCGGATGAAAAATTCTTCGACGACTCATATTTCAACAAAAGTTTCCGAGTTTCTTCCTTGAGCTCTTTATATTGAGTCAAAGTCTCATGGTAACCTTGACGTAAATCTCCATACCGTTTTGAGACCAAACACACTGCGATAATCAGCACAAAGTTGAGATTCCAACTGAGCTTTGGAACCCTTTCAATTGACATCTTGGTCTGAAAAACAAATAAAAGCAAACACGATTTAGTTATTATAATAATCAGGCGTATGTTTACCTTCTAAATTAGTAACTTGTCAAAATATTATCTTTTTAGAAGTTTAATGGGCGATAATGGGTGAAAAATAAGAAATCCCAAGTTTTGACTTATTAGGTATGAAAACTATGAATGATAATCGATCATGTTTGATTACTATATGGAATTGAAATGCGTATACATAATATTACCTACTCTGCCAGTAAAACTTAGCTTGAATACCAGTAAAATACCAGTAATTTAGTTTTTAATTTTTCAACACCGGAAGTCAAAGTCAGAACGGGAACTGACCAGAACGAAATTATTGGAATTCATTTGATATAGAATGTATTAAAAAATAAAACTACTCATCAAATATATAAGAAAAAATTTATTTTGAATCAATTTTTTTCAAATAATATAAATAACTCCATTTTATTTCTATAATGGGTATAGGTCTGATAGTTTTGTTTCGTTTCGTTCCCTTTTAGTCATACTATACAAGCTGCAGATTTTACTACCTACTCTTTTAAAACTCGCAGACACTTTAGTCTAGCATGGCGAGGATGGCACGAGGCCCCTCTTGGTTTAAATCAATTCTTATGCATTTTTATGATTCAAAATGAGCAAATATTATATTCATGTGCACTGTTGGTCAATGTGTTACGGTTTTGGTAGCCCTTGCAGATATATTCCCTGAATTATTGTCACCTTTATATTTAACATGGCGGGGATGGTACGAGGCCCCTCCTGGTTTTAATCAATTCTTATACATTTTCATGATTCAAAATGAGCAAATATTATATTCATGTGCACTGTTGGTCAATGTGTTACGGTTTTGGTAGCCCTTGCAGATATATTCCCTGAATTATTGTCACCTTTATATTTAACATGGCGGGGATGGTACGAGGCCCCTCCTGGTTTTAATCAATTCTTATACATTTTCATGATTCAAAATGAGCAAATATTATTTTCATATGCACAGTTGGTCAATGTGTTACCATTTTGGTAGCCCTAACAGATATATTCCCTAAATTATTGTCATTTTATATTTAACATTGCGAGGATGGTACGAGGCCCCTCCTGGTTTTAATCAATTCTTATACATTTTCATGATTCAAAATGAGCAAATATTATGTTTATATGCACTGTTGGTCAATGTGTTACGGTTTTGGTAGCCCTTGCAGATATATTCCCTGAATTATTGTCACCTTTATATTTAACATGGCGGGGATGGTACGAGGCCCCTCCTGGTTTTAATCCATTCTTGTGCATTTTTATGATTCAAAATGAGCAAATATTATATTCATATGCACAGTTGGTCAATGTGTTACCATTTTGGTAGCCCTTGCAGATATATTCCCTAAATTATTGTCACCTTTATATTTAACATGGCGAGGATGGCACGAGGCCCCTCCTGGTTTTAATCAATTCTTATGCATTTTTATGATTCAAAATGAGCAAATATTATAATCATATGCACAGTTTGTAAATGTGTTACCATTTTGGTAGCCCTTGCATATATATTCCCTAACTTATTGTCACCTTTATATTTAATATGGCGGGGATGGTACGAGGCCCCTCCTCCTTTAAATCAATTCTTATACATTTTCATGATTCAAAATGAGCAAATATTATGTTTATATGCACTGTTGGTCAATGTGTTACGGTTTTGGTAGCCCTTGCAGATATATTCCCTGAATTATTGTCACCTTTATATTTAACATGGCGGGGATGGTACGAGGCCCCTCCTGGTTTTAATCAATTCTTATACATTTTCATGATTCAAAATGAGCAAATATTATATTCATATGCACAGTTGGTCAATGTGTTACCATTTTGGTAGCCCTTGCATATATATTCCCTAAATTATTGTCACCTTTATATTTAACATGGCGAGGATGGCACGAGGCCCCTCCTGGTTTTAATCAATTCTTATGCATTTTTATGATTCAAAATGAGCAAATATTATATTCATATGCACAGTTTGTCAATGTGTTACCATTTTGGTAGCCCTTGCAGATATATTCCCTGAATTATTGTCACCTTTATATTTAACATGGCGGGGATGGTACGAGGCCCCTCCTGGTTTTAATCAATTCTTATACATTTTCATGATTCAAAATGAGCAAATATTATATTCATATGCACAGTTTGTCAATGTGTTACCATTTTGGTAGCCCTTGCAGATATATTCCCTGAATTATTGTCACCTTTATATTTAACATGGCGGGGATGGTACGAGGCCCCTCCTGGTTTTAATCAATTCTTATACATTTTCATGATTCAAAATGAGCAAATATTATATTCATATGCACAGTTGGTCAATGTGTTACCATTTTGGTAGCCCTTGCAGATATATTCCCTAAATTATTGTCACCTTTATATTTAACATGGCGAGGATGGCACGAGGCCCCTCCTGGTTTTAATCCATTCTTGTGCATTTTTATGATTCAAAATGAGCAAATATTATATTCATATGCACAGTTGGTCAATGTGTTACCATTTTGGTAGCCCTTGCAGATATATTCCCTAAATTATTGTCACCTTTAAATTTAACATGGCGAGGATGGCACGAGGCCCCTCCTGGTTTTAATCCATTCTTGTGCATTTTTATGATTCAAAATGAGCAAATATTATATTCATATGCACAGTTGGTCAATGTGTTACCATTTTGGTAGCCCTTGCAGATATATTCCCTAAATTATTGTCACCTTTATATTTAACATGGCGAGGATGGCACGAGGCCCCTCCTGGTTTTAATCCATTCTTGTGCATTTTTATGATTCAAAATGAGCAAATATTATATTCATATGCACAGTTGGTCAATGTGTTACCATTTTGGTAGCCCTTGCAGATATATTCCCTAAATTATTGTCACCTTTATATTTAACATGGCGAGGATGGCACGAGGCCCCTCCTGGTTTTAATCAATTCTTATGCATTTTTATGATTCAAAATGAGCAAATATTATATTCATATGCACAGTTTGTCAATGTGTTACCATTTTGGTAGCCCTTGCATATATATTCCCTAAATTATTGTCACCTTTATATTTAATATGGCGGGGATGGTACGAGGCCCCTCCTCCTTTAAATCAATTCTTATGCATATTTATGATGAAAAATGAGCAAATATTATGTTTATATGAGCTATTGGTCTATGTGTTACTATTTTGGTAGCCCTTGCAGATATATTCCCTAAATTATTGTCACCTTTATATTTAACATGGCGAGGATGGTACGAGGCCCCTCCTGGTTTTAATCAATTCTTATACATTTTCATGATTCAAAATGAGCAAATATTATGTTTATATGCACTGTTGGTCAATGTGTTACGGTTTTGGTAGCCCTTGCAGATATATTCCCTGAATTATTGTCACCTTTATATTTAACATGGCGGGGATGGTACGAGGCCCCTCCTGGTTTTAATCAATTCTTATACATTTTCATGATTCAAAATGAGCAAATATTATATTCATATGCACAGTTGGTCAATGTGTTACCATTTTGGTAGCCCTTGCAGATATATTCCCTAAATTATTGTCACCTTTATATTTAACATGGCGAGGATGGCACGAGGCCCCTCCTGGTTTTAATCCATTCTTGTGCATTTTTATGATTCAAAATGAGCAAATATTATATTCATATGCACAGTTGGTCAATGTGTTACCATTTTGGTAGCCCTTGCAGATATATTCCCTAAATTATTGTCACCTTTATATTTAACATGGCGAGGATGGCACGAGGCCCCTCCTGGTTTTAATCCATTCTTGTGCATTTTTATGATTCAAAATGAGCAAATATTATATTCATATGCACAGTTGGTCAATGTGTTACCATTTTGGTAGCCCTTGCAGATATATTCCCTAAATTATTGTCACCTTTATATTTAACATGGCGAGGATGGCACGAGGCCCCTCCTGGTTTTAATCAATTCTTATGCATTTTTATGATTCAAAATGAGCAAATATTATATTCATATGCACAGTTTGTAAATGTGTTACCATTTTGGTAGCCCTTGCATATATATTCCCTAACTTATTGTCACCTTTATATTTAATATGGCGGGGATGGTACGAGGCCCCTCCTCCTTTAAATCAATTCTTATGCATATTTATGATGAAAAATGAGCAAATATTATGTTTATATGAGCTATTGGTCTATGTGTTACTATTTTGGTAGCCCTTGCAGATATATTCCCTAAATTATTGTCACCTTTATATTTAACATGGCGAGGATGGTACGAGGCCCCTCCTGGTTTTAATCAATTCTTATACATTTTCATGATTCAAAATGAGCAAATATTATGTTTATATGCACTGTTGGTCAATGTGTTACGGTTTTGGTAGCCCTTGCAGATATATTCCCTAAATTATTGTCACCTTTATATTTAACATGGCGAGGATGGCACGAGGCCCCTCCTGGTTTTAATCCATTCTTGTGCATTTTTATGATTCAAAATGAGCAAATATTATATTCATATGCACAGTTGGTCAATGTGTTACCATTTTGGTAGCCCTTGCAGATATATTCCCTAAATTATTGTCACCTTTATATTTAACATGGCGAGGATGGCACGAGGCCCCTCCTGGTTTTAATCAATTCTTATGCATTTTTATGATTCAAAATGAGCAAATATTATGTTTATATGCACTGTTGGTCAATGTGTTACCATTTTGGTAGCCCTTGCAGATATATTCCCTAAATTATTGTCACCTTTATATTTAACATGGCGAGGATGGTACGAGGCCTCTCCTGGTTTAAATCGATTCTTACGCATATTTGTGATTAAAAATGAGCAAATATTATGTTTGTATACACTGTTGGTCTATGTGTTACGATTTCGGTAGCCCTTGCATATATATTCCTTAAATCATTATCACCTTTATATTTAACATGACGAGGATGGTACGAGGCCCCTCCTTGTTTTAATCAATTCTTATGCATTTTTATTATTCAAATGAGCCAATATTATGTTTATATGCACTGCTGGTCAATGTGTTACCATTTTGGTAGCCCTTGCAGATATATTCCCTAAATTATTGTCACCTTTATATTTAACATGGCGAGGATGGTACGAGGCCCCTCCTGGTTTTAATCATTTCTTATGCATTATTATGGTTCAAAATGAGCCAATATTATGTTTATATGCACTGTTGGTCAATGTGTTACCATTTTTGTAGCCCTTGCAGATATATTCCCTAAATTATTGTCACCTTTATATTTAACATATGATATGTAAGAGAAACGAGAGAAACAATACTTACGGTCATAGTAGAATCTTCATTAGCCGCCATTTTATTTCGCTCCGGAGCGTTTCCGCGTAAATGTAACGCTCCGTCGTGCATGTAGGAGCGTTTGGGTTATACACCGTGATATCATTCTGAAATAAATTTTATCTAAGAATAATATTATGGAAACAGAATTGTAACTTTTATTGTGTGACAATTTTATGATACATGAACCTTTATTTCAGATAGATGACGATATATTGAAAGAGATCATAGATGAGTGGATGGATGTCCATGAAGATAGAAGGTTAGCCAGTATTTTACACATATCAATATTAACCTTTGTTTTTTAAGTAAATCGTTCCAACATTCAAGTTATTTGTGGAATGATCACATGAACAAAGGGAATAAGTGGGATTTCAAAGCTCTATGGAAACTACTCTATTAATTCAATGGAACTCAATTAGATGTGGGCTTTCCAACCATTCTGCGTTGCCTCTGGGAAAATATACTGGTACTTTGATTGTTTTATCTCGTGGGAAACCTCCATTCTTTGCTACCATGGAACAGTTAGTTCTACTAAGATAACACACCTCTTGTTGTCTGATGTAATGACAATGTCTGGTCTTAATTTGGTGATAGCTATCTCTTGGGGCAATATTAACTTCTTGCCCAAATCAACTACGATTTTCCAGTCAGTTGCAGTCTGAAGCACGGGTAAAGCAGACCCGATGATGCAATGAGCTTGCTCGGTGGTATCATGACTGTGTAACGGGTCTTGATGTTTAAGTGAGCTCGGCGGTAGGTTCAAATAACGCGGATCATCAAAGCATGTACTCATGGTATCATCGTGGCTTTACCCCCGTGCTGAAGGGTTCCTGGTATATTGGTTGGCTTCTGTTGTTGGGGTCGTTTACTCTGACCTTCTATAAGGAAAAATGTCCATTGTGCGGGATCCTTTGTTTATGGGCTAGACTTGCAAGCAATAATGAAGTATATTTGTCTGACTATTTCCGTTAAAACGTGGTCATGCATCCAAGGATAGCGATGTTCTCCTAGTGCCACATTACAAGAGCCCATGATATGCTTTAGAGAAGCTGGTTGATCCTTGCAAAGCGTACACATACATGTATGGTCATCGATCATACCCCACAATGAAAGAGTACATGGTGTGGGAAGTGTGTCACTAAGAGATTTAACTCGGGGGTAAAGCAGACCAGATGATGCAATGAGCTTGCTCGGCGGTATCATGACTGTGTAATGGGTCTTGATGTATAAGTGAGCTCGGCGGTAGGTTCAAACAACGCGGATCCTCAAAGCATGTGCTCATGGTATCATCGTTTCTTTTCCCCCGTGTTTAAGGAGAAAGGCTAGAGATGTCTGTAACAGATATTTCACAGTTAGCCTTCTACCCTCCACTGCCTCCAAGTTGAGCCACGCCCCCTGCTTGGCCATTCATGTGGCATGTGTGGCCTTGACTAATCTTGCCTCCTCCAAAGCTTTCCTTATCTTACAATACAATACAATACAATACAATACAATGAAATACAATACAATACAATAACACCAAAAGGAAAAGCACACTTCAAAACAACATAAGAACAATATAAATGAACACATCAATGAACAAGACAACATATCTCCCAATGGTACAAAAAATACAACCAAGACAAAGTTTTACCAGTTGTTATCTCATACAGACGCCGAACACCATCCAAGCGCATAACAAACAACACCAACCGCCAAACGCACAGCAAAATTCACAAAGAATTGGAGACTGTAAATAAATACATAAACACTTCTGGTGGTGACATAATAAAACTATGTGAGTCAACAACATATCGCAACATAAAATAACAGTGTCTTTGTCTCAGTCTATATTAAACAGAATTGAAGCAAGGCAACTAAAATAATTAAAACATTGGGTATAATTCCGATTGTGCAACAATATCATTTATACATGCTTATGATTTGTTTTTATTCAACTTTCATTTCAGTGTATATCCAATCAAAAGACGTAGATACTTCAAAGATTTCAGTGCTGAGTCAAAGATCAACAAATTCATAAAAAGGCACCCGTGGAGGTAAAATAAGTGATTATTTATATGGAGATAATAATTTAAGAGGTAATATCACGTCAGCAAAGGTATAAGCTTTAGGGATTATATATTGTTAAGTATATTACTTTTTTAAAACGATAACATTAATGAATATATTATCGTAAAATTAAAAAAACAATTTTATATTATATTTCAGTTTCCGCTGTATTTTCAGACTGACTTCTTATCTTTTGGACGTCGTTCAGAGGGATTTATTGACATTTTTGGTTCACAAAACTAAAAACGTGACATACGAGGAGGCATATAGCCTGTGCTGTCAGACTGAAATAAATATCTTAAAAAATGGAAAAGGACTAGACAGTTGTGTGAATCTTACATTAGAGTTAAATCAATGGCAACACGATTAAACACATATTTCAAAGTTTGGCCTTATACTCATATATAGTCACTACGATTTAACGTGCTTGCACAGCATAGCCATTTTGTATATGATGACCAACATTTCTGGCCAAACTGTGAAGAGACAGTTTATGGGAATATGTTTTCTTTTTATATTTTAATGACAGACTCTCATCATTGAACTCGGGTGCACAAGATGGAATGTTTAGCACTCAAAACATTTTAATGTGTTATAGACTAGAGTTAAGAGCATGCTGATCATACAGGCGTACTGGTTATACACCCTTGGTGTTTTTAAAAGATATATCTCAAGATATATTGTAAGAGTAGAGTCAGTAGACTGATAGAGGACAAATGCGGAAATAAATCCATATGAATATAATATATATTCAATGTTGTTCATCAATATGCATCCGAATCAAATTAAACCAAGAGGGGCATACAGCATAGTACCATCCCCAACTAGTAAAGTAAGGGAAATATAAAGTGACAATAATTAAGGGAATATATCTGCAAGGGCTGCCAAAATCGTGCAAATAAACATAAACTATGTTCATTTTTATTCATAAATACGCATATGGATTGATTAAAACCGAGAAAGGCCCAGTATCATCGTCGCCATGTACATGTTAAATATAAAGGTGACAATAATTTAGGGAATATATCTGCAAGGGCTACCAAAACCGTAACACATTGACCAACAGTACATATAAACATAATATTTGCTCATTTTGAATCATGAAAATGCATAAGAATTGATTAAAACCAGGAGGGGCCTCGTACCATCCTCGCCATGTTAAATATAAAGGTGACAATAATTCAGGGAATATATCTGCAAGGGCTACCAAAATAGTAACACATAGACCAATAGCTCATATAAACATAATATTTGCTCATTTTTCATCATAAATATGCATAAGAATTGATTTAAAGGAGGAGGGGCCTCGTACCATCCCCGCCATATTAAATATAAAGGTGACAATAATTTAGGGAATATATATGCAAGGGCTACCAAAATGGTAACACATTGACCAACTGTGCATATGAACATAATATTTGCTCATTTTTCATCATAAATATGCATAAGAATTGATTTAAACCAGGAGGGGCCTCGTACCATCCCCGCCATGTTAAATATAAAGGTGACAATAATTCAGGGAATATATCTGCAAGGGCTACCAAAACCGTAACACATTGACCAACAGTGCATATAAACATAATATTTGCTCATTTTGAATCATGAAAATGTATAAGAATTGATTAAAACCAGGAGGGGCCTCGTGCCATCCTCGCCATGTTAAATATAAAGGTGACAATAATTTAGGGAATATATATGCAAGGGCTACCAAAATGGTAACACATTGACCAACTGTGCATATGAACATAATATTTGCTCATTTTTCATCATAAATATGCATAAGAATTGATTTAAACCAGGAGGGGCCTCGTACCATCCCCGCCATGTTAAATATAAAGGTGACAATAATTCAGGGAATATATCTGCAAGGGCTACCAAAACCGTAACACATTGACCAACAGTGCATATAAACATAATATTTGCTCATTTTGAATCATGAAAATGTATAAGAATTGATTAAAAGCAGGAGGGGCCTTGTACCATCCTAGCCATGTTAAATATAAAGGTGACAATAATTTAGGGAATATATCTGCAAGGGTTACCAAAATAGTAACACATAGACCAATAGCTCATATAAACATAATATTTGCTCATTTTTCATCATAAATATGCATAAGAATTGATTTAAAGGAGGAGGGGCCTCGTACCATCCCCGCCATATTAAATATAAAGGTGACAATAATTTAGGGAATATATATGCAAGGGCTACCAAAATGGTAACACATTGACAAACTGTGCATATGAATATAATATTTGCTCATTTTGAATCATAAAAATGCATAAGAATTGATTAAAACCAGGAGGGGCCTCGTGCCATCCTCGCCATGTTAAATATAAAGGTGACAATAATTTAGGGAATATATCTGCAAGGGCTACCAAAATGGTAACACATTGACCAACTGTGCATATGAATATAATATTTGCTCATTTTGAATCATAAAAATGCACAAGAATGGATTAAAACCAGGAGGGGCCTCGTGCCATCCTCGCCATGTTAAATATAAAGGTGACAATAATTTAGGGAATATATCTGCAAGGGCTACCAAAATGGTAACACATTGACCAACTGTGCATATGAATATAATATTTGCTCATTTTGAATCATAAAAATGCACAAGAATGGATTAAAACCAGGAGGGGCCTCGTGCCATCCTCGCCATGTTAAATATAAAGGTGACAATAATTTAGGGAATATATCTGCAAGGGCTACCAAAATGGTAACACATTGACCAACTGTGCATATGAATATAATATTTGCTCATTTTGAATCATGAAAATGTATAAGAATTGATTAAAACCAGGAGGGGCCTCGTACCATCCCCGCCATGTTAAATATAAAGGTGACAATAATTCAGGGAATATATCTGCAAGGGCTACTAAAACCGTAACACATTGACCAACAGTGCATAGAATTATAATATTTGCTCATTTTCAATCATAAATATGCATAAGAACAGATTTAAACCAGGAGGGGCCTCGTACCATCCTCGCCATGTAATGCCATGTAATGTAATGTTTTGTTGTGTCTGCACGTTTTAGTGAAAACTGCAGTTTGGTTCGACTCCTTTTAGTTCTGCACTTTCGACGTTCTGTTTGAAAAAAAATTCGGGAAGAAATCTGAGTAATATTCATTGTATTACTAAACTCGTATCACAATACACATAGATATATAAATCAAGTCATCTGAAATTATACATATAAATTGATTTGTCAGTAAAGGCCAAAATCAAGAACAATAGTCTAACGAATGGGTTTTCGATCATTTCCCAGAAATTTTCTGAAGTTTTTTACTTTGACTTTGAGACGTTGACGTCTCCACAAGAGTGACAGTCACAGAGACAGACAGTTACACGAGTCTCAAGCCAATTACTTATGTAGACCCCGTGCTAGACCTTAGAAGGAGGTAAGTCTAGCCTAGTTTATTAAGACGGTTTGATTGGTCTGAATCTAAGGCCCGGGTATACATCATTATAAAAAATCAGTATTATTCTTATTCAATGTAAGTAATATAGTAAAAGATATATATACATGTATACCATGCATTACCAACTCAGTACACTAGGGGACCTTTTAAACATTTTTAACGTATTCCTGGGCCTCAGGTCTGAATCCTGGGTACTGGGGTCCAGTCCAGTGTCTGCATCAAATTTGTCTGTCGAATTTGAAAGCTCTCAGGGTCCGTGAATTCGTACGATCCCAAATCTAATCTGGATAAATTTGATCTTATGGGTTAAATCTTGGATCTAATCCGATAAATTTAATATTTGGTGAATTGTATGATCCGAGGATTATGAGGGGGAAATCTCAATATTTATCCGATTTGCAATGGAATTCGGATAAAATTTATCCAGAAAGTAATCTACATTGTACATGTACCTCAAGAGGCGGATTGAGATTTATCCTGAGATTAATCCCAGGATCATATGAATTCACCGATTTTTGGATACACGAAGCCAGTGTATGTGCGATACCTAACATGAAATATTGCCGTGGATCTAAAGTTGCCGATTGCCGAATGTAAAACAGAAACGGCAAAATAAAATTCGGAAATATAATTAAGTAATTGAAGATCGATCTTAGTGGGCGATAATATGGTACTTGTCTAACGTGTGTCAACTTACTATAATAGGGTAATTTTCTAACGAGTATCAACTTACTATACTTTAATAAAATCATAAATAAAATACGATAAAATTGAATCTTTATTCCCCAGCTTAAAATTACAATAAAAAGTTAATAATAAACGTCAAATCAAATTCAGTCAAATGAAGGTGATTAAAATTCAGTTGTAAATCAAAATTATACTAGGGGTGTCAGCGTAGCAATATTTATTTATTTGGCTTTACATTTAGGGGTGTCGGCAAACTTTTATTCGGCAATAACAATTTTAATCCAATTCGGAAAATAAAGCACCCGGATTTAATACATGTTATACAGTATACTGTCCGAAAGCCATACCAAATGCCCAAATTAATGAGACCAATGTCGTACCAAATGTCTTAATACAGGACCAATGCCATACCAATGCTATGACTGTTCCAAAGTAGAATGTTTCCAATCATCCCAGTAGCCGATAGCTGATATTTGCATGCAAGCAGCTAATATTTAAATTGAAGAAGGTCATCAGACTTGTGCTTTCATTTAATTAATGCCTTGTATGATTGAATTACAAAGCATGGATTACAGCACAAAACTCTGGCACACAAATTGTGACAAAATCTCATATTAGTGGGGCCAGTTAGCTGTTCAATTGCACTTGCTATATATAAAGCACCATTTTTTGACCAAAGTATCCTTAATACATATAGTTTTGATATCTAACGAAGTGGTAATGAAAAGTGCCCCCATTTAATAATAGCAGCCCTTGAAAATTTGGCATTTTTACATTGAGCCCCATGTTAATTTATCAATCTTCTAAAGACCCCCTGCAGAACAGTTCTAGAGTAATAAAGCCCATATTCCCAGTATGTTACAATTATATAATTATCTTCAAAATAAAAAGGGTTACATTTTTTCTTTTGCCTAGTTCCAAAGATATTGGCCTTTGGATTTTGGAAAATTCCCATTGACTGCCATTATAAACCGCTATCAATATGGCTTTAATAAAATGTCCTTTTCTCAAAAAGTTTACTATGGAATTTTCTGATATTGCAGATTTCTATAGTTAATATATTGACTTAAAAAAAATCAAACAGACACATTTCTAAAAATTTCTTAATTTCGAAATATTAAACTGTTAAGTTGCACACATAACTACAAAAAAAACTATATTGAGCCCAATGTTAATTTAGCGATCTTCAAAGGACCAGTGTTGTCATTAACAGCCCGTCCACTGGTCATTATCTGGTTACTTCTGATACGGACCAGTTGATTTTTTCACTAGGTATAGGAAAATAACATTGCAACTGGTCCGTAATATCATTTTGACCAGCAGGTTTCAGCCCCTTAGTGTCTACACTGCAAAGGACCCCCTGCAGAACAGTTCTAGAGCAATAAAGCCCATATTCCTAGTATGTTACAATAACATGATTATCTTCAAAATAAGAGGGGTTAAATTTTTTCTTTTCGCTAGTTCCAAAGATATCGACGTTTGAATTTTGGAAAATCTCCATTGGCTGCCATTATAAACCGCTATCAATATGTCTTTAATAAAATGTCCTTTTCTCAAAAAGTTTACTATGGAATTTTCTGATATTGCAGATTTCTATAGTTAATATATTGACTTAGAAAAAATCAAACAAACACATTTCTAAAAATTTCTTAATTTCGAAATATTAAGCTGTTAAGTTGCACACGAAACTACAAAAAACCTATATTGAGCCCAATGTTAATTTAGCGATCTTCAAAGGACCCCCTGCAGAACAGTTCTAGAGCAATAAAGCTCATATTCCTAGTATGTTACAATAACATGATTATCTTCAAAACAAAAGGGGTTAAATTTTTTCTTTTCGCTAGTTCCAAAGATATTGACATTTGAATTTTGGAAAATCTCCATTGGCTGCCATTATAAACCACTATCAACATGGCTTTACTAAAGTGTCCTTTTCTCAAAAAGTCCACTATGGAATTTTCTAATATTGCAGATTCATATTGTTAATGTATTGAATCTAAACAAATCAAACAGACACATTTCTAAAAATTTCTAATTTTTGAAATATTTAGCCATAAGTTGCACACGAAACTATAGAAAACCTATATTAAGCCCCATGTTAATTTATCAATCTTCAAATGACCGGCTGCAGAGCAGTTCTAGAGTAATAAAACCTATATTGCTGGTTTATTACAATAACATGATTATTTCCAAAACAAGAACGGTTACATTTTTACTTTTGCCTAGTTTCCAAAGATATCGGCTTTTGAATTTTGGAAAATCCCTATTGACTGCCATTATATACCAATCTTCAAAGGACCCCCTTCAGAACAGTTCTAGAGCAATGAAGCCCATATTCCTAGTATGTTACAATAACATAATTGTCTTCAAAATAAGAAGGATTAATTTTTTTTTTTGGCTAGTTCCAAAGATATTTACGTTTGAATTTTGGAAATTCTCCATTGGCTGCCATATAAACCACTATAAATATGGCTTTACTAAAGTGTCAATTTCTCAAAAAGTTTACTATGAAATTTTCCAATATTGCAGATTTCCATTGTTAATATACTGAATTAAAAAAAATCAAACAGACACAATTCTAAAAATTGTTTACTTAGCCGTTAAGTTGCACACAAAACCATAGAAAACATTTTATAATAAATAATTTTAATCAATCTTCAAAAGACCCCCTTCAGAACAGTTCTAGAGTAATAAACCCAATATTGCTATTGTGTTACAATAGCATGATTATCTTTAATATAAGAAGGGTCAAAACATTTTTCCTTGTCTAGTTCCAAAGATATTGGTGTTTGAATTTTGAAAATTTCTATTGGCTGTCATCATAAACCGCTATAAATATGCTTTTAATAAAAGTGTAAATCCGACCTGTTTCTTTCAACTTTTTGCGGTCTTTGCTTTACATGTTCTTCAAGATTACATACATTTTTTAATTCAATGAATTACTAAAATGTAATAAGTTGATTAGTCCCTGATAACTAAACTCATGTTATCATCACATCGTAAATGCTAAGAAAATGATTTAAATCACAATATTTTGAAAATAAATATACGATACAACGTTTAAGACTTAATATCAGAAATTTACGCCCACACCATCCCCTTTCAAGTAAAATAAAGATATATTGATGTCTTTCAAGTTTGTAAACTTAATGTTGTTTTATTCATACTTAATTGTTTCAAAAGACAAAATAACTCCCTGTCAACATGTACAATGATTATTTCATTACAAATAGCAAAAATCTTGCATCTTATAATTTTATTTATTTATGGAATGAACTCCTTCAAATAAATCCATAGGCGAAATAAATTGAAGTCGGATTATAAAAAAAATAAAAATAGCGGAAAATAGCAGACATTTTCAATTGAACGGCCATATTGGAAATTCTCTCTCTAGCAGAGGTCTTACGGCTATTAGTGCTATAATGGCATAAGCCCAAAACATTTTGCCAGTATTTCAGTAAGTTATCGCTTAATTCAATATATTTACCATAGAAATCTGCAATATTAGAAAATTCCATAGTTGACTTTTTGAGAAAAGGACACTTTAGTAAAGCCATATTGATAGCGGTTTATAATGGCAGCCAATGGGGATTTTCTAAAATTCAAATGGCAATATCTTTTGAACGAGGCAAAAGAAAAAAATTAACTTCTTATTTTGAAGATAATCATATAATTGTAGCATACTAGGAATATGGGCTTTATTACTCTAGAACTGTTCTGCAGGGGGTCTTTCGAAGATTGATGAATTAACATGGGGCTCAATACAGGTTTTCTATAGTTTTATGCGTAACTTAACAGCTAAATATTTCAAAAATAAGAAATATTTAGAAATGTGTCTGTTTGATTTTTTTAATTCAATATATTAATTATAGAAATCTGCAATATTAGAAAATTCCATAGTGGACTTTTTGAGAAAAGGACACTTTAGTAAAGCCATATTGATAGTGGTTTATAATAGCAGCCAATGGGGATTTTCCAAAATTCAAACGGCAATATCTTTTGAACTAGGCAAAAGAAAGAATTTTACCCTCTGTATGTTGAAGATAATCATATAATTGTAACATACTAGGAATATTGACTTTTTTACTCTAGAACTGTTCTGCAGGACTTCTTTTGAAGATTGATGAATTAACATGGTGCTCAAATACAGGTTTTCAATAGTTTCATGCGCAACTTAACGGCTAAGTATATCAAAAATAAGAAATTTTTAGAAATGTGTCTGTTTGATTTTTTTAAACTCAGTGTATTACCTATAGAAATCTGCAATATTAGAAAATTCCATAGTAAACTTTTTGAGAAATTGACACTTTAGTAAAGCCATATTTATAGTAGTTTATAATGGCAGCCAATGGAGATTTTCCAAAATTCAAACGGCAATATCTTTTGAACTAGGCAAAAGAAAAAGTTTAACCCTTCTCATTTTGAAGATAATCATATAATTGTAACATACTGGGAATATGGGCTTTATTACATTAGAACTGTTCTGCAGGTTGTCTTTAGAAGATTGATAAATTAACATGGGGCTCAATGTAAATGTGCAAAATCTTTGAGGGCTGCTATTATCAACTGGGGCCACTTTTCAATACCACTTCGTTAGATATCAAATATATATGTATCAATGATACTTCTGTCAAAAAATTGTGCTTTATATATAGCAAGTGCAATTCTAGGGTTTTATTGTCCTAACTGATCCCACTATATGGCAGCAAATCACAGGTGCTATCTGGAAAATACAAGGAAATTTCCAATAGTCTCGCTCTCTTATAACCCAGGGAGCGACTATGCAGCAAATGTATTAAAAAGTTTTGAACTATTGTCCTATATGTATAATGAAATTACAATACAAAACAATAAAGTTATATCCATATAGGCAAAGGACGATAGAAATAACTTTTAAGTAAAGATGACATGGTAATCGATATGTTTTTACTTATAATTCTGTTGGTGCTGCCATCTTTATTTCAGCCCAGAACCTATGGTTATATCCTTACAGTTAATATGATTATTGAATGTAAATGTATGTAGGCTAGGGGCCTGAATGCTACATATTTGTAGGTGTAACTGAATTTCATATTTTCATATCTGGCGCATAAGGCCTATGCCAACACATGGCGTTTGTTTCTTTGTCAATGACTATTATGAAATGGTTGTAATGTATAGTGCATTCATTGTTTGCAGAATATGGCACGGAAGAGGTAATTTAGTCACATATCATGAGTAGCAGTCATTAACGTGTAACCATAGTGAATCTTCAAGAAACAAAAGGTTTGCAGAAATCAAAGAAAATGAGATTTGTGAATTGGTATGTATATTGTTTACACTTATTCAATGTTTAACATTATGCAGGTATATTTTGGCCATAATAATGATTTCTGAAATAATATGTCATGTGGGGGCGGGGGTAGTCAAGGCATGTAAAGCTTGACTGACTGTCATAACAGTAGCAATGCCACATAAAAAAAAGAAAAAAGAAAAAAAAGAAATGCCTCAATATGATTTAGCATTGGGCAAAAGTCACCATTGCTGCATTGTGAAATGCCCCAGAGAAACTAACAACTCTTTAATAAAAAAAAGAACTTGAAACTCCATTCAATCCCTTCTCGTCCAACATTTAGGCTAGGTTTCACCTTTCTGAGATGGCCCAAATAAGAAGTATATTATATTGTATAATTTTACTCTTACAATGTCTATTGGTATAATAAATGATATGTCAAGCGAAGTTTTGTCTGTCACGTGACTTTATGGAACACGGGTGGGTGAATGGTTCGAGAAATGTCTCCACTTTTGGTTTATACTGATACTTTTAACATACATTTAGTTTTAAACTTTCTATGACCTCTTTGAAATTTGTCCCGTACTATTCATTTGAGCACCAGGGCAAGCTAAGCCACAGCTTGCAGATTACCATGTTGGCAACCAAAAATGGATTTTATTTTTGGTGCTGGGTCTTGTGACCGTCTGGCATATTCAGTTATTCATATATGTTGGACAAAAGGGTGCCTGATCATTGCAAAGAATTCATTTTTATTTTCAATTATTTCCCCTCTTTTGTCGGTATTTCGAAAATGTATCTAATATGTTTTCCCCCTGAGAAAGAGCAAAATTAGTTCATGATGTGATTTAAAGCTTAGAGGTTATTTACTGGGAGGGATTTAATATGGCTTTTATTCCAAGGGACAATTTCCCTCTTCTCATTATAGTCCCTTGGAATAAATCCACATTCAATCCCGACCAGTAAATAAGCTTTTATATCCCATGATATTCATAATTCTCCTCAGAAAATCATTAGTTATGACATTTGAAAATATATATAACATAGACACATCAATGTCAAAAATTAACCAATAAGTGTACATGTTCATTACAAGAAACCAAACTCAATCGCTTGTTGCTCAGATACCAATGACCTTGATTGTCTGTATCAGAGCATGATGATGAAAAATTACAATTTGTAGTCACATGGTTTCATAATTCTAGTGTTTCAAAATCTCTCTATTTTCAACTTTGTTCAGTTTTTCACATAAGATCATCATAATAGTAGGCTATATCGATTCAACTGAACGAAACAGAAAGCTTTGGTTGGCAGAAATTCTTGGAAGGTGAATATGATTTTTAAGAGTAGGATTGGGGGGGGGACAATCCGATTTTCTTTCAATATGAATTATTCACTCATCCACACATCATTTTTGGAGACACACTTTTTAACGGATTTGAAGCAAAGACAATGATGCAATGGTGATGTAGGTTTTGAAAAATTAATCTTGGGAATATTTGAAAGATTTCATGTTTAATTTCGCATGTATTCGTTTAGGAAGACATTTAACTTTCTAATAACATAAAAAAAATTTCGAACGGTGCTCAATTTTTTTCGTAGTGAATCTACCCGTGAAAATTGATCGGTTGGAAAATGTTTGGTTTTTCACATTTCTTTTGATCATTTTTTCCTAATTGCCTAAGAGTGTCGATTATTTTCATGAGAATATGTTTCTCTATACTACACACTTTAGGACGGGTGGAGATGAATAAATATTCAAGTATTTATTGTAATTTAAAAAAATCAGTAAAGTGCGTTGCCAACTCGAATGTATGTTGTCCCTGTAATTGATAGACGTCCTTGAATAATAATGGGACAACATACATTCGAGTTGACAACATACACTCATGATTTTTTAAATTATAGCCAAAATGTTAATACTTATTAAATCTTCAACAGACCTTAATTGTGCTGGTAAAGAAACATACTCTCATGAAAATCTTTGTCACTCTTAAACGACAGGGGAGGAAATGATCAAAGGAAATGTGTAAAAACACAACATTTTCCAACTGACCAATTATATGGGTAGATTGACTACGAAAAAAATCGAGCACTGTTCGAAAATCTTTTAACATTATTAAAAAGTTAAATGTCTTCCTAAACGAATACACAAAAAATCATTTTATAATAATCAGATTATTTTTTTAAAACCTACATCATTATCTTTGCTTCAAATCGGTTAAATAGTGACATCGTACATCAAAAGTATACTATGGTATATTTTGTCACTGTACCTTGTCGATGGTTAGGCGTGTTCAAACCATTTGCCCACCCGTCATCAATAAAGTCACGTGACAGACTATAAATAGAGTGTATGTTGGCTCAAGAGATCGTTTATTAAAATTGAGTAGGCTGTAAATTGGAAGGCCCTCGACCACTTTTGATCACTTGTGTAATTGTTTGGTGTTTGACATAAACCAATCATGTAAATTACAATATTTGTATTATATTCAAAGAAATGTTTGAACAGTCCTGTAATACAGTATTTCTAAAAAAAATGGTTTTTGGAGCTTCATGTAGCTTATCATTATCAACATGTTTATTCTTAGTTATTATATAATTTCAGGCTGGCCAACAATGTAAGGTTAGAGAGCCAGAAGTATATATCAACGAAAGATATATATTGGAAGTTTTTAAAACATGATCCACAGAGTGACATACCCTATGCACAAATGATTGCGATTGTGCAAAAGTATTTCGATGTGGCTTTAGTCCAAGGTGGCCACAAAGAATCATTTGTTCCATTATATTGGAGAAGAAAAAATGAGAAGAAAATTGATTTCTCTCATGACGACTGTGAATTTATAAAAGCAAGGGGATGGCAGGTACAGTTGAGCGAGCCTTCACATACAATCCTATCCATTGACACTGGAATCACCATAAATGGGCGCAAGCTATTGAAGACTGTCACGCTATTTGAAGACGGAACCGTAAACCTGGAAATTGCTTCTCGCAATATTGATCTACAGGCCCTCAGAATTGATCCTACATATATGAGAACCCAAAAATCTGTCTTAAATATGCTGTGCATATTAGAAAAGGTGATCATATGTGAAGCAGTTAAAAAACCAAATGGGCTGTCGCAAAAATGTGTTAAATGCACTGAAGAAAAGTTAACAAATGGGACAGAACAGATGAATGTAATCAGAAGTAATGTATGTCTTCGAGTCCTAAAATTCTCTTGCAGAGTAAATTACTGCAGAAAATGCCAAAAGCAAACTTTGTATTTAGCAATACCCGCTCCACCAACAATAACATTTGAAAAACAGTTGAGGGAATTGTTTCCATCTCTTCCACATTATATGTTAATTAATTTGACAGATTTACATGAGAATACCTTTGCAAAAGGTAGTAGAAGGTCACCAGGAACAATGCAAGTGTGGCTAAGTCTGTATGCGCATAACCGTAATAACTACAGGCTTTTGAAGGAAAGAGGCTTCCATGTCCCATCAGAGAGCATTCTGAAATGCTACAGAAATGTGGTACAACAAAATCCAGACTTCAAAGACATTAACATTGAATGGATGGCCAATGAAGCAAAACGGCAGTGTATGCCCACAAGTGCTTATTCTGGGGGAATCATTTTTGAAGAAATGAAAATTGATGAACGAATTTCAACCCAATCTAACGACAGAGATTTGAAGACTGAAGCTTTTGTTGAATGCAACCAGGAGTCTCTTGCTCCTACTGTACCTAGTCAAATACTCCAACTGAGCTACCTTGGGTTCAATGGCTACCGTTTCCCCTTTGCCTTCCTCCCAATTACACAAGTAACTGCCTCTCATTTAAATAGAATCTTCTGGAAGGCAGTGAACAAGTTGGCACTGAATAACTTCAATGTTCTCTATTGTAACATTAAGGATGGTATTACAAACAACCAACTGAGGCAATTTATGGGGATACATTTTCCCAGTGGAAATGGGGTCCTTCAGCGATATGCGATCGAAAGCCGACATAATCCACTTCGAAAGATCGTTTTATTAATAGACATAAAGAATGTTACCATGGAGATCAGAAACAGCATCTTTTTAATTGGTGATGCAGACTCTCACACCAGGAAACTTCTGCATCAAGGTCGGGCCATCACCTCGAAAATGTGGATTGACGCATATCAGTGGAACAGGAAAAATCCCATATCTGTCCATAAACACCTTCGTCGTGAGCATCTAAGTAAGTATACAGTAATTCCTGTAACCTATATAAGTGAACACCTATGGAGCCACAAAAAGTGTTCACTGTCTACAGGTAGTTTATCACTACAGAAGTCAATCTTAAATTTGTCTTGAAATTGTGTTCACTAAACACAGGTGTTCACTAGACAGAGTGTTCACTAGATAGGTTTTACTGTACTCAGTAAACATTTAGCCTCTTTTCATTAATTTGTAAGAACATGTACTTTTACCTACATATTTGATATTATTACACAGCTGCCACCAGTTAGTACATAGTTGCCAGTCCCCAAAAAGATGGCCGACCTATTTGAGATGCTTTTGTCAAAATAGAAAAAGTTCATGTTAAGGAGAATGACATGTACATATAATTTTGAATGTTAAATGAAAATATTGTATTTTTGTACTTTATTGTCATAGGCTCCAAAATTGTATATAAATGTTCTTTTTTGTATTGTGGTGCACAAGTGGCAACATCTATATCAAAGTAACATTTTGCAATAACTTAAGAATAAGTGCTCCAATTGACTTGAAATTTTGTTGACAACAGACATTCAACATGGCCACCATATTACCATGGCTGCGAATAAGAAGTGATATGGTAGATCATGGTAGTACCTATATTGGAATGTTATTTATCAGGGGGTCATTAACAGAACTTTCTCAATTCGTAATTCGTAACTTTATGAAATTCGTAATTATTTAAAAAGTTACGAATGACTTCGGATTCATAAAGTTACGAATCGGCCATTAACAGATCACTTTTGTAAGTCATCCATAAGTTTTATCGTTAGTAAATGAATTTCAAATTGTGACGTCATCTTATATCATTGTTTTGCACAAATAAAAATATGATGTCATTTGATATCATTGCGCGTTGTGATTAAACCTGTCTCCGCGATTTCAAAGATTCCCAGCTCAGGAACACATTTGCTTATCATGTAAGAATAGGTGGATATTTTAGCTTGAAACTTAGCATGCATATAAAGAACAATTTGACAAATCTTTTTGCCAACCTGTATACCTTAGATAAAAATTGGATGAGAAATATGCCATTCGCAAAGTAATGAAAGGGTCTGAGATGCTATTAAAGTTACGAACGAAAGCACATGTGACATCATTTTTTCCGTAACTTTGCGAATCGTTTGTAACTTTATGAAAGTTCAGTTAATCCACATTTACCAAATTCGTAAATTTAAAAATTGACTTGCGACTTCGCAACTTTGCAAAAGTTCTGTTAATGACCCCCAGTTTAACAGTTTATGCAATATTTGGTAGCATATGAAACATTTGGAATAACACAAACATATAGTCATTTAACCGTTTCAGTGTCTCATTATGTATGCAAATGGGTCACTGCCGGATCCAAGTGGTGGGTCAAGAAACATTTTTAGGGGCAGAAAAAATTTTGGGTTAAAAAAATTGTGTAGGCCCCCACTAATTAGGCCTTTTTAGGCATAACTTGGGCTCTTTAGGCCAAATTTCAAAATGGGCCTTAAATTTTCAAAATTTAGTTTTAGGGGCCTAAAATTTTTCCTGCATGTTCATACCTTAAAAATCTTGAAAAGTTGTTAATTATGAAAACGTAGACTATATTGTATTTGCAATGACACTATTCTGGTGTAGCCATATTTTCATACATGCAATGTCATGCATATACAGGGTTTTCACTAAAATTTTAAAGGGAAATCATAAAGGATAGCTATCGATATTGAGAACTGAATTCAACAATGTTTTTGGCTCACACAGTGAGCCTATGGGATCGACCAGGCGTCCGTCCGTCCGTTGGTCCGTCCGTCCGTCCGTCTGTCCGTCCGTCCGTTGGTCCGTCCGTCAACATTGGCCGCACAAATTAAAACTGCTATTCGGATTGAGTCATTACCACATTCATTTTATGCATATCCATAATGCCTATTTGACCTATCATCGCCATTTCCCAAGTTCGCCCGGTTTCCGAGAAATTGATGATTTTGATGTAAAAAAGTCAAATTTTCTGTAAATTCTAGACACTTTGTTGAAGTAGAACTTTCAAATAACTTGTAGTAGTTGCTGTATATGCAACTTATGTCCTCTGAAGATTTCAAAGCTCTAGGAATTACAGTTTTTGGTGCTTACTCTATAAAATTTGACAAAAAGTAGGACTTCGTCATTTTCAGGAAATTTTCTTATGTATAAAGTCAATGGCAGGTTTTGTGATTGACAAGTTTCTCAAAGTTTGCCTTATACTTGATCATTTCTTGCAATGAATTACATCATAACTAGATTTAAGCATTCCCTACATATTGCTCAATATATGTCAGCATCAAATTTTTACCGTTTTTGAGATATTTGACGTAAAAAAAAAAACAGTAAAAATGCTTCAATTTGACCAAATTCTTTTTTGAAAATCATCTACAAGTTACCAGGAGTTCAAATCTGACATTAGTTTTAGGATTTGACCTTTACTTGACCTCCAGTGACCTTTGAAAGGTCCAAAAGGTTGATTTTTCAAATTGATTTTTGGATGTAAATTTTGTTCAGCTTAATCACAAAAGACCTTACTGAGCTCTAAATAATTAAAATTTTCAAGGTCAAAGGTCATCAAACTAGGTCACACAACTGTGCTGTCTTAGTTTCTCAAAGTTCGAGACTACAAATCCAAATCAACATTTTTGTTTGAAAGTCAGGATATACATTCCTCTGAAGGTTCCAAACTGTGTGAGCACAGGACCGTGGGTCCTATTTTTTTCTCTTAAACTAATCATTGAAAACATTCTGTAAAAAAACATGGTATTTCATGTAATGTTGACTGATTGACAACAATTTAATGCGAAAATTATTTAGAAATACTTTATATAACTGTTTTTGTTAACATTTTTTGTTTTTTTAGTGCAATTGTTTTTGCTCCTTTCTACCAATTCTTGAGAATGAAATAAAATGTCTTTCCAAACCTTGTTGGAAAAAAATAGCATATGCAACATGTTTTTAGACCTCTCAATATTAAAGTTATACAAAGGAATTTTGGGTTGATTTTAAAAAAGTATTCAAAAAATTAAAACAAAATCCCCCCAAAATAATCAAGAAAAACCTTTTATTTCATTAACAAGATACTTTTTTAAAATCAACCAAAATTTCCTTTGTACAATTACAATATTGAGAGACCTAAACATGTTGTGTTTATGTCGCTTTGTTCCAATGAGGTTTGGAAAGATGTTTCATTTCACTCTGGAAACATGATACCAAGAACAAAACAAGTGTTTGATGTGTTTTTTAAAACAATATAGATGAAAGTATGTGTATCTATTTCAAATTATATTGTTACCATTCAAAAGATGGCCATTAAATTGACAATTTGTAAGATTTTCAGAAATTGTTGATGACTGGTTTAAGAGAAATGTGTGTTCAAAAAGTTTGCCATATCGATACCCATTCTTTACACCGGAATAGCCTGACAAGGGTAAAGTCAGATACCATTGTCACAAAGGGCGGACATAACCATTGCTTCAACTGTTTAATCACTTGGTCCTCATTTCATGGGATTTTATTGTTGTCGATTCTGTGCATGTTTTAAGCTCTTTGATAATGTATCAAATGAAATCCCATTTTCGATCAAATTGGGTCGTGAATCGCCACAATATAGCCCCTTCGATATCGTCAATGACAACGGAATCTGAATTTGAGTCATTTAGAAAGACATCGGCATATGGTGATTACAGTGTCCGTTGTCCGGTATCTCATTTTGATCCGTTAAATTAAAGACTTTATTTTGATGATAGAACATTATTAACTGTAGAATAAATCCTTTACTTCTTATTTTATATTTCAATGACAGCATGCATCCTTATGGTACATTGTTCATCACATTTGATAATTTTTCAGGTGGCATTGTTTGATTTTCTCTTTGGATAATGGATATTGGCCTTAATTTGTTCCAGGTCTTTTGGCTTAGGATTAGCTTTAAAATGCTCCTTCAAATATCTTTAATATAAAGAGGTTTGATGATAAAGAGGCAGAACAAACACAGAGAACCAGGTCAAGACAAGAATTCCCATTAAAGCAGTTTCTTCAGCATCTGAGCTCTCTGTATTAAGACATTGCGAGGGCCTCCTTGTTCAACAGATTTGAAACCATAGATTTTTTCTCTAGGGAAACTTAAAGAACCATGTTAATGATACTAATAAGCCAAGAGACCTAGAACAACTTGAGGCCAACATCTGAAGAGAAAATCAAAACATTCCACCAGAAACATTATCAAATGTGATGGACAATGTAGCAATAAAGATGCAGGCTGTCATCCAAATATGAGAAGGATAAATTGAACATGTGGTATGAAAAGGGGTAAATCATAAAAAAGGCAAGATTGAACTAAAAATATAGTATTGAGGAAAAAACTTACATGCTTTGTCTAAATGACAATGCAAAAAAGGTCGGAAAATATTGATTGGTTTATCTTTGCTGTTGATATACTTTTGGGTACATTGAGACACCCAATATATAAGGGATGCTGATCTTTACATTCTCAAAATTAATTTCGTTCGTTGCGTACCTTCACTACCTACATGTAAGTAAAGGAGGTACGGATTGCACTGAACGAAAGGGTCGGAGATTGTGATTTTTCACTAAATCTTTATGGTGTTTCAGGGCATTCAGCAAAGAGGCGTAATGGATATCCAGAGCATGCATTGTCACCAGACATGCTGAAGCTGATGAGAGAGTTCAGATCCAGCAAGGGGGCTGATGGGTCTTATTTAGATGCTGCAGTGGAACTCCTTGAGATGACATCCACTCTAGTTGATTTCTTCAATCACCATCAAGATCTCACAAAGGAGACATACAAGGAAAAGTTGGAAGGCATACTTAAGGTCAGTAGTAACGAACTTCGGTTGTGAATTACTTTTAAATCCCTGTAAAATGAGCTCCTTGAGATGACATCCACTCTAGTTGATTTCTTCAATCACCACCAAGATCCTACAAAGGAGACATACAAGGAAAAGTTGGAAGGCATACTTAAGGTCAGTAGTAACGAACTTCGGTTGTGAATTACTTTTAAATCCCTGTAAAATGAGCTCCTTGAGATGACATCCACTCTAGTTGATTTCTTCAATCACCATCAAGATCTCACAAAGGAGACATACAAGGAAAAGTTGGAAGGCATACTTAAGGTCAGTAGTAACGAACTTCGGTTGTGAATTACTTTTAAATCCCTGTAAAATGAGCTCCTTGAGATGACATGTATTCTTACTGACTTCTTCAATCACCATCAAAATCCTACAAAGGACGGTTCACTTTTCAAAAACTTCCAGGGTTCACACTCGACAAATTTGGCCCAAAATCAATTGTTGAAAGGGCTCAGCGTGGTGAAAAACTGCATGATTTTGATATTTTTAGGGCAAGGGGGTTCAAATTTAAACCCGTCTAATCTCCATGTGGCTACGAGCCTCAGTGCTTCACAATGTATGAGGAGTATTTATTCTGAAATGTTTCAATGTATTTATCTCTATAAAACTAGGGTGATTGATACCTTTCATAGTGTAATACAAGTCATTATGCTCAAGTTTTATCACTTACATATGTCAGATTGGAAAAATACAATTGTGTATCAGTTAAGGCCTCCAATCCTGAAACTGCCAAGTACAGGCTGCCAATATTGTCGCTAGATTGTATTTTTAATTTATGTTGTAGGTACACGCATGGTTCAAAGAGTGGGAATCAGAAGTGATGGAATCGAGACTCCCTAATCCAACCCACTTCTTGATGTCTCCAGAGACAAGAGAAGATCTTAGTTCTACCATCATTGGATTTGATGAACTCTGTGGAAATAGGTAGTAATATGTTACAGGCCAGTAGCCAGGGGGGTTCGCAGGGTTCGGGCAACCCCCCCCCCCCTTGGCCAAAAATTCTTTCAAAATCATGCAGTTTTTCACCATTTTGAGCACTCCTCAAGTGATTTGTGTGTCAAATGTGAACCTCCCCTGGAAATTTTTGAAAACTGAACCACCCCTTGGCAAATCCTGGCTACGGGCCTGTGTTAAATATGAAGATTATGTTACACAATTGTTATTTTATATATGTTGATATACTAAGTAGATATCAGATTCTATGCTAAACTGGGTACCTTTTGTAGAAGTGTGTAGCAAGTTGTAAAGACTGTTGAGCTTATTCAAAGTTTGTTTTAATTAGTCCAGAATTGAACAAGCTTTCATATGATATATAACATATGCTGGTATGCTATTTGGGATTGGTGGTTGATGGGGGGTCGGTCATTATGAAACACTGTGTATATATTATAACTTTCACATTCAAGAAAACTCAATTTAGAGAATTTTCAATATGCTTTTTTATTGTTTGAGATATGTTAGACAGTCATATCTTTCACCATGAGTATTTCTGGCCATAAATACAGTGGTTTTTGTAAAACCAATATGTTTTCTTATAAGTGAAGTCCCCGTGATGATAAAATATCAATCCAACTCTCTAAACAATTATTGATAAGGGCCCCACCTTGGGACTTTTTAAAAAATGTTAGGCTTATTTTCTAAAAAGAGGATCTTGTTTTTCTCAATTTAAACATTTCGAAAGTCTCCTCTTCGCTATTTTAACAATTTCTGAAAAGGGTATGGGTATTGATATATGTTAAAGTTAAAAACCACATATGCCATGCTATTTTCCCATAGGGAAAACTCGTGCTATCCATTGTTTTCAGCATAATTTTTGTCATCCAAAATTGATATCTTCAAAACTAATAATGTTCTCATGCAATAAAAATCAGAAAAAGAGGATCCCTTTTGAGTAAATAGGCTCAATATTTTGAAAAAAATGTTGACATGGGGTCCCTATTCATAATTTTTCGGATTGTTCGATTGATATTTTTATCATCATGGGGACTTCACTTGAAAGAAAACATATTTTTTTGATAAAAACCACTGTATTTATGCCCAGAAAGTACTCATGGTGAAAGATATGACCGTCTAAAATCACTTGTCATACTGCACATGGACCTTTGTGACGAGCACATTTAATTTAATTTGTACATTTTCAGATTTGAGTTGGATCCACGTGGATCCATTGACCCAGCTCAGTTCAACAGTGACATCATTAAGAATATATCTTGTCAGCAACAGGGTATTCTCGACGGAAATAGCACCAAACCAAATGTAGCACAATATTCCTCTGCCATCAATGGTAATTCTGCTACATCCATTAAACCAGAACAGACCAACAATGACTTGGAGTTGGAAACTCAACTCAATGGAAATGATCCCAACCCAAATATAGCACAATATTCCTCTGCCGTCGATGGTTATTCTGCTACATCCATTGAACCAGAACAGACCAACAATGACTTTGGGACTCAATTCAATGGAAATAACTCCAACCAAAATGTAGCACAATATTCCTCTGCCATCATTGGTAATACTGCTACATCCATTGAACCAGAACAGACCAACAATGACTTTGGGACTCAACTCAATGAAAATAACACCAACCCAAATATAGCACAATATTCCTCTGCAATCAATGGTAATTCTGCTACATCCATTGATCCAGAACTGACCAACTGTGATATGGAAACTCAACTTAATGGAAATAACACCAACCAAAATGTAGCATTATATTCCTCTGCCATCAATGGTAATTCTGCTGCATCCATTGAATCGGAACAAACCAACAATGACTTGGAGTTGGAAACTCAACTAAATGCAAATATATATAACACCAACCCAAATATAGCGCAATATGCCTCTACCATCAATGGTAATTCTGCTACATCCATTGAACCACAACAGACCAACACTGATATGGAAACTCAACTCAATGGAAATAACACCAACCCAAATGTAGAATTTTATCCCTCTTCCATCAATGGTAATACTGCTACATTCATTGAACCAGAACAGACCAACAATGAGATGGAAACTCAACTCAATAGAAATAACAACAACCCAAATGTAGCATTATATTCCTTTGCCACCATTGGTAATTCTGCTACATCCATTGAACCAGAACAGACGAACACTGATATGGAAACTCAACTCAATGAAAATAACACAAACCCAAATGTAGCACAATATTTCTCTGCCATCAATGGTAATACTGCTACATCCATTGAACCAGAACAGACCAACAATGAGATGGAAACTCAACTCAATGGAAATAACACCAACCCAAATGTAGCATTATATTCCTCTGCCATCATTGGTAATTCTACTACATCCATTGAACCAGAACAGACGAACACTGATATGGAAACTCAACTCAATGAAAATAACACAAACCCAAATGTAGCACAATATTTCTCTGCCATCAATGGTAATACTGCTACATCCATTGAACCAGAGCAGACCAACACTGATATGGAAACTCAACTCAATGAAAATAACACAAACCCAAATGTAGCACAATATTCCTCTGCCATCAATGGTAATACTGCTACATCCATTGAACCAGAACAGACCAACAATGAGATGGAAACTCAACTCAATGGAAATAACACAAACCCAAATGTAGCACAATATTCCTCTGCCATCAATGGTAATACTGCTACATCCATTGAACCAGAACAGACCAACAATGAGATGGAAACTCAACTCAATGGAAATAACACCAACCCAAATGTAGCATTATATTCCTCTGCCATCATTGGTAATTCTACTACATCCATTGAACCAGAACAGACCAACACTGATATGGAAACTCAACTCAATGAAAATAACACAAACCCAAATGTAGCACAATATTCCTCTGCCATCAATGGTAATACTGCTACATCCATTGAACCAGAACAGACCAACAATGAGATGGAAACTCAACTCAATGGAAATGGCACCAACCCAAATGTAGCACAATATTCCTCTGCCATCAATGGTAATTCTGCTACATCCATTGAACCAGAACAGACCAACAATGACTTTGGGACTCAACTCAATGGAAATAACTCCAACCCAAATATAGCACAATATTCATCTGTCACATCAACACTAAGGAAACGAAAGGCCGTGAAAGATGTTACAATGAACACAGGTAATACAGAAATTATATTTTGGTATGTCATCTCATGATAGCATTGTATGACTGTATGATGTATAAATAAGATCATGTAATAAATGTTTATCCAGTCATGTTGTATTCCTTATACATGGTGATGCTACTACTGTGATCTAAACTTCAACCAAGCTCTAGGAATTGTTCACTCTTATTTTTTTATTGAAATGTAAGACATCATAACAAGCATTAGTATGATAAAATGTCACCAGCTACATTTTTGCAAATCAAATGGTTGCAAAAATATGACATTAGTGTTTAACATCCAATAGCTGCATTACAAATGTACATGTTGTTTTAATCCAAGAAATAATTAACTAGCAATAATTATAAACATATCATTCATTTGCTTACAGATCCCAGCTCGAATGGAAATAAAATACTAGCACCAGAGTTGATCAATTTTGCCAGCAGCCCAACTGACCAAAAGAAGCCGAAAGTTGAGATGGTAATCAAAATAAATGGGAAGGAAGTAGAAGTTGACAAACTAAACATGTCGTCAGAGGCTGTAAAAGCCTATGAAACCCTGTCAAAAGCTCTAACAAATGAAAATACCCTGAAGAATAATTTGTGCGAGGAAATTATGCCAGAAAGTGATGAGGAAGAGGTAACTTGTATAGTTTCACTGCATAATGGCTCATAGAAGTATTGACATTGATGAGAAACCATTCAAATGTGATAATTGTTCCTCCCTCAGTTGAAAAACAGTTGAGAAACCACAGGAGGATCCACCACGGCGAAAAATATGTTAATGAGCATTTGGCCAAAAATTCTTCAGAATTGTAATGAACATTTTAAACAAAATTGTAAAAAACTTTGTAAAAATGAAAGTGTACTCGTGTAATGAATGTTTTAAACAAAATGAAACTGTGAAACTGTAATGGATTCTTCAATGAATTCAAAGTGAAACTGTAATGACAGTATGTTGTAATGAAACTTCTTTGCCACATATGGTTTTGATAGCTTGCCATAGTGCTATGTTATGCACATTCTTTAAAATACAGGGTAACCCAAAAAATGCCACCCTCTATTTTTGGAAATTTCTCAATAATGAAGGAATCTTCAGGATTCGTATGTGTATGTGTGTTTTATGTGTTTTTATGTGAAGAAAGATCGCTATGCCTGCATAACATCAACAACCTGAAAATTAAGAGATATCTCATTTTCCGCCAAGACATGCTCTGACACAAATTCACTCAAAAATGGAGAAAATCTTGCTTTTCTAAAATTAATCAATAAACAAGTCAGTTCATCAAATTTGCCAAAATTATTTTCGAAGAATGTGTAGATATGACATATTCATGATAATATATGGGAAAGCGATCCAGAAATGACTCAAATAATGGCTCAGAAAGAAATCCCAATATCAGAAAATTGTATTTTTGAACATTTTTGAAGATTTCACTGAAAGCATATACCTGAATGGAAAGCATGATATCTCTAAATCTGTAAGTTGTTGATGCTCCACAAGAAAAACAGTCTTTCTTCCATTGAACACTCTTCACACAAAAATCACGAAGATCCATTCATTATTGAGAAAGTTATTACATATATAGGTGGTGGGATTTTTGTGTCACCCTGTAAACTACGGTTCATTCTATTGTGTTGAGGTTTAAGCAAGCTTAATTTCTATTATTTCCATTTTTACAACACAGGGATTTAGCTACGTGTACTCCCCCAGCGTCTAACAATAAAAAAACAGGATTCATTGATCCCTTTGGGTATACATTTATATATTCTACTTCATGTTTTTCTGATGTCACATAATAAATTACAAACTACATTGGATCAGGTATACATAGTGTAGGGTTTCTATTAGAGATTATACCACTCTAAGTCCAATTATAGTTGTATAACAGGTGTCTATAACAACAATATAAAGTGGAGAGTGGTATATCGTCATCGTATACACTCTAGCGTATACCACTGTAGAAGTGCATTTTAGGAACTAATCAATATAGAAAAACCTTTACTGCTATTTAAAGATGGCGTGGTTGTGCATCATAGTGACACTAGCCACAGTCTACCCATAAAGACTAGACTCTCGTGAGTATATGATATACAGTGTATTCACTCGTTCGCTACGCTCACTTGTGAATATATCATATACTCACTCGAGTATAAACACGATATACAGAATGACCCATTATACATGTTATATAACCTCATAGTACAATATAAGATATGCAATACGCATAGCAATGTACACTATGTTATCAGAATGTCCCCATTGGTGTAACGTAGTGTCACTTTATTATATGACCTATATTGTTTTATTCACATTTACAAATATATCGATGATGTCTTCACTAAAACAATTATGTACTAGTACTTGTCAATCAAGCAATGTTTGTTGTATTTTCCATCAATACACTATGTACAATGAATAGTCAAAATGTTTCCTAAAATCTCCGTGATGTACAGAATAGTCAAAATGTTTCGTGAAACCGTTGTACACGGAATATTCAAAATGTTTCGTGAAACCTATCTTATGTTTTACACAGAATAGTCAAAATGATTCATAAAACCTCGTTCTGTACACAGAATAGTCAAAATGTTTTGTAAAACCTCTCTAATGTTGAATACTAACTTATTATATGGATCTTTTCATAGAACACTGCATAACATTTAACATTGCTTTCCGCATCTTTTTCATCCCAATGCCATATATCCAGGGATTCACCGCACTATTTGCAACCATTAAAGCGACCAAATAATAACTAAGAGATTTGTCCCAATCAGGCGAATCTGCCCTTTTAATAAGTGAGTTGATTGTTGATGGTAGCCAGCATAGCAAGAACAACCCAACAACAAGTGTCATCGTCTTAGCAATTTTGTTTTCGTTACGATGCGCAACAGCCATGTTGTTGTTGAACCTGACCAATTGAGAGTTGATCCTTGCTCTATGCTTTGCTGCTACCATGGCAACAACAGAATGTGACATTACACTCACAAATATAGCAACGAAAGTATGGATTTTCAGTACAGAAAAAACAAGTGGTGATACAACATTTTTTGTACGGCAAGTTTCATGTGCTTTAAATTGAATGTTACCTTCTGAAAATAAATATGCGCATGTTGATATCACATAAACCCAAAAACATAGAATATATACCATGACCCTTCGACGAGTCATCAGACTTCTATATTTCAAAGGGTGTATGATAGCAATATAACGATCCAAAGCAATTCCACAAATACTAAACAAAGATGCTCCAAATGACATAGTTAGTAAATACAAACGTATTACACATGACCATTTGTCTTGTGTGTGTTCAACATAAATGAGAGGTTTCACATATAGAATGTGAATCGTGAGAGGGGATACAAATATTCCCATAATAAGATCTGCAACTGCCAGACTGGTGAGAAACAAGTTGTTGACAGTATGCAAGTTCTTATGAATTAGAATACTGATCAACACAATGCTATTCCCTCCAACGATAAGAACAGCTATTATGGATTCAAACACAGCATGAGCTATAAGGTAATTCCTTGGAAGTAAAGGGGAAAGTCTGAATGTTTCAGTCACATCTGTGCTAATATTTTCCGCAGCCAGTGTAGATGTGGGATCTTCAGTGGCCATACCAACTATATCTCAGCAATCGTGCTTACATTCATGCTTTGTGGATCGTCTTCAGGGAGTTACTGATGTAACCGAGGACTGTGGTGGATGTCTTGCTTATATGAAAGTATCTAAACAAAAATGTAATATTATTAGTGCAAGGATCACACAAATATTGCTCACATAAGCTCGGATTAATCGAACGGGCGCCAGTCGATCTAAGGCAACAGTTGGCCGATTTTTAGACGTCATACAGGCTCCGGGAGAATTTTAAAATAACTAATAATAGTAACTAATAGGCCGGCGCCCGGAGCTTATGCCTAGGTCACATTTGCTCCGATTCATGGGCCGGCGCCCGACCGATTGCAGTATTTTGTTCAAAACTGATTTCAACTTGCTTCTAATTGACCAAACTTTTTTTGTAAATCATGTACACTTTCTCAGGAGTTCACATCTGACCTCAAATATGAGATTTGACCTTTAATTTTAAACAAAATACCGAATCGGTAGGGCGCCTGTCGAATAATCGGGGAAAATGGGACCTAAGCATTATGACTAGTTATTGTCAATCATTCATTTTTGTGAAGTGAAAATGCTCTACTTCTATTATTTTTTCTTTTCATTTTAAAATATGATATTGAAATCATATTTATAATTGTTAGTGACGTGGTCAGGAAGAAAAAAGCGATGAGGCAAAAAATATCCAAATTGGCGGCCATTTAACTCAGTGAGAAATTTAAACCTAAAGGGTAGAACACCATTAAAACAAGAACATAGTTTGATGATGGGAATAAAACAACACAAAGATGAACCTTAGATTATGTACAATTGAATGAAAATTGTTGGCATCTACTGTTAGAGGAATATTTCTCAAGTATGGTAAAAAGTGACGTCCGCCTCAACCTGACTACGCTAGAGATTGTTGGCTGTCAGTATAGAGGCTAAATATAGTAATTGTATGACAAAAAAAGTATCAGTATACTTTAATAACACGCAAGTCGGCATGGGGGGGTCATTTGCGCAAAATGCTAAGTTTAAGAATGATCTATTATTTTAAATAAAACAAAAAATCAAGGCAAATGCTTACTAACCCATTGAAATAAAATGAACGTCTAATTGAGTTGAATAAAGTTCAGCTTGTTTTTGTCTGTAGGATTCTTATTTCAAGATGTACAAAAATACCAATGAGTGATTGAGTGATAAGAAAATAGATAAATGCTTGACTTGGTATAATTTCAAAATGATTTCGGTCCACGAAATTATCTAGCAATTACCAGCTAAGAACGTTATATACTTCGAATTTAAATAATGGGGTTAGGGGAGAATAAAAAATATATCTAAAATTTGGAAAGAGGTTTCATCATAATTCTGTTCATTACAGTTTGTCTTTACATTCAGAAATATGCGAAAATGCAAAAATTTAGTATCTAGTTTTAAGAAAGTTTTTCTCTCAAATTTGTGATCATGAAGAGATTGCGATTTCGCGAATACTCAATAATAGGTAGTCGATAGTGGCTAGTTTTTCATGAAAAGAAGCATTTTGGTAAGAAAATCCAACATGCTGGATGATTTTTTTGATCAAACAGAGGAATATTCACTTTGCATTTTCTACAGTATTAAGAACAAGGTAACTATCAATATTATGAATTTTATTTTTTGGCATTTTGGATTTAGGCTTTCTGATCCAATATTTGAATGTTTTTACAACTTTTTGCAAACTTTGAAATAGACTTAAAAACAGAATGGGTGATTACAAATATACATAATATTGATATATGTTTTTTACAATATGTTAGATATTTGGGCTAGTGGAATATCATCTTGAGAAAGATGCACAGGTATTCACCTCAAGTCAATAGAATTAAATATTTGTTTTATTATTCACTGTTGTATTACTCGCTCGCATTGATGGAATAAAAAGTATTGACGTCTAATTAATCATAATCATGTATTCCCGAGGATATAAACAACTGAAATTACAAAAGTTGCTACTGGTGAATATCATTTGATATTTAACGGAAGTTAAGTGACTTCCGTTGAATATTGAACAAATATTTCACTCTATTGAGGTGAATACCTACATACATCTTTCACAAGTGATATTCCACGAAGCCCGAAGGGCAAGTGGAATATCACCTTGTGAAAGTGCTACAGGTATTCACCGAAAATAGAGTGAAATATTTGTTTTATTATATCACTGTCTAGCTAAACATCCCTAATATTACTTAAGTCATTAAGTCTTCAGATATTTTTACGAATCTACTGAGTCGGAAATCTACTCGGTTCGGCCAAAATGCCCTAATACGTCACTTCCGCTGAAAAAAGTAGTATTCAAAAATAAATGTAGTCCCAACACAATTGTGATCATGACGAGTCAGTAAGCTAGTATGTAGGCACAGTTGTCATCTTTTTGCAATGACAACATGCCATTTCTTCTGAAAATGCGTCTATTTGGGTTATCTGAAGGAAAATTTCGAGTCAAGTGGCGCATTAATTTTGCCTTGATTTTTGTGAATTTCAATTTGTGTCGGCAGCGAGAGGGGGTAGTGTCACAATTGACCAATTATTTCAAAAAGTAGATGTTTGGCCCCTATTGAGTTTTTTGTCAAGATGTAGCTTAGACATAGCTTTAGAACCTCAGATAGGCCAGTGAGGCCACATAAATCCATAACTCGAGATAAAAAGTCAGGCGTTTGCCCTTTTGCCCATTGACTAATGACTAGTATGGTGACGTGAATTAGGGCAGTTTGGCCTTCGTCTGCCATTTTGACTTACACTGAACTAAATTATTTACACTGAACGAAAACAAATTCTTTGAAAATTCCCGGGAGCGTGGGATATCGCTAGATATCTCACGGTTGTCTTATCTGATTAGCATTGCCATTGAATATCGCCAGATATCCCACGACATGTGACCCGGATTTGACCAATCATACTGTCGCTAGCTAGATAGTGATATAATAACGCTTGTTATTTTTTCAGTCACGTGTAGGACATGGACCACTCAGAGAGTTAGGAATATGACCGTGGTATAATATTATAAACTATTTGACTTGCCAGGTGCTATAAATTCTATTTTATTAGTATTAAGAATAGTATTTGTTTATGAAGGATTCAGCAGCACTTTACAAAAATATGACTGGAGCATTTAAATGGATTCTAATGAAAAACAATACTAGTGCTGCACATGATATATACATTGCATGATCGCAACACAGGATATTATAATTAAAGTGTGGTCAATTGAATTTGATTAATAGAAAATGCATTTACACGCACCTGAGCATTTTGATAGAAAATACATGATGTATATTGTATATTGCGTGATTGCAACTCAGAAAAACATGATTTAAGTATAAGGTACCATATGGTCAGCTGAGTTAACGTAAATATAATATAATTAGCTAAGTAAGTGTTTTTATTCATTTCACCTGGGTTCTCATTTAAGTAAAGATTGTTTACTTAGGGACCACGCCTCTCTCTATGAGCGTTACAAGATTATCGCATATTCCTGTGCAGGCACGCCTGGATTTTACACCAAAATGACCCCCTCCTTTTGTAACATAATTTTATAATGATTTCATCAATAACAAGTATTTAATTTTGCGTTTATTTGAATATGGACTTCCTGTCCTTGGAAGTACACGCAAAAAATCGTTTGTATTAACAAAGTTATGTCACAAAAGGTAGATGGCATTCTGTTGTATAGAATTCAGGTGTGCCTGCAAAGGAATAATATACTAAATTAAGAGCAAATTTTGTCTCGCTTAAGGTTATTAAAGCGCATCAATTTGGGCTGTATTCATCTGAAACGTCTTGTGGAGCTGCTCCGTGGAGTTAGAATGTGCTAACAATTCAGATATGCTCCAGACACATTTTTTGCGTCACCCAAACCTTTAAAACGGTCATAAAAATTGTTAAATGACAAAATGATAATATACGACATGCATTCAGGCATTATATTTGACTTCATATGAAGCATGGGCTTTCAATTAGAGTTAAAGCCCATGTATGCAATTATAACTAATACGATGATTCTTATCTAAATATGTATAATATACTCGTATATGCAAATTATAAAAAGCTATACTAGTACATGTAGTACAGGTCAATGTAAAGAGTAGTTGTATGAAATAATTTTGTCACAAAAAGCAGCAAAACATTATATCAATTTCTTTTTATTCTCAGCCATTTTAGTTAACATTGGTTTGATCTGACTCGCGAAATCCACTTTTCCATCAACAAAAGTGGCACGTTTTGAAACCTCTGTCGATAGGATTTCTGTTTTGAGTTATTTCTGTTCAACATCATTACAGAAAACTCCCCTATGACTCCTAGTTCAGAAGCTCGCCTATTTTCAAAATGGCCGCCATTTTTATCTCGCGAAATTCACGTTTGAGCCATTTCCTAGCTTTACAAATAATTTCAGGTGTCCTTCATTGTAAAATTCCATGTCAATGTAAAGAGTAGTTGTATTAAATAATTTTGTTACAAAAAAATCAGCAAAAATTTATGTTCATTTTTTATTTTCAGCCATTTTAGTTAACATTGATTTGTCCATCTGTCTCGCGAAATCCACTTTTGGACCATTTGCCTTAAAAAATCTATTGAAAAAAAGGATTCCCGTTTTACGGTTATTTTTTACCAATATCAATACAAAAAACTCCCCTATGCCTCCTGGTTCAAAAGCTCGACTATTTTCAATTTGGTCGCCATTCTTGTCTCGCGAAAGTCACTTTTGGTCCATTAGCTAGCTTTACAAATAGTTTCAGATGTCCTGCATTGTAAAAAGCCATGTCACTGTAAGTAGTAGTTGTATTAAATAATTTTGTCACAAAAATCGGCCAAAAATTAGATCAGTTTTTTTTTCAGGATTCCAGTTTTAAGTTAGTTTTGTTCAACATCACTACAAAAAACTATGACTCCTGGTTCAAAAGCTCGCCTATTTTCAAAATGGCCGCCATTTTTATCTCGCGAAATTCACGTTTGAGCCATTTCCTAGCTTTACAAATAATTTCAGGTGTCCTGCATTGTAAAATTCCATGTCAATGTAAAGAGTAGTTGTATTAAATAATTTTGTTACAAAACAATCAGCAAAAATGTATATTCATTTTTTTATTTTCAGCCATTTTAGTTAACATTGATTTGTCCATCTGTCTAGCGAAATCCACTTTTGGACCATTTGCCTTAAAACATCTGTTGAAAGGATTCCCGTTTCACGGTTATTTTTGACCAACATCAATACAACAAACTCCCCTATGCCTCCTTGTTCAAAAGCTCGACTATTTTCAAAATGGTCGTCATTCTTGTCTCGCGAAAGTCACTTTTGGTCCATTAGCTAGCTTTACAAATAGTTTCAGATGTCCTGCATTGTAAAAAGCCATGTCACTGTAAAGAGTAGTTGTATTAAATAATTTTGTTACAAAAAATCGGCAAAAAATTAGATCAGTTTTTTTTTTTTTTCAGGATTCCAGTTTTAAGTTAGTTTTGTTCAACATCAATACAAAAAACTTCCCTAAGACTCCTGGTTCGAAAGCTCGCCTATTTCCAAAATGGTCGCCATTTTTGTCTCGCGAAATTCAATTTTGGCCCAATTCCTAGCTTTACAAATAATTTCAGGTGTCCTTTATTGTAAAAATCACTGTAAAGAGTAGTTGTATGAAATATTTTGTTACAAAACATCGTCAAAAGATTATATCCGCTTTTTTATTTTCTATCATTTTAGCCATCATTCACTTTTGAGCAACACCATGTTAGCCCAGTACCCACGGTTCTATTTTACTTTTTTAGTTTGTTCTCATTTTTTTAATAAAATTATAAGTTTGATATCTTATCTTAATATTTTGGTTAATAATATTGATTGATGATATTCAAAGATAAATTACACGTAAGATTTACATCAACCAACTGATAAACAGTCCTTCCATCTGCATAGCTAAAAATATTTTTTAAAGCTACTTACACGTAGCCTAAATGCCCCTCTTCATTGTTGGCCCGTATCAGAGACTCCTGGTCAGAGACATCAAGTGAGATTCCCTTAGACTTCCACCAACTATACGATCTATCATTTGTAATCATATATGATAGGTACCTGTGCTATTCTTTAATTGGCTACTTTATTTGAATCTGCTCAGTATATAACATATTATATAGTACACGGTGAGGGATGTAGACGCGTCGGTATATTCACTTTTTGACGTCGCATGACAAAAAAGCCATGGACGAAGTACGATAAAATGGGATCGATCGACATTATTTTATAAATTAGAGAACTTTCACTCAAAACAAGAGATTATTAATTTAATTTGCAAATTGACTATACTCAATAAAACAATATCTTAACATCCATTGCATCTCGAAGAGCGTAACTTACATAAAACATGGTGTGTAACCCGACCGCACCGTGGTCGACCGTGCATTATTTTAGTATGAACCGTGCATTATATAACCAACAAACTACCTCGTCATCTGTTGAATCAGTGGCTGTCAATAAGCTGACAACTTGCCTCTATAGACAGAAACGATAGAATTCGACCCTTGCAAAAAATTCATTGAAAACGGTGTTCTTTTAGTGATTTCGTATATTTTATGGTGATATGGGCTTTCAACTCTAGTTGGTGATATCCCAGAAAACATTTTGCAATGTGTGAAAATAATTTAAGCCCACGACCATGACAACACAATCCATTTTGGCTGATTCATTCCACAAAGACGTTTTTTCGAAACTTAGCATTCGATATTGCGCATCTCATGCACACCTTGGAGCGTGCGAACTGAAATCAGAGACAAATGTTTGGCTGTCGCAATTCACGGAGTCCAAGGCCCGGCCCTGGGCTTAAATCCTTAAACAATCTGAGTTTACATGTCACCCGACCCGCGGCATAATTTAACCATGGGCTTACAAGAGAAGGCCCGTGATTTAAAGTTTCACCCGGGCCGTTTCATGTTTGTATTTATTCCCGGTAATTTGTTCAAAAAGGCTTTGAAAGACTGAAAGCACTGCACGAAATCACACACTTGCGCAAGTTAATTAGAACTCCTGCGAAAAGCGCTTCGTAAAAATTGTCACAACGGTCTGACAGAGCTATTTAAATTAAAGTTAAATTGTCAAACAAATAAAACAATCGAATCGTATAATTCCAAGCAAATGAAAGCGAAAGTGATTGTGACACGTGACACTATTTACAGTCTACCGGATTACGTTATAATGAAATATTTATTTTTTCGAGAATGAACGAGTCGAAAAAACTCGAAGAAGAGATTAAATTCTACAGAAGTGAGTATAGGTTTGTTGACACGTTATAATTAAATACACTAAGATTCAACAAATCGCCATTTTACCAAAGAATATAGTGTATAAACAGTCTGAATTGCAACTTATTTCGGAGAGAAAAAAAATCAGTCTCCATTTTTTCACTCCAGAATTTGAATTGGAAGTTCTGGTCTTATTTCCTAACCCCAAAATTCAAAACACACAAGAAGTGATCAAGCTGTAGGTTCAAATCTTTTGGATCAATATCATGGATTTATAGTCACTTATGATGTTAGTTAACAACATATTCAATGTTTTGATTGATCAAAGTCGAATGGATATCAAGTTGGAACCCTGGGAGACAATCCTCCCTTGGGGACCCAGACTTGATTTTTTTACAAATCTTGGCCCTGTGCTTAGATTAGGAGACCCTATCTGTTGCAAGACTAACGCCTGGCGTAACCGTCACCATGTTATTCAGTGTTTTTAAGTAGCGCAAGGATCCTGCCATGACCGTGGTAATGTTATCGTGAAAGCCTGGTATAACCGTGACAGGCTGGTATAACCGTGACAATGCTGTATTGTATTGCAAGGCCTGTCATGACCCTGGAAGTGTTATCGTGAAAGCCTGGCGCAACCGTAGCCTTTATTGTGGTTTATAAGCGAATGTGAATGTTAATGTATGGTAATTGTAATTTTGATTTTGACATGATTAAGGTAGTTAAGCCTAAACACATGATCATAGTATTAAACTGTTTAATTGTAATGACTATCACTTAAAATTGTTAAGGATATTCATGGCATTAATGTCATACATATTTACTAGTCATTGCAATACATTATAACGGTCATAGTAGGACTAAGCCTAAATTTCTACATTGCCACCCTTTACTCGAGTCTCTAGCTTACAGCTAGACGAAACTTCATTGATTTCGTATGTACTCTAGAAAAGGTGCTACACGCACCTACACGCACCTAGAACTCATTTTTAATAAATTTTATAAATATTTTTAAGAATATTAATCATATTTAGGATAAAGCGTTGCTTGTCTGGATTTAGATATTTCAAAATTTCATTTCGGACTTTGACACATGGTGAAATTTTCTCGCTGTAGCTAAAAATGGCTTCCGGTTCTGGACGTGAATAAAATTTGAAATTATTCTCGCAGTTTTGAAATCAAATATAACAATAGATTCAGACGGGGATGTGAGCTGATGTTCGTCAAATCTATACATAAAGGTATATTTCATATTATTATGCCATATTTACTGTGCGTGTGACACAACGATTTACAATATTTATAATACTAAGGCAGCTCAATCTTCCTCCTCAAAGCCGGAATATAGAGAAGGCTTTGGACCGAAGTAAGCCACCCTCATACCTGGCCTTGCAATACTATATTACATTGTCACGGTCATACCAGGCTTTGCGATCCCATAATACATTGTCACGGTCATGCCAGGTTTTCAAATACACATTGTCACGGTCACTTATAGCAATCATAAATTTCTACATTACCATTTTCATACCCGAACTTGGAATACTATATCACATTGCCATGGCGGTCATACCAAGTCTTGCAATACTATATTACATTGTCACGGCCATGCCAGGCCTTGCAGTACTATATTACATTGCCACGGTCATGCCAGGCTTTGCAATACACATTGTCACGGTTATAGCAGTCCAAATCGTAAATTTCTACATTACCACTCTCATACCTGAACTTGCCATGCCAGGCCTTGCAGAACTATATAACATTGTCACGGTCATGCCAGGCCTTGCAGTACTACAGTATATTACATTGTCACGGTCAGGGCAGGCATTGCGACGGTTGTGGCAGGCTTATGTCTTGCAATAGATAGCATGTGTAGATTAGGTTAATTCCTATTTATATTTTTCACAGATTGAAATTTCAAACTTGTCAAAGTTCATATAATGGTACTTGAAGCTGCCCTGTCAACCCTCACGCATTAGGCATGATTGTCACGCATTTGCTGGAAAAATAGAAATCACGCATCAATTTAGTGTGTATGATCAAATATCACGCAAATCACGCATTTTGTTGATATTTTTAAAAATCGTTATTTGTGAAATGCCAACACGGTAAAATACCGAACGGCGAAAAAAAAGCGAACGCATTCCGTTCGGTCTTTACACGCGATTGCCGTTTATGTCACGCATTTTATATAAAATATGTGTATATATCACACATTTGTTCACACTTACTCCATGTCTGTATCTGTGGACAGACTGACTAGAAGTCATTGTATCAACCTTATGTGCTCAGATGCTGTCCTATGGAAATTGCTGTATCGATTTGAAAAAAATCAACATGATAACATTTCAATTAGGTAGTGAGATACAATTAAATGCTAGACTATTAAATGAATTTGTTACATTTTCAGATCTTATCAACAACTACAAAACAACAGGTTCACAGTCTAACAGTGCACCAAGGTCCCATAATGCGTCAAAGCAATACAATGCACCAAGGCCCCACAATGCATCAAAGCAATACAATGCACCAAGGCCCCATAATGCATCAAATCCAAGAAATGTGTCAATGCCATATTATGCCTCAAAGACTTTCAATGCTCAAAAAATGGACTCGGGAGTATATCACGAAAAATCTAGTCAGTGGTCAAGGAATTTCTCCACAAATAAGACTTGGACGAAACAATGTCAGAAAAATTCAGTACCTATAATTAGTAAAGAAAAACAGGCAAATTTAGATGTGTCACACAGGTCCAAAAATGAATCAAAGATTGTAGCAGAAAAAGGACATATGACTAAGCCAGTAGTTAATATTCCAATGACTGGATCTCAAGAGCCACATCCTCACATAATTGGAGTAAAGGATGTTGCAGAACACAGACTTAAAGCTAAACAGGATGTTTCATCTCATAAAACTAAATCCGGTAAGCCAACCATGGGTTTATGTAAAACTGTGCCTCAATCAGGGAACCTTGCGAAGCCAGTAAAACCTTATGCAATAGATGGTAGAGCCAAATGGATGAAACCAACTGTATCTGAAGATATACCAAAAACAGATAATTTGCCAAAGTCATCCAAATTAGGAAACGCAACAAAAGCAAGTAATATACTGAAATTCAGTAATGCAAAGAGTTCTAAAAGTTTTAGTTCAGGATCACATGAAATAGATTCTGAACAAATGTTGCCCTTTTCAGGGAGTGCAATACTTACCAAAAAAGGATCTCAGGGACATGAAAAATCATATGTTCAACAGCGGAATCACAAACCATCTCTGTCCTCAAAAAACAAATACACTTGGAGAAAGGGAAAAAGCACCGATGCCACGAAACAGAAAACTGACACGGAAGGATTCCAAATGAATGATCATCAACAGAATAGGACAGATGAACAGACCTATGAGAGAGTCAATGAAATAAAACATCCAGATTCTGAAGATCACACTTTTAAGAGCAAGCAGGTGAATGTCCCACCTGGTGGTAATATTACCAATCCAAGAGCATCATCAAATACAAGTATTAAATCAGGTCTTCAGCAAACATCAAAATATAAACTTGTTAGGAAGGACAGTCCAGTTAGCCCTAAAAAAACCTTGGATGTGATAGAAAAGAAAACACAACAATCAAATAAGATATCTGGATTTGATCTCGATACAATTGAGCATCCTACAGTTTCCATAGATAAAAGAAATGTGGCGTTGCCTATTGAAACTAGGTCACCTAATGAGAACTCAGGATCCATGTCTACTGGTAAGGAATCCCCGATTTCTAAATATAAAATTGTCCGAAACATTGCTCCATCTAGTCCTTATAATTTATCTAAACAGTTGCAAGAATCTAGAAAAGTTAACTACCAAGGGGAACGTTCTGGTGTTGAAAGTTCCATTCATGATCCTGGAATGGAAAATTCCGTTCAATCTAAAAAGAAGGGAGTCAGTGGTATCATCAGTAAATACAAATACATTAGGCAGAATTCTTCCTCAAATCAAACTGCAAATAAACTTATCAGAAAATATCAAAAAGGAGCTGAAAATTTTGACAATATAGGATCTCATTCTTCAGAATCAGTCATTGAAAAACTCAAAAGAAAATCTCAACAAAAACAGTCATCTCGTGTCAAAAGACTACAACAAAAAACTAACCCCTACAAACTAAACAGAAATGATGCTGACATCGTGAAATCACCATATACCCCAAGGACAATCCAACACACAATAAGGAAAGGCAAGAACCAAATACGGACAAGTAAAAATACAATGGAGACAACAAAACATGAAATGAGTTGTAGTAGATTTAAGAGGACGAAAGGTAAAGATGGACGAAATTCAAAGAAATTTAAGAAGAAACTGGACAAAACTTGGGTGTCTAAGTACTCTCTTCAAAGAAATAAAGAAGGTGAGAAAATTGTATAATTAGTTAATAATTTTAGGTACAGTAATACCCTTCAGGTAAATTGTGAAGGAGGTACATTTCTAAAAGAAAAAAATTAAGAAATATAGACCCAAGAGCAGGTGTTATATTGACGAATACTATGACACCTGCTCTGAGGTCCATATTATGATTCGAACATGAAAACTCACCAAAATGTTTTGAATATTCATTATGGTCCGCCAATACTATGACCCACTGTTATAACATCACAAATTACTCATATTACTAGGGGTTTTGTTCTTTGACTTTGTTCAGAGTTTATAGAAGGTGTGAATACAGTCATGTTCGAATAACCGAAACTCATGCATCAGGGCCTGAAACTTCATATTGTCCCTTATCTAATAAACAGTACAGGGTATAAATGAGGTTTCTCGAAAAGTTAAAAAAAGTTTATTCAAGAATAAATTAAATTCTAAAAACTATCAACTAATATGGGGAAAACCCCACTATACATACATGTGAGGTATATTTTAATCTTCATATAAACTTTACTCCTTGCTAATCTCTTAAATATATGATTATACAGGGTGTCTATAAAAGTCTCTATATTCCACACAGACTTTGTATTGCAAACATGAATAGACTTTATTGACACCCTGTACTGTATCTCTGGAATTGTTAATGAATATTTCATCTTTTTGATTTAGATGAGGGTCCCTCTTTGAATGCAATTCTAGGGAGGAAAGTTACTAATAAAAGCAAGAATAAGTTCAAGTTCGTCAAAGCTCATGAGAAGCAAGATTCTTGCAAGTAAGTACATTCATCATATGATCTGTACAATGAAGCCCTCTGATTGGTCAGTTCTTGTGCTGTACCAATCTGTATTGCCACTGAGATTGTCCCCGTTGATCATCTCCGTCGCAATACAGAAAATATTGGTACGGAGGGGACAATCTCAGTAGCAATACAGAGGATAACATGATAAAAACTTTATTGAATGATTTGAAGTGCAATACAGGATATATTCTGCTCGTGAAATTCTGTATTGGAACGAGACGAATATCGATTTTCTGTATTGGCACTCGACTTCGTCTTGTTCCAATACAGAATTTCTTGAGCAGAATCCTGTATTGCACTTCAAATCATTCAATAACTTATCATATATTTGTATCACTTAAAATTTAAATTGACCAAGCTCCTTTTCTTCGTTTTGAAGAAATCAGAGTCAAAGGACCACTGCTTAAAGAAACATATACTACAGGGTGTCCATAAAGTCCCTTTTCAATTACAATACAAAGTCTGTAAAGTGTGAAGAGATTTTATAGACACCCTTTGTATTAAGGGCCTTGATCAGAAGGAGGGGTATTTAAAATCTAAGTGCTTTTCATTAACAAGACTCACTTTTGTAGTAATGAACAGTAAGTATCACTTGAAAATAAAAGAGAGATCGAAGAAGAAATTTGCATATTAAACTGCCTGCTGACGGCTGATGGTTTAACCTAGTAGTGCTACCTAATTTTGAATGGAATAATGGTATATGTATATATAGTACCTTTCAAATGAGTTTGCCATAAGAATTAAGTTAATCCATCAGCCGGCAGTTGAATTCACTAATGCTACCTTAATCTGAACATTTTGGTCAGAATTCTCAATCTGCCCATGATAGTTCAATTAATAATATCAACATTACATTTTTTATTTTTATTTATTTTAGAATGCGAATAGACAGAAGAAAGCATTCCCAAGGGGGAAAAGTGTCTAAGCAAACTGCCAGCTCCAGCCAGCCATCTTTAGTTATGATCAGTGGAACAGTGTACAGGTATTGTTTATCAGAAAATTGTTTCTATCATTTGAAGCCAAAATTCTCATGTGGCAACATGCACAATATTGTCTCATGACAGTATTCTATGCCAAATTTTTATCATTGTATCTCAAATATTCTATGAATTAGAATAAATATTTCAAGACTTATGGGACAACCCTCATACAGTACAGTGAAACCTGTCTTATCCAAACAACATTTGGATGACCTAAAAGTGTTCAGATTGGGTGTTCACATTTTGTTAAAATAAACTTGATCCACAAAAAGTATTCACATTGAGAGGTTTTCAGTTATACAGGTTTTACTATGCTTGTTATCCCATCGAACGAAGTTCGGAGGGATATAGGGAAGTTCCGATTTTCAAAATGGCCACTCATTTCAAAATCTTGAAAAATGGTGGCCTTTACTCGTTATTTTATGATTTTTGCTGTAACTCGAAAAGTAGTGGAGCGATTTTGTTCATATTTGGTATGTGAATACTATAAGCATTGCACACTGTCTAAAGACACTTTTGGTAGAAGGCGACCATTTCAAAAATGGCCGCCATTTTAACATATTTTACTTGAAAAGTAATGGAGCGATTTTGTTCATATTTGGTATGTGAATACTATAAGCATGACACACTGTCCTATGACATTTTTGGTAGAAGGTGGCCATTTTGAAATATGGCCGCCATTTTAACATATTTTACTATAACTCGAAAAGTAGTGAAGCGATTTTGTTCATATTTGGTATGTGAATACTATAAGCATGGCACACTGTCTAATGACATTTTTGGTAGAAGGCGGTCATTTTGAAAAATGGCCACCATTTTAACGTATTTTACTATAACTTGAAAAATAGTGGAGCGATTTTGTTTATATTTGGTATGTGAATACTATAAGCACAGCACAGTGTCTAATGACACTTTTGGTAGAAGGTGGCCATTTTGAAAAATGGTTGCCATTTTAACGTATTTTACTATAAATTGAAAAGTAGTTGAGCCATTTTGTTCATATATGGTATATGAATACTAAAAGCATGGCACACTGTCTAATGACACTTTTGGTAGAAGGCGGCCATTTTGAAAAATGGCTGCCATTTTTTGCTATATACTTTGTTTGTCAAAATGCCAGCCATGGCTGTTCGATGGGATTTGCTACGCTTTGGCGTTGCTGTTGTCTAGTTACTTCATGCATCACATTTTCCTTAATATTTATAACTTCATTCTACCTTATATTTTGTTCACCGATTCGAATGAAGATCGAGATAAAACATAAGGAGTGATTAATTTTTTCTGTGTTATATAATATTTTAGATATGATACGAGTTGCTTTTTAAGGTTTCGGTTAACTAAGGTCTGAGTTGACTTAGGTCCAAGCTAATCATTTATATATTTAAGTACTCTTGAATGCAGGCTCCAAACCCTAATGCCATTTAACAAAGGAGTTATTAAGTTAAGAATTTCTAACAGGGTGCATCATAAGCGTCGGCCCGAGCGCCCGGGACCAGTTACTTTTGATACGGACCAGTTCACTTTCAAAAGTCACCAGCCCGGTTGACCAGTCCACCTCTTGGTCAACATAGAGTACATATCGTAACAAACCAGTTCCTAATGGCTTAGATGACACAATTTACATAGACGCACTTGCTACTTTTGCAACATTTCTGCCCGGTTTCATGAAAATAAATTCATATTTCGAAGTTTTTGTCATCTTATTTCCGGGTCAGTTAAGAACCAGTATTTTCGTTGAATGTTAAATCACTTAAGAGAAATGAGGCCAATCAAATTTGACATACTTTCTTGCCTTTTCTCCGATGAAGTCCCCGGGGCGTATCAAAAATGCAAAACTGAATTTGATCAATGCTTCATAGGTTCATACTGGTATAAGCGATCAGATATTTCTCTTATATTATCTTATAAAACCTTGCATTGAATTATCTAAGAACCGAAGGCTTCATTCTGCATTAATAAGATCACAAGTAGATTACTTTCTTGATCACGAGCGGCTCCCTGATTCTCGATGTGCAGAAGCAATGCACAGTAGGTTTACGCATGGCTGACGATCTATCTGAGTTCTCACCAAGTATGTTCAATATACTCCCCTGAGTTGAGAGGTTACATTCTCTAGATTTGAACTTGATTGTATGATCTTAGATACCAAATACATACATGAAAATCCAGTCGATCTAACATTTTAAGGGGGTTACGATGATAAACTAGGTATGAAAAATAATTCACTTTCAATTTTATTTGATCAACAATTTATCGAACACCATATGCACTGTAAATAGCACCCAATGTCCGAGTTTGTCTTATTTTGAAAAATAAGTCATTATATATGGGCCAGTATATATTGCAGCGGACCAGTTCGTTTTGAAAAAGTACTGGTCAAGCTTGACCAGTAAGATTTGAAACAGACCAGTTGTTTTAAGGTACCGACTGGTCCGCTTGACCAGTGAGTAATTGGCTCTTATGAGGCATTCTGATTTCTAAGCCTATTGTCCTTGTCTAATTAATACATGATGGTTTCCGTGGTTTCAACAATTGGTTTAGCATATCTAATAATATTATTTCAGTACACCCCAAGAGGATTGACGTCAATACTGCAGTTTTTTTCATTAAAATTAATCCATTGGTCACATCGGGTCACAACTGGGTCACACATGCGCTAAATGTCTTTGACTTATTGTAGGTGCAATTTTTATTCACAATCTATTATGCATTAAATTTATATTATATTTTCAATATGTCTCAACCATACCTTTTTGGCTCATTATGCATTGCTAGCATGTCTCGTGGTAAGATTGTAATTTAAATAAATCATACTGTGGGTACTAGGCTCACATGGTGTTGCTCAAAGTCGAAAAAGTAAATGATGTCTAAAATGTCCGACAATGAAGAAGCAGATATAGATTTTTGCCAATTTCTTTTTACAAAATGATCTCATTAAACTATTGTTTACAGTGAAATTTTTTTATACAAGGCAGGAAACTTGAAATTATTTATAAAGCTACTGAATGGTCCAAAAATGAATTTTCAGTGACTAAATGATGGCCATTTTGAAAATAGGCAAGCTTTGTGTTTTGAACCCGCACTCACAGGAGGGACTTCTATATTGAAAAGGAACCAAAATATTTTAAAACGGGAATTCTATTGACCAAGGTTTTGAAATGTGCTATTGTGTCTGTCTGAAAAACAGATGGACAAATCAATGGTATCTAAAATGGCTAACAATAAAAATTCAGATAGAAATTTTTGCAGTTTTCTATAATAAATTGATTTCTTATAGGCCCACTATGGTTAATTTAGAAGAAAAATGGAAAAAATAATGATTGTTACATAAATGGAATGGGTTAGAAGTGCATATCTTAACCATTTTTTGAAGTTCAACATATCATCCTTTGGCAGAGTGCAGACAGTTTTTTAGCATGATGGCCCAGGTCTTTCGAATTTTTAGTTGCAATCATATGGAACTGGTCATGCAGCTTTAAGCCTAGCTTCTCCACCTCTTTGACCAGATGTCTTCCCTTTGAATCTCTGTCTTAGGGGAAGGGGGTTTTAGACATTGTTTCTTTTCACGGTGGATATGATGTGGGATAGTGTGGGTTTGTTTTCCTTATGACTGGTGTGCTCTTAGATGTTTTCTTTTTCTTGCTGTGTTCTGTCACAATATTTGGTCCTTTCCCTTTGGCACTTTTGCATACACATTCAGAAAAAATCTCAGTGAAAAGTAACACAAATCCCCTCCCTTCTAATGCCCATATTGCATGACGATTTTCTACAGAGTACAGCACTGGTATGTCTCAAAAATCCATGAGCATTGATTAACATTTTACATGTTTATAAAAGTGAACTGTAAAATATATAATTTTGTAATTTCTATTTTGTTATTATGAACAATATTTTCAGGAGATCAGCTTGCAAGTTATCGAGACAGACTTCTAAAGATAAAGTCTATAACTCTTCTATTAGGCCAGGTAAGTCAAGCCCCACCCTAAAAAAACTGGCTTTATTTGGACAAAGTTATCCTTAACATGGGACTTGTTTTTTTCTTAAATAAGTCTCATTTTCAAATATGGGTCCATATTTGTACACAGAGGGCTTGCATTTTTCCTCAAAATATTGAGTAGGGATAAAAAATCAGAGGGTGATAGGAAATGTTCGCTTTTCAGAACTAGGCCTGAGACATTTAGCCAGGGTGTGTTTCTTTCAAAATCATGCAGTTTGTCACTATTTTAAGCACTTTTCAAGTGATTTTGGGCAAAAATGTCAAATTTGAGCCAGAACCCAGCATTTTTCAAAAACTAAATCTACCTTGGCAAAATTCACAAGAACATGCACATGAACTATATTAAAGCTCTTTATCTGGAGGAGGGATTTTAAAAAATGTAGTGTAGGAAATATTTACTTTTTCAAAACAAGATTTGTTTAAGCCCAAAAGAATAGTAAGATTACAGGAAAATAACACAGATCATTCTCAAACATGTTGATCAGGTTGGATTATAAAAATCACTAAATCAATTTTTTTCTTACCACAACCTTTATTTTTTCAAAATAGAAAAATTTAAAAAGGTTGGGAAAATTGATTTTGTCATGTGATACATGTTCAACCAATCACAGACTGAGAAACATGATAATGAGATAACAATACCCTTATTTATTCTACAGGGTCTAGAAAGAGGACTTTGTCAGGTTCGATATCTATACATGGAAGCAGGTACCGCATTGATTCTTCGGGAAAATCATTGAAGAAGTTGAAGCCTAAAAACCAATCAGGTATACACTGTGTGTTTGTACTACTGTATTTATTAATATCATGTGAGCCTGGTTTAAAAGACATTATAGCCAATTTGAGGTACAATAGTTAAATTCTCATCACATCTCCTTTTTTCAAACAATCTGTGATTCCAAATGAAGAGTAGGAACATCACCAGGATTTTTCCAAGGGGTATCTACATGTACATCTAAAAAAAGCAAAAAAAGGCGGTATTCACGGGTTGTTTTCACAAAATCACCTGTTGTTTTTTTAGGGACTTTTCAACGTTTCCATGTTCAATTTATGATTTCCATTAAATTGGCCTGTTGTTTTCATTTTTTTATCTTGTTGTGAGAAATTCTAGTGAAACCCTGATAGTTTTAATTGCACTTAAAGGCTAGCTTCTCCACCTCATATGCCAGAATACACAGTTTTTCTTTCCTCTGAGTTTCCTTCTCAGGGATTGGCTCAAATAGGGAGTGCCTTGAATTTCAAGTTATACTCAAAAACAATCAGTCTTGGTAAACTTTTTGGCCAATTCTACATATTTCGGCAAGTGTTTGTATTCAACTTGTTTAACACATATGGGAGTTAAAGGGGGTGACTATCTCCATGTAAATTATAGCGATTTACATTTTATTTTCAGTCCAGAGTGATAATGGAAGAATATCAAGAATCAACATTGGAGGCTCCTCGTACACACAATCGACTCCTGGGACTCTAGTGAAGACCCCTTCTGCTAGACACAAATTAGCAAAGTAAGTCAGGCTAAGTCAGAAGTATCCTGAATCATATTCAGCAAATCACACTGCCCTTTAACTATGATAGATGCTTTATTATTTAATCAGGGTTCTCACCAGGCTTTTAGACTCCAAAGATTCTCGTGGTGTCTAAAAATTTCCTGGTGAGAACTCTGTTATTGCATGTAGACTTGTAAATAATGCCTATAAAATCTTATATTCAGAGTCTGTTTTTTATATTAAAGGTTATGTTGCGTGGGATGGGGGATGGTCATGGATTAGCTTTATGGACAAGTTTATAAAAGTTTATTGTCAATGACATTACTTCATGTGTGAACTCTTAATTGCAGCCATTTGGAAAATGAGTACTACATTTTTAAATGATCAAAGTTGACCATATCAAAGCATTTCCCATGTCTTGTATGTATGGTTATAGCTACCGTTACAGAAGAGAAATGGTCTAGCAAGGAATATCCCTTTAAGCACCTTCTACCTGTGAACATTAAAAATATCTTTGAGACACTTTGTATGGTGTTTTACCTGTATTGAAACAACTTTTTCATTTTTGCTTTTTCTTGACTCATGAATATTGAACATTCTTTTTTTTAAATTAAATGTTTGAGTTTGATTTTTTATATTTTCTTTTTTCAGCCGTGTTTTACATAAAAGTATCGCAACAGTGAGCAAGTTCAAGCAGGACCGGAGAAATGAAAGATTCTGTATTTTCTACAATCGTTTTGGGCGTTGTAATAGGGGAGAGAAGTGTCCATTTGTACATGATCCAAAGAGAATAGCAGTGTGCACAAGGTTTGTCTTCCCTGTAATGGATACGGTGTCCACTATTACAACTCCAAGCAGAAACTTTCAATATCAGGGCCTCCTATTTTTCCCACATAGCAAACTTTTAAAGCATCCATTTTGCTTTTCACATAGACTTTTCAAAAGTTAATATTTTCACAAATATAATCATAAATTACCCCAAACTTCACTATTCTACAATTATGTTCATTATTCTGTTATAATTTTAATATCTGGACAAGACCCCTTATTGCAATATTGCCTGTACAGTAAAACCTGTGCATATGGTACATCTTCCATACTTGCCAAAAGTTTTAATTTCCTTACAAAAGTGTTTTTGTTATGCAAGTCAATACAACTTGGTTTATACTTTGATACATGTAACTTTACATGTAGCAAGGTGACTCTTGAAAAAGGTTTAGTGTTATTCCGTATAGTGGCTGATAAATTGTATTTTAAATTGAATAATGTCAGGAAATAAAGGAGTAGTGTTATTTCAGGTTTCTTCGGGGGACATGCCAGGTTGACAACTGTCCATTTTCCCATACGGTTGCCATGGAGAAAATGCCAGTGTGTGCTTACTTCCTGCGGGGAGTTTGCACGAAAGACTCATGTCCATATCTACATGTTAATGTTGGAAAAGAGGCTAAAATCTGCCAAGATTTTATCAAGGGATATTGTCGGCTTGCGGACAAGGTAAGCAAATATTCACTGTCCTTGCCACAGTTCATGTGCATTACCACCACTGTATAGTGGAATGGGTGATAGGTGTTTTTCGTGCGATGAAGTCTAAAAATTTTAATTGGTATAATCATTTAGGCCACCTAAAACTACATTTATTCATGAATTTTCAGTTTCCAATTTTTCAGCGTTAAGCGGCTGTTCCATTTTACCCCCCCCCTGAAAAACCAAAAGAGGGGTATGTATACAAATGCAGCCATTTCACCATTATACTTCGAGCAATTCTATTGAAAGTTCATGGGAACATACATTGTATAATAGACATGTATCATGCAAAATATGAGTGTGAAAGCTCTACTTGTTGCCATGGTAACCACTCATTGAATTATAAAAATGACTGAAAAAGGGCGATTTTCGTACATTTGGATTGCAGTAAACTGAACTTATCTTGTTGTAAGAGATTGATTGATCAGTCTAAATATGCTTAAAAACTTCCCAGATGTGTATGGTACAAATCTAGGGGAAAAGTAAATTTTTGGGATGTTTCTTATATTTTACATGATTTTTTTAATATGCATACCCCTATTCAGGATCCATATGTGCTTTTCTTGTCTGTAATGTCAAAAACATAGATATCTTCAATATTTCAAGTTGAATCTTTTCTTATATTATACTGGAAAGCTAAATGCATATTAATGAGATCCATGGTCAGGATTAATGTAATATTTGTATCTGTTGCTCTGGTGACCACATATAACTATTAATTTTTCGCACATGTTCCATGTTAAATCGTGAAGACAGCAGATTTCATCATTTCAGGAATATTTGTCTTGCATCATTACATACACAATACACAGAGTAAAAGGTCTAAAGAGGTACTATATCTAGTATACTTAGATGGGGTTTGTCATGACTGACTCTTCAAAATTGAGGTTTTAAAAAAAAGCACATGTAATGAAAAATCAGAAAATGGAACTTGTTACAAGATTAAGTTGAAAACAGGTAAAATGAACTAATAACATTTATGACATATTATTCTCTTACATCTGAAGAAATTGAAAATACATTAAAACATAAATTTTCAGAATAGTTTACCATGAAATTAAGATTAAACTGAAAAAGTAAATGTCAAACAATATATATTTCAGGGAAGCAATGAGTGAACGAGTCTTGAGAAAGCGTGTTGCACCTGCATCAGAGGCTCGCGGTGAGACATCTAGGCCAACATATCTGTTTTCCGATTCCAAATGTATTTTTTGTGATAAGACTATTAAATATCTGAAAAACAATAAGAAGGAATATCTTACACAATGTACTACAAAAATAACTAGAGCAACAATTAATCATGCTATGCATATAAGAGAGGATTGGAACTTAATTCGCAAAATTGGCGGACGTGATCTTCTGGCTGGAGAGGCTCATTTCCATCAGGCTTGCAAGCGCTCATATTGTGAACCTAAAATTGTTGGAAAACCTGAGGTAGATGACTATGGTGATTTAATTGAAAAAACTACAGGGACAAATGTCAAATTTGATGAAAAAGAACCAGAGGAATCCAATGACCCATCATTCACCTACATATGTGAAAGGATATCCGAAGACATTATGCTTAGGAAGAATGTTGGTTCTCTTAATAACATTCACAAACAATATCAGACCCATAAACAAGAAAATGATCCCGTGAATTATCAAAAGGACTATCGCAGAAGTAGATTGAAATCTCGCTTGCAGTCTCATTATGGTAATAGAATAGTTTTACAGCCTGGTAAAAATGAGAAAGACATTTTGATTTATAGCTCAAGTCTAACTGTATCAGATATTGCCGACTCAGCTGCAATGGTAAATCAGACAAATGAACATGGATGCCTGCAGAAAGCAGCACATTATTTAAGAGACAAGATAATTGCTGCTAGTGAAAACGTCTCTCCAACAAACTGGCCACCATCTGCTTCAGAATTATCAGCAAGTATGTTCCACACTATTCCACCAGAGTTGCAATATTTTCTTATACTTCTTCTATCAGGCAATGACACAAAAATGAACAATACAAAATATAAACGCTTGACTCATACCATAGGGCAAGACATTTGCTATGGTGCAACAAATGGATCATTCAAAATGCCAAAACATTACTTGCTTGCGATAGCTATTCATCATCTTACAGGGAGTGCAGAGTTGATCACACTACTGAATCATCATGGCTACTGCACCAGTTACACAGAGGTCCTAGAAATAGAGACTGCAATATGTGAAGAGATTAAACAGCAAGTGTCATCCTTACCACCATCAATATCCATTTTGTCAAACCAAGTTCTGATGTATTGCTTCGATAATTTTGATCTCAATGAGCAGACTCCCAGTGGTTCAGGAACTACACATTCTACCCATGGCATTGTCATTCAAGAACAGAAATCTGTGAATCCTCACTGTCATCAAGACACAGCTATGGAGGTTGACGCACATACAGAGTCTAGTGAAAGTCAAGGTCAGCTGGAGCCAATGGATGATGATGGTGGTGATATTTCTTCAGAATCTCAAGGTGGTGTGCCAATCCTTCTACCTCAGTCAGATGAACATGTTGATGAAATTGTTGATTCTAGTGCTCAGCCTCCATCACTTGAACCAACTAAGGAACGCTACCCTAATGCAAGGAGATCAGTTAAACTGACAGAGGACATATTACCACCATGTTATGCAGTTAACAAAGCAGAACCACCTAAAGGGTTTGATGTCTTCACAATCTCAGAGGAAAGTGAGGTGGCATTAGCTAATGCTTCTAGAAGTGATCTGATGTGGATTTTGTGTCGTCATCAACAGTCAGAAAATCAGAGTGTCCCTAGCTCAGTAGAGATGCTGAGCTCGATTGCCGTATAATACTTCATTTTAGGCACCATACGGCGATTGCCGTATCATACTTAAATTGTATAAAACCGTTATTTTTCAAAATAAAGCTCGGGCGTAAAGACGTATATCTTGAGTTTGTTCCATTTTTTAAGGTACGTATGTATATTTGTATGTTTAGATCTTTAACTTGCTATACAATTAGCTAAGCTTGTTTAGCGTGGTTAAAATAGTAAGTAAATGAATAGCCTTTTGAAAATAAAATACCCAAGTCAAAAATACACGGATCACTTCTGAAATACTATAAAAATCGAGGAAAATAATATCCAGTAATTTTTAATCATTCTTTGGAAATATCAAAAATAAGTATGGAAGCTATTTTATTTCTCTATAAGAAAGAAGATTGTTTTAAATGTATTTCCCTCGAGGGAATTAAAATTCTATCATTGGGAATTCACGCTATAGTCTTATGAACTTTAATGAAGGACTTTACCGTAAATTGACGACGTGATTTGTATGCAGCTGTACGTTAACATATTCCTTATCTTAACTTACCTTGCGTGCGTGGAGCTAGGGGCAACGTGAAGTCCAATGGTCCTTTAGTCTAGTTCAATAAATATTTTTAAAATAAATATGCCGCCTGGTTCATAAGGGAACCTGGGATAAGATGGCCTTTAGTGATTTAGTAGTCTTGATCCAGTTTTGAAACTATTCTTGCTCCGAGTAAGTCGTGTAGGTGCCAAGTTGGAAGGTGATTCGAAAGAAGACTATTCTTTTGTAGACAATGGATTAATGATTAGGTTGTTACAATTGGGAAACAAATGCAACGGGACCATTTTCCCCCAGTTTCCCTTATTGCATTTGAGTCTTTGTTCGGGGTGGTGTCAATTTAAATGACTAAGCTACATGGTCTGATTTTTAAACTTTAAATTGCAGTAATGAATAAGCTATTACGTAATTGTATATGGAGAACACTAAGGTACTATCTTGCCCCTGGCTCCCCTATTAGTGTGAACTTAATGTTGTCTTTCTAAAAAACTAATTTACTAAGTTTCTTTCTAGACGATGGGGCGGTTCAAGACAAAACAACGTTGTGCATCCCAAAATATTCATGGCGAGAAGAATGAACAAATGCACCAACTGATTGACTCAAAATATATAAAGGCTTCAACCAGAGACCGTCTTTGTGAACTTGCCCAAATAGACTTTTTTAGTTTTCGAAAAAGGCACAAACTAAAGCCGCTTTCATTTTGTAAATCCTGCATCAAAAACGTTGAATTAGAAAACGGTGGAAACGGACCCGCAAGAAAACAAAACCTATCACATGTTAATCACGATCATAGTTACAATTCTGAAGGAAAAAAAGACAATGATATATCTATACAAACAACAAATACTATTCTTGATCTTGGAGATAATCACCAAGACTTGTCGAACCAAATGGAGACGTTGCCATCGTCATATTTAAAGAACCTAATCTATGCACTGGGGAAAATTATTAAACAGGAAATAAAAACATATTCTAACAACTCAAACATTGATTTGGATTTTGAAAAATTACGCCTGAGCAATGCAGATTATTTCACGTCATGCCCAAAACTACTTGCAACATTGCTTTTAAGCATATCTGGTGTTCCAATGGACTATACGTTTAAATCAAGCAATGTCCCTGGTCAGTATCCAGATGCATTAGAAACCCTAGAATACACGTTTTAAATCAGCATGATGCTTGTACTTCAAGTAGTTACTACTTCATGTTTGCTCTACATACGCTTGTTTTACGTTATATAAAGCATATCCCGCCAAACATATGTAACGATTTTTATGTGAATAGAAAACGTGAAAAACAACTAAAAACTTGTGCGCGAATTATTTTTAGGTATTTCAAAATGCTTTATCACGCGTCAAATGTCCGCGCAAAATAATTTAACAAGGAATGTTTATAATGTTCCATGTTCAGTTTGTGCATTTTAGTGCAACATACTTTTCTAATGACAGTGTTTATAGGCCTACCAGATCTTCCAAAATGGTGAAACGGAATAAACGAATTCAAATTTTTCTTTCTATTGCAGTTAACCAGATTTCAATAGAGCTTTGAGTTGATATTCGGGTCATTATACGACGTTCATAAAATTCCGCCATTAATCGCCATCTCCATAATATGACTACACCAGTAATGCAAAAGTGGGTTTAAATCTAGGATGAAGAATCCTAGGTTTGAATCGATGAAAATGAAAAAGTTTCAAATAATTCCTATCCATTTTCGCACGCTCGGTCTTTACTGTGTTCGACCGACGGGAGCCGAGTGAACGAAGATGATTTCTATCGGCAATTGGAAAGATACGTAAATGGTTTTCAGTGTATCTTGATACTGACCCTTGTATTTCTCAGATCCAGACCAAGACAGAAACATGGCGTACAAAATGTGCAAAACTGTGGAGTCCATCCTAAACCTTACCTATTTGAACAGTGTTCTCCCAATCCATTTTAGAGAGTCGGTACTTTTATACAGTTTAACGGGCAGCAAAATTGCACTTACCGTTCTTAACAGAACAGGCCCATACGCCTCCTATGATAGAGTAAGAAAATGGCTCACAAATCTTGGGCAAAATACAATAGAGATAGTGGACCAACAAACCCAAGGGAATGATACTAGTATACTAATGGCATTCGATAATAACCAGGTACTTAAAAAGACCTGGTCAATTAGCACAAAGAAAAAATTCAACGCTAGTGTAGTGACCATGATTGTTTCCTTCACGATTGAAAATGAACCCCTACAAAATAAACCAATGTTTTCACCAAATCAATGGAAAAACAAGCCGTTGACTGATGATAAGATTCAAGAAATAAAAAATCCAGACGAAAATCCAGCCTTTGCTTCAATACAAAACAAATCAATAAAAGGCTTCGTAGAGAAACGATTAAAAAAAATCATCAGTGAACAAAAAATTCGAAACGGCAAAATGACAGATTTAATAGATGATACCATAGTTGAAAATAAGTACAATAAAATATTTCACGATCCATGATACCTGCTCTTGAACGATAGCTTTCTTCGTCTTCTCACTAAGTATGTGGGTAGCTGCCCCCTTGTTGTTGTATCTCCGTTCATCCCCCCCTACTTCTGGATGTATCCCCTCCTCCTGGTATTTCACAAATGTTTCTTCGTCCTGAGAATACACAAAGGCATTCCCCGCCTCATCAACGTACCTCAGAAATATCGAGCCTCTGGTCTTAGTGCACAACTGGTCTGCTCGTTTGATCAGTCCAGTGAGCCTATCTTTCTTCGCCTGGGCCCGTTTCCTAGGCTCGGGCTCATAATCATGAGAAATTGGCCCCCTGTGGTGTTTCCAGTTTTTATTTCTAAATCAAAAGAATTAAATTAAAAGTATGAATGTCGGAAACATAGAAGTAGGAATAACCGAAACCTTCGGTGAAGCGATATGGGGAAGTCCCGTCTGAAAAGCGTAATTGATAATCGTCCCCGGATCATCCGCATTTCAACAGAAATTCTACTTTTAATTCAGTTGCAATTTACGAATTAGAATATCTTAGATCTTGAATCGGATAATAAAACACAAAGTTTACTTTGCATTTGTAAGTGGATGTTTCATCAATGTGTATAATAACGGCGAAGTGACAGAAAGTCAAGGGAGGACGGTCATTTTAAATCCCTGTTTTAAATGCAAGGGCAAATCAGTTTAATATATTGGCATGTTAGAGGTCATCTTGCCCTGTGACAAGTGAGTGTCAGACTGTCAGCTGTTCAATATATAGTGCAAGCGGTCAAGGGATCATTGATCATCTATGTACATGTAGATATTGAGTTGAATATCTGAATATTAATTCGAATAAGATCGTATCGTATTTTATATTTGAATTATGCAAGGTGCTTTCCGGTTTGAGCATGCAGCCATGCACATGGAAAATTTTACGGTAAACTTAGCTTGGACAATGCAATTGTCTATAAATCTATCAGTTATTTAATTAATTTCATTCGTCAGTTACAATTTTTATTTAGATGTCAGGAATTTGAAACACGAAAACTAGCACTAAGCACGAATTTTGGAATGAATCTGATGAATACGCGTGGCAAAATATCAGGCACATACATCGAATGTAGTATTTTTCAAAGTACAGTACTTACGCTTGTGGTCCAGTTGAAGGTCTCTTCTTTGTTTGTGACATTTTAATAATATTGTCTGCTCTCTTTGGGCGATAAAAGGTAAAGGAAGTAGTATGTATACAATTGAAGCATTATACGGCAACTGCCGTATGGTACTTAGGATGGAATATCATGAAATTGAAACACTATACGGCAACTGCCGTGAGGTACGTCAAATGAAATACCATACGGCAATCGAGCTCAGCATCTCTACTGTAGCTGGGCAGGTTGGGTGTCACTAACAGGCAAGGGCTCAACTAATGTACCAGTTCAGTCTGTTATAGACTATCTTCCTCCAATAAACCACCCAATAACTGAGAATGCTACAGTTCAAGAGTGCCTGAATATTGCTATGCAAGGAACAGCTGAGGTGGGCCAACATTACACATTAGTAACATTTGATCTGGCAGCAGCCAAAAAGGCCCTGAACATTGTATGGCAATTTCAAAAATACTGTACTGTGATAGTAATGTTAGGTGTTTTCTATTCGCTGTGTTCTTATTTCTGCACCATTGGAAAATTTGTGAGGGGCTCTGGTTTTGAATAGTGCATTCTTTGCCATGGACCATCAAAATTATGCCCGATTTCACTGTTACCAATTTCTCACCCTTCTCAACCTGGATAAGACACATCCTGGTGCAACAGAGCTCATCTCAAACAATGGATTCTCTGTTTCAAGATCAGATGTATCATGCTCACGAAATCCTGTGGACATTACCATAGAACAAACTATCAATTGCAATGCAAAATCTAAAGGTGGTACATGTATTGTTGGTTTCAGTAGGAACAAGGGTGCATATCAGCGCTGGTGCGTTACACGAACACAGAGAGGTCTATATACAGAGGCTGCCCTTGATATAGCTGGAATGAGAGACTCAGACGATATCCTCCATAGAGACAACTCATTAGCCCAAGTAACAACATCTGAAGCTGGTGTAAAGTCAGTAATGCAGGCATTCAAAAGCTTCATCAACCCATTTGACATCAATGAGCCTGCTCTTCACTGTGTATCATCTGGTTTGCCAGCCCCAGCAGAAGTTCAAGGGCTGACTGATGCATTACAGAAAGGTTACCAAGCAAGTGAACAATTCATTGATAGACTGAGAGATCAAAACTCAGAACTTAAGTTTCACGATAGCATAAAAAAGATGAAAGTCGCAACATTTGCAAATTCTGCTGTGACCAAGAAAATGACAACTTCAAAAAATAAGGTTGTTGAAATCAGCGCCACAAGAAACCTATTTGGCCAACTACTTAATGTATCTCAAAACAGTGAGATTAGTCTTGAGAGGCTCATGGGATATTGCATGGGTCCTGTTCCTTGGCCTCTTGCCCTACCTGATGGCTCTCTAGCAAAAACACCAAAGTCAACACTCATTCATGAGCTGCAAGGGAATGACAGTATTCCATCTCCCCCATCTGAATCAATAACTATCTTGGATGGAAATATGAGTTTCTATCAAATGGAAAAAATAGCACCAACATTTGGTAAAGTTGCAAGAGACATATTCACACGCTTACCAAAATCCAAGAACGTACATTTTGTAACCGATTCCTACCATGAAAACTCCATTAAAGATCTTGAGAGAAACAAAAGGGGGCAGTCAGATCCAATTATCCTGAAGGGAGCCCACACTAAAACCCCATCAAAATCATGGAATAACTTCCTAACATGTGGCAAAAATAAAGAGGAACTTATCAAGTTCCTGTTACGTGAATGGCAAACCAAGAAGTATGCCAGTGATCTGAAGGGAAGAAACATCTACTTCTCAGACCAAGAGAATACAATTCTACTCACAAGTGATGGTAAAAGGTTTATACTTCCCCAGTAAATGACCTAGCATCTAACCAAGAAGAAGCAGATACAAAGATAATTCTTCACATGCTGTTCGCTGCAAGACATGGAAAACCAGTAATTGTTCGATCCCTTGATACCGATGTCTTTCTAATACTCCTAAGGTATGCTGACAGGGTCGATGTACCGATATATTTTGACACTGGAAAAGGAGATGGGCGTCGCCTCCTTGACATCCAAGCAATAGCCTCCCGCCTGGGCCAGCAACTTTGTGAAGCACTGCCCAGCTTCCATGCTTTCACGGGGTGCGATAGCACTAGTGCATTCATTCGCAGAGGCAAGATAAAGCCACTCAAAATTCTTACCAGAGGTCCTCCAGATGAAAGGAATCGTTTCCTGAAACTGTTTACTACAATGGGAAATACTGTTGAGGTTACCAACCAAATGGAATCTACTGCTGAGGACTATGTTTGCAAAATGTACTCTAGAAAAACCAAGCTAAGGAACATCAACAAACTTCGCTATGAACTATTTCAACAAAGATATTCCCCCAAGAAATCAGGAGATGCTTTGACTTACGATGGAACTGACTTGTCACTGTTACCCCCCTGTAGAGACTCTATAATTCAAAAGTTGAAAAGGAGTAACTATCAAAGCTATATCTGGAAACAATCACACATTGCTGTCAGTGAACTCCCAAATGCCACGTTGCATGGCTGGCAACTTGATACCAATGGTAACATTGAGCCACAATGGTCTAGTTTACCCGTCTTACCAAAAGACCTTGTAGATCTGCTTGATGAGGTTGCTGAGCCTATTGTACTTGAAGATGCAGACTTCTTGGGAAGTGTTGAGGGTGGAGATGTTCTAGACAGCTAGAAAAGAAAAATGACTATAAACATGTTAAACTTCAAAACAATGCTAATGGAGGTAAATTTGTACTCTCATACTGTTTTGTGACATTCTCCATTTAATATGTGGTTACCATAGCAACAGTTACAAAATTTTTTCTGAAGTGTATCTTAGCTCCTCACTGTAGATTGAGTTTTCCTATTAATTATTCAGTGAAATATTGGTGATAGCCTACATAGTATACTATAAGAAACTCATTTTGACATTTTAATAGACATTGGAGAAATAATCACTTTCTCGTCTTGAATGAGGGTATGAGTATTAAAAAAATCATGTAAAATATAAGAAACATCCCAAAAATTTACTTTTCCCCTAGATTTGTACCATACACATCTGGGAAGTTTTTAAGCATATTTAGACTGATCAATCAATCTCTTACAACAAGATAAGTTCAGTTTACTGCAATCCGAATGTACGAAAATCGCCCTTTTTCAGTCATTTTTATAATTCAACGAGTGGTTACCATGGCAACAAGTAGAGCTTTCACACTCATATTTTGCATTATACATGTCTATTATACAATGTATGTTCCCATGAACTTTCAATAGAATTGCTCGAAGTATAATGGTGAAATGGCTGCATTTGTACACATACCCCTCTATTGGTTTTTCAGGGGGGGGTAAAATGGAACAGCCGCTTAACGCTGAAAAATTGGAAACTGAAAATTCATGAATGGATGGAGCTTTAGGTGGCCTAAATGATTATAACAATTAAAAATTTTAGACTACATCGCACGAAAAACACCTATCACCCATTCCACTAGTAGTCTTCTAAAGTCAAGTGTTACATGGTCATTTAAAAGATTTTTTTCCACTGTTTAGGTTCTTTTCACCAGGATTTCCTTTGTCAAAAATTAAGTCGCATCGGTAACCTTTTTGACTGATTACCTTAAATAAAACAATCCTATCATTGCCCATTACTTAGACACATTCGCATGGTGAGAATTTTTTAAATATTCACAACTATCATAACCTAAAATCTTTTCACAATTTCACAATCAAAGTATCTAAGACATTTCCAAGTTTTTGAACTTGTGAAAGAACAGAAGTACCTTAAAATGCATACTCATCATAGATGGCACTCTAATCTTAACACCTCTTTTCATTTTTTATTTCATTTTTCAACCTACCATAGAGATCTATGTTAAAAAACTGGATTATATGGGTTCAACTATTTGTTCCAATTTTACTGTTTTACAGTGCAAGAAAAGACATGTGCTCATCTGTGAAGAGTTTAGGGATAAAGGCACATGTTCCAAAGGCAACAAGTGTGAGATGATACACCAGAAACCTCGAGAGGGGGCAAAGCGGGCCAGATACCATGACCCCATACCATCTACAAGTACAGCAGTGTCAGGCACAGCAGAGTCAAGTACAGCAGAGTCAAGTACCGCAAAGTCAAGTTCCGCAAAGTCAAGTACTGCAAAGTCAAGTTCAGCAGATCCAAGTACCAAGACAAGAACTTGGCATTTAAGTACAGCAGATACAGTTACACCTGAAAGTGACTCAGAAGATAACATGAAAGGCAGAAATACACGACATAAGAGGTAATTGATTTGAACATAAAACTCCCTATCAGTGAACTGCCATCTTGAGTTGTATATTAATTCCCCTCAAAAAAGTAAATTGATCTATAACTTGTTTAACTACAATTGAAGTTGTTTATAAGGTCCCATCGTTCTCTCTTACATGTATTTGTTATATTACACAGGATTTAGATAAATGATACTGCACTGTAAAGTTACCGTATGCATTGATACTGGAATGTACTGGAATATAAGATGGGTACATTTTCTAATAGTACTGATGCAATACTATATTTACTGCAGTGCAGGATGTAAACAGATAGATATACTAATGAGATTCAAAAAACTAAATTATGTGTTCTATTATTACAGGCAACACACGAGTGAATCTTCCTCAGAAAATCTTGGCTACTCAAATGAGATACCAAGCAAGAAGCGTTTCCTTCCATCATATATAGCCCTTACCTCAGCAACCTCCTCTTCTGAAGAGCTCTTATCTACCTCAAGCTTTGAAGAGCACTTGTCGTCTGCTTCTACCTCCAAAAGTGAAGAGGTCTCTTCTGTCTCTCCATCAAAAGTTGACTTAATTGCAGGTTTGTTTAGCCAAACGTTTGTGAATATTTTTCTTGTTTGAAAAATATAGCCTAAGGTGTAAGGATGGTGTATTTTTGATATTTTAGTTAACAATGCTTTACTCTAGGGGCGAGGAGGGAAATTCTCAATAAATGGAGTATAGTTGGTTTGGCAGCATTTTCAGTTAGGGGAGAGTCTTGGATGAAATTTCCACCTAGGTGATAGCTTCACAGAGTGGTAGGAAGTTCTTTTTTTTGAAGAGTTAGCCCCCTACCCCACAAAAACACCCCACCCCGGGAAAAAAAATTGTTCACACTAAATAACCTTAGATATTTTGATGTTTGTAAGTGACATACATAGATATTATATATATGAATCCTTTGCAGTATAATTGATGCTGATTACTCCTAAAAAAATTGAATATTAGTACAAAGTGTGTTCCCCAGGGGGCAAATTCGTGACCCATTTCCTTACTATTTTGATCCTAACTTTTCAACTAGACACTGTAAGAGGTTGAAAAAATTCATGTGAAGTGCCCAATAGCAGGGTTAGTAACCCTGAAAGATGCAAAGCCATGGAAGAGGTAGGAGCTGAGAAAAAATTTGTTGATTTTTCGAAAAATTTGACATTTTTGACAGCTGGATTTTGTGTATGACTATAGCTGACCTCTATAGTTCCTGGATCCATCCCTCTATGATGATATATATGGTTTTAAAGTGTGGAACTAAGATGTAAAACATAATTAAGATGGGTTTTAAGGAAGTTTAAGGTTTTAAACAGGTCCAAAATTTGAAAAATTGTAACTATAAGGTTTCAAATTTACGAATTCCAGGTAGAGCCATGGCAGACCCCTATAGTTTCTAGATCCATCCCTCTATGGTGATACTTATGGTATTGCTGTATGGAACTATTATGTAAAACACAATTTAGATTGGTTTTAAGGAAGTTTAAGGTTTTAAACAAGTTTAAAATTTGAAAAATTGTAAATATAAGGTTTCAAATTTACGAATTTCAGGTATAGCCATGGCTGACCCTTATGGTTTTTACATCCATACCTCTATGATTAAATATACAGTTTTAGAGTGTGGGACTAAGATTTAACATACCAAAAATGAATTTTAAGAAAGTTTAAGGTTTTAAACAAGTCAAAAATTTGAAGAATTGTAAATGTAAGTTTTCAAATTTATGAATTTCAGGTATAGCTAAAGATGACCCTTATGGTATTTAACTAAAATGTAAAAGATGCATAAGGTGAGTTTGAAGGAAGTTCAAGGTTTTAAACAAGTGCAAAATTTGAAAAATTGATCTCGAAAATTTGTCTCAAATTCACGTTATTCAGGTACAGCCTTGAATGAGCCCTGATAATCGAAGGTTATGAGCATAATAGTAACAACTGTGATATCATAGCTTAGAGACCAGGTGTAGAATATATACCTGTTGCAGCAGTTAGTCTGCTGCATATAGATGGAGTGAAAAGTCATGAACTACAGTAAAATCTTTCTAATCTGAATGCTACTAGATATAGTATTTGGACCAGCTAAAAGCATTCAAATTAGAAGTATTTGAATTTTGAGGTTTTTACATCTGCAATATTCTGGATTTTGAAGAAATATGAATGCATTCTCAATGAAAAATATTAATAAATATTAATAATATTTATACTGACCACCCAAAAAGCTTAATAGCATTCCAAAATCCAATTCAAAAGTTTTGATATCATAACAATTCAGTGTTAAACTGACAATATTTGAGCAATTTTGTAAGAAATATGTGATATTTGGTAAAAAAAAGTTCAAGTTAAACAGGTTGATTTTTCAAATATGAGTGTTCACTGTTCGAATTAAGAGGTGTTCAGATTTCAATTTTTAAACATAGGAGTCAATGGGAGGAAGGAAAAATTGAACTGGGGAAAAGTGTTCAGATTGGTTGGTTTTCAGATAAGTCAGGTGTTGGGATGATTGGTAGGTGTTCACAATAGTCAGATGTTGGGATATACAGGTTTCACTGCTGATATATCATTTATACAAGATGATGAACTAGAACTACTGTACTAGGTGCCTTTGATAATTTTTACCACAATGTTATACTATGTCAGGAAAAGAAAGCACCCATGACACTGTGCTTGTACAACTTGAAAATCAACAACACTTTAACATTTGATAAAGGTGTCTACCAAATGAGTAATCCACATAAATTCAAATACAAGCACTAGGCATGCTATTCCCTATGATCATTAGTTTCATTAGTTTCTAATGAATCTAAAATTGACCTTGGGTTTATGAGAGTAGTAAATTGGAATGCAGTTATATGGAATATTGAATTGGCTGGAATTGGACACACCTTGCCTAGAAATGTGTTAGTAAACTATGATCTTATATGGATACAAACAGTTCGTTTGACAATGATCATCTATCTTATCCTGTAAAATCAGAACTTAAAAAGGGGTTTGAAATGGAGATCGATGAAACCATACCACAAATTGATAAAACTTTCGTGATTGATGCAATGGCTATGACAAAGGGAAAATGAAGATTAATTTATATGTTGAAATTTGGAGAGTTTTGAAAAGCTATATTTGACTACTCCATCAAATCTAGTAAAGGAGCCCAAAGAATAGATTTCATATTAGACTCCTAGCTAGTTGTCTCCATCAGTAAAGGATTCTGAAAGAATGCGAAGAATGGATGCTTCCCCTATTGAACTTTAATCCATAGAAGAAATTACACCATTACCTAAAAATATGAATACCTTTGTCCAAGTAATATAAGACAAATTTTCAAAGATTACAAAGAAATTCAATAAAGCAGCATTCTAAAAGTGTGCCAAATGTCAAGATTGTTTTAAAGGGTTCCGATTAGCATCCCGTATAAAAACAATATGGCGGCTCCAGGCGAATCAACTGGATCAGTCCATTTTTAAGAAATAAGGGGAGTTCTGTAAAATCCAGTTTATTGAAATTGTCTTTGAGATAAAGTAATCCGTTTATAATGATTTTGAAAACGTTATCCAAAGAGTGATTGCGTTCAAAGAATACATGTACAACAGCCAATATAAATCCTTGTATTAGAAACCGGTTTGTCTTGCTTTGTTTCATTTGTAGGATATTTCATATGCCAAGCTGTGTGCTATTACGTTATGGGGAAATTTAGATGCCAATTTTTCCTTATTATACACAAATAGAAGATCCTGAAACTTCACCCATAAATGTGGAATTGATTTGTCAAAATAAAAATCACCCTTTTATAAATGTGTGACGATCTATAATATACTTAGGCTATATAACAGTTAGAGGTGTTGACACAACGACCTCGAACCTGTGAACCCTTGAGTATTATTCCGGGATCGGGCCTTTTATACTAAACGGTGAGCAACACCAGAAACGAGCGTTCGATTTGCTAAACGATATGCGTCACCCTTTAAGTGGAACTATTGGAGAGAACTCAAATATCTGTGAAAATGATAACTGAAATCTCCTGTTAAATTCCACTCCTGAAGAGGCTGATTTTAAAATTATTCACTCTGTTTTACATTCAGCAGAACATGTGGGACTGCAGTAATTTGCATCAAATGACACTGATATTATAATTTTATGACTATCATTTCAATAAATGAAAAAAATTCCTCAACTATGCTAGAAAATGTCATCTGCAAAGTCAGTATGTAAACATTTTCTACAATGTCTGTTTATCCATTTATCAATCAATTACTACACTGTATACGATATCCCTAGGAGCAGTTACACTTACTGGGGGATTTATTAACTTCTCACCCCCTTAGGAACTCAAGGGTTAAGTCCTCAACTCTAATGATACATGTAACATGGATCAAACCTGACCACAATATTTTCAACATCTAATTTCTAAGCTAAGTCATACATTCAAAAAGAGGGACATCCAGGGCTATACCTGAAATCGTAAAGGAGGACTGAAAGTATTGCAACAGATTTCAGCAATCATATGTTGGATTTTGGCTATTTTCTGAGGATTTGAGGAGGTGCATATGTTAGGCCAATGCATTTCCTCCAGGAAAAGCACCCATAGAGATGATAAAATAATTTCTATTTTGAGACAGGGAAGGTGCAAACAACCCACCCACATGCATAAAAATATATATGTGTATATGTATAAATATATGTGTTTTTACATACAGTTAACCCCTTTAAATGAAAAATACATTCCATCAGGGATTTTAAAGATATTAAATATGGATGACCAAAATTAAGCTGAAAGCAATGGATCACATGAGTTTTCCCTATGGGAAAATAACAGGAAAATATTGTTTTCCGCTTTATCTAAAATAAATTTATCTTTTAATGGTTAACTATGTCTCAAAACGCAACATATTGATGAAAAACCATAGGTGAACGGGGTTGAAAATCAGGACGACATTTCCCAAAAAACATGTGGGTGGATTGTTTTCACCTTCGCTGTCTCAAATTCCAAACTATTTTATCATCTCTAAGAGTTCTTTTCCCGTAGGTAATGCAATGGCCTATCATATGCACCTGCTTAAATCCTCAGAAAACAGACAAAATCCAACATATGACTGTCTGAAATCTGTTGCGATACTTTCCGTGCTCCTTTGAGACCTGATATTTCTCAATTTTTCAAATATTGCACTTGTTAAAATTCTTAAACTTCCTTAAAATACATCTTAGTTTCACACTCTAAAAGTATATGTTTCATCAAAGAAGTATTGATGAAAAAGCCATAAGGGTCATCCATGGCTATACCTAAAATTCGTAAATTTGAAACCTTATATTTACAATTTTTCAAAGGACGATTCTCGGTTTGGAGAACAGTCTCCTGGGCTAATAATTTTTTTCATGAAAAATATAAAAATATTACCCAAATTAAACTATGAATATTCAAAAGAGGACATTTAAATCTACAAGATGTAAAAATAACAAATTGGTCTGAAGCAGGGATAACGCTCAATTAGACCGATTCAATAAAATACAAGTCTCGATTTGAGGAAAAAAGTTCATCAGTGTACTGCGCTAATATTTTTTTGCGAAAAATCTAGAAATATTACCCAAATTAAATTATGACTATTCAAAAGAAGACATTCAAATCTATATTATGTAAAAAAAATCAAATTTGTCCGAAGCAGGGATAATGCTCATTTAGATTGATGAACTTCGTTCTCCAAACCGAGAATCGTCCTTTTGGACTTGTTTTAAATCATTAACTTCCTTAAAACCCATCTAAATTATGTTTTACATCTTTAGTTCCATACTACAAAACCATAAATATCATCAAAGAGGGATGGATCTAGAAACTATAGGGTTCAGCCATGGCTATAGCTGGAATTCGTAAATTTGAAACCTTACATTTACAATTTTTCGAATTTTAGACTTGTTTAAAACCTATAACTTCCTTAAAACCCATGTAATTTATGTTTTACATCTTAGTTTCACACTATGAAAGCATAAATATCATCAAAGATGGATGGATCTAGAAACTATAGGGGTCAGCCATGGTTATACCTGGAATTCGTAAATTTGAAACCTTATATTTACAATTTTTCAAATTTTGGACTTGTTTAAAACCTTTAACTTCCTTAAAACCCATCTAAATTATGTTTTACATCTTAGTTCCACACTATAAAACCATAAATATCATCATAGAGGGGTAGATCTAGAAACTATAGGGGTCAGCTATAGTCATACACAAAATCCAGTTGTAAAAAATGTCACATTTTTCTAAAAATCAACAATTTTTTTCTCAGCTCCTACTTCTTCCATGGCTTTGCATCTTTCAGGGTTACTAACCCTGCTATTGGGCACTTCACATGAATTTTTTCAACCTCTTACAGTGTCTAATTGAAAAGTAAGAATCAAAACAGTAAGAAAATGAGTCACGAATTTGCCCCCTGGGGTACACACTTTGTACTGATATTCAAATTCTTTAGGAGTAATCAGCATCAATAATACTGCAAATTATTCATATATATAATATCTATGTATGTCACTTACAAACATCAAAATATCTAAGGTTATTTAGTGTGAATAATTTTTTCCCCAGGGTGGGGTGTTTTTGGGGGGTGGGGGGCTAACTCCTCAAAAAAAAGAACTTCCTACCACTCTGCGAAGCTATCACCCAGGTGGAAATTTCATCCAAGACTCTCCCCTAACTGAAAATACTGCCAAACCAACTATACACCATTTATTGAGAATTTTCCTCCTCGCCCCTTGAGTACTTGTAGAACTCTGTATCCCTTAGAAGCTTGTTGTATTTTTCATTATTATTGTACATTTTTAATATAATTTGGCAATGTAGAAGTGGTTTTCACATAGTTACTTATAGTCACCAGAAGTGGTGACATACTTATTGTCTCCAACTTTGTTTTTGATAGTGTTCGGCGGTCGTTGTTCGGCAATTGGCGGTCGGCATCTGTGACAAATGGCAGGTGTTGACATTTTTCATGTTAAAACCTTGTTTTACACATAACATTTACTTACAAGTGAATGATATAAGACTCAATTGGATGATATTATCATCTGAAACATGCAATATTTTCTAAAAAAATACATGTACACTTGTTAAAAAACTCCGTATTCGTTGTCTGTAATAAATGGCAGGTGGTGACATTTTGAAGGTTTGTGCATTATGATTAAAATTGTTCCATATGTGCATTACAGGTAATTCTGGCATCCAAATTCGGCCAATGTTACGACTGAAAGATGATCAGACAAACTTTGATATGACAACCAATGATACTACATAGAGACACTATGTTGATTAAAGTGCCACGATACAACAAGGATATTTGACTACAACTCTACTCATATCTAGAAACATAAGCAAATTATTGTAGTGGTATGGATGTTTTAAATAAGACACGGACCCTATATACATTTAACCTAGACATTTGGTTAGTTCAAGCCAATAACATGAACTTTGATGTGCCCTTTGTCATTTTCTGACATTGGAAGCTAGTTGCTCAAGACACTGGATGATCAGAGACTATGACTTATGGAAGAGAATTGTCATAAATCAAAATGATTCCCCAAAATATTTTGTTGTACCTTGTTTACGTGGATTATGTGCTTGTTTTCAAATAAACAGAAGATGCAAGTAAAATAGTCAAAATGTTGGTTGCATTTTTACAAATGAAATATTCTTATCTTATTAGAGCAAGGATTCAGTGAATATTTTTTTATCTTTGTGATAAAGCTCAGATTTTGGTACATCGTTCTTGAATAGTAAAGAAGAATATGTTGATCCGTGGCCCGAGTTGAGGGATTTCCGTCCAAAAAGATTGCCTCTATAACGTGGCTTAACAAAGGATGCTATAATTTAAGCTGTGTACGAAAATGCAAACTTCTATCACAATGGAAAATCCCAAGCCTCGATGACTGCCTGACTAATGCATAGCGGCGTTGATGCATAGTGGTTGAATAGATTATACAGAGTAGAGGAACTTGTTTCTCAAATATTTATTTCATATCTGCAGTATATAAAACAATGGAAGTATTTCCATTCTTACTTCATATCGGAACAATTCCTCGATTTTTCTATCGTGATTCCTTATCTTAGATACAATATGAAAAGTTGCAGTGAATTTGAGAGAACTTGTAAGGAAAGTGATGGCGTAGATCGAATATGACTGAGTACTACAAAGGGGGAATTAATTCCAAGGAGATCACGTACGAATTCTCTTTAAAATGTGTAGCTTAACCTTCCTAATAAGTGAATTGGACGTACATTTATTTGATATTATATTCCCGAACTGTATTGGCAAAAAGCATATGCTTTATTGTAAGGAAATGTGTTTACATTATTTTAATTGTCCAGTTAGCCCTTCATCAAACGCTTGATACAAAGCGTACGCTATATGGTATTGGCGATTGTGTTGAATGGTTCAGTTGAGGTCGCATCACTGGTTCACTTGCTCCTTCAGGCAATTTCACTTCAAACTTCTGCATCAAACCAACAAAGAATATGAAAAGCTCCATCTTCGCGAGGGATTCGCCAAGGCATTGTCTTTTACCTGAAAGTTATTGTATAAATAATTATTTTTATTACATCACATCGTCTATATCTTTGTCAATAATCTGCAACAAGCCAATAGGCACGTGTAAAGCAGAAATGTTATCATCATCCATTATCACAATGTTTTTCAGTGTCCCTAGTATAATTTTAATCAGGGCATTCAGAAATTTTAGAACTTAAAGGCCCCATTTTAAGTTAGATTAAATGAGTTGGTCATAAACATACGGTTAAACCGCCAGCCGACAACTGGCTGCTAAATTAGCAAATGCAAGCCCTCATTAAGTAGTACAATAAACCATGGTTTGGTTTGGCAGTTTTGGGTCCTAAGTATAATTAATCGAATCGAATAACGTAAATCCCTTTTCTATGCAATGATCTTTTTAAGTCCCGGGAGCATTTTGAAACACATTGCGTCTTAAAACCTGTATGTCGATCTAGACGCAGAAAGAGAGGGACGTGGTGACCCAGAAGCTAAATCCAAGGTCCCTTGTGGCGATTCATTTTGTTTGTAATCATTCTCGGCTTCTTACGAAAGGTTTAGGAAAAAATCATTAATATTTGAATAGTTTTGACACCTAAGGTTGATTTAATCGCAGCTGATTTGTCATTCCCCGGCTGCAACGTACAATCGCAACGTACAATGTACAATCATTAACTCATACCGATAAAGCACAAGACGAAAATAAACTTCCAATCGTTTTTACACACTGTCTGATATGCTCCGTTTTCATAATTTGAATCAGATGTAGAGGTAGCATTCGCGAATTCAATTGCCAGCTGACGGGTCTTTGAAAATTGGTTTAACTAACTATTTCATCACCAACGCATTTTATTATTGGAAAAGCGGTGGGTACTTTTTCATAGTTGAATGGATTAGTCATGTAGATTGAACTCCCGGCGGCAGTTAAATTTGCGTATGCTACCTCTGTTTTTGACTCGAATTATGAAAACGGAAAATGATTTTTTTCAAATGGAATCTTTTTAGAATCATAGAGTGTGTCAATCTCTAGATAGCGCTATCAGTGAAGTAGCCAATTACACGTTTGCAAGCGCGTGGTGATTGCCGTTGTTATAATTAGTAATTCAAATACAAAACACAAGTTATTTAGAAAATAGGATTATCACATGCGGGTTCAAGTTCATCGAAGCGAAATATTAAAACAACATTTACATTTTGGAGAAGTTTTGACACCTAAGCAAAGTAGCCCACGTGGCGTAGACGGACTACTTTGTAGTCGAATGTACCAGGGAATACGGAGGTCCCGCGTTCGAGCCCCAGGTACGGAGTTGTTGATCATTGTCACTACGGACACCCGGTCCGAAGGTCCAACCTCCGGCCCTTGGCTTGGGTCGGTTCCCTGACCGCTCATGTCAGAGACAGATTGTGAGACTGTGGTTGGTTCCTCCACTAACGTGCTTTAGTAAACTCCGGGAGTAGTACAGTATGGTAGCGAGCCCCCACCAAGGGCAGTAGTGGAACGACACGAATCGGTCCCAGTATGGTTGCATTGCAACTTAGGAGACTCGAGGAAATCATGCCATTCGCGGTGACCCAGAAAATGCTTTTGCTTTTTGATGCAGCTATCATGTTTTACTTCGATATTTAAAACAAAGTGAACTCAATTAAAGGAATACGTCCATATACTGTTTGAAAATCTATTATACTAGGAAATCATGTCATTTTTTATCCTTCTGAAGAAGCTAAATTTGCTTCTTGTTCTTGGTACAATGTTTAGGCCTATTTGTTTTGTATTATTCAAATAGTACGTGAAATTACACGTTTACTCCAGGGAGCAGAAGACAAACACATAGTCCTTAAAACCCAAAGTGTTGAGGACACCAGGCCCGTAGTAAGGGGGAGGGAGGGTTTGCAGGGTTCGGGCGACCTAACCCCGCCTGGCCAAAAATTCTTTCAAAATCATGCAGTTTTTCTCAATTTTGAGCACTTCCTAAGTGATTTTAGCCATATTGAGGCCAAAATTGTCAAATGTAAACCCCCCTGGAAGTTTTTTGAAAAATGAACCCTCCCCCCTTGGCAAATCCTGGTTATGGTCCTGGGACACTGTATATTGGGAGACCACAGATGTAGCGCGACCGAAGATGTTAGAAATATTTCAAGGAACCAATCAAATCTCTTGTAGGTTTTCGTAAGACGTTCGGCTATCTCCGGTTATTGACGATAAATCGCACATGTACTTACCAACTGAAAAAACTGAGAAATGATCATCTCGTTTTACTTTGCCATCATCTCCCAGAAACCTCTCTGGTCTGAAGACTTCTGGATCTCCCCAATGTTCAGGGTCATTATGGATTGCATACAGATTGGCTCCAACTAATGTGCCTGGTGGGAGAGTGTATCCCTGTAAGTTATCAACAGTTTATATTCCAAAATAGATTTTTATTTAAGAATATAAATTGAAGAAATTATTCTTATTCAAAATTATGCAGAGTGTCGTCATTTTGAGCACTTTTCAAGTGATTTTTTTTAGCTGACTGACTCCCTTGGCAAAAGTGGCCACGAGCTCGAGAATAAATAGCTCCTAGTATCTACATATGTTTTACCCCACCTTTAATTGCGTTACTTCGGTAGTTGTGTGGATCAATAAGAGAGGGGTAACCACCCCATACATTCTCTGGACCTCTAAGATCGTCGCTTCTGTGTAGGGGAGATGTAGTTTATCCGCCATTGAAGGGGGTCTTTCAAAACCTATGTTGTCACGGATTTCGGCACGCACCCTCTTTTGAACCTCTTGATATTTCACCATACAAAGTAGCGTCCATCTTAATAATGAATAAGTTTTTAATGGATGGATGGATGCGACTCTTTGTTTAGGCCTTATTTTTCATTTTATGTTTTGTTGGCAAATCTTTCAAATTTATAATTGCCTCCCCATAAGGTAAAACATTTATTTAGTTGGAAAAGTACAAATTGCCCAGAGTTAAGTAATTGGTCTTTGGCAAAACCAAATGAGATGAAGACAGAAATCCCCGGGGTCGTGATACACTTTCACGTACACGTTTTCTTAAAAACGTGAAGCTTTATCTCCTTTGTGATTTTAGTATTTTACCTGATTGCACCTGCTGTTGTGTCCGTACCAGCTTGGAAGAGATCACCGATGTTATATAACAATTGGTCCTCTAAAACATAAATCATTGAACGCTGTCTTAAACTAGACTAAAGATACAGTCATTACATTCGGAACATTTCGGTGTATAAGAGTAATGCAAAGGACGGCGAGTTGTTTGTAGAATGAATCTGGGGAGCTTTTACATGCATTTCGCTTGAGGTTTTCATCTCAAAAACATCAATACACTTTTAAACATTTTATTGACTATGAGATTGCACCGTCCTTAAAACTGTTTGTCATTTTTAAGGATTATCTATGGATTAACACCCAGGTATTGTTATTTTTCAAACTTCAGAGGGCTAAGAATCATGATTACGAACGCTTTTGAATAATATTAATGCTGTTTTAAATAGGTTTCATGTCAATAATTTCTCAAATTGTGTAAATGGTACCCCTTAATTAATCCCAAGAATTTTCTGTTTTAATTTCCCATAGTGATCCAATAGTATAGTTCCAAGTAAGTTTTGAATAGCAGGAAAGTTAATCATTAATACACACTTTATTGGCGCATGGGTTGTTTTGGTTTACATCACAAGCCAATGAGATGTGTATATATGAGCTGGATTTTGGAGCCCTGCGTTTAGAAGATGTGGCAACACCTACCCGTGAACCAATGTTGTTCTGTTGTACCTGCATGCTCCTTCATTTCTTTTATGAATGCCGAGATGTAATCTTCTATTTTATTTGGGTCATAATCTCTCAGATGCTGATCAACCTGGAATCATTTCATCGTACATTATCATTCAGGGGAGGATCTAGGAACCAACAAGGAGGGGCCCAAATTTCAGAGCTAAGGAAAAACTTCGGCGCTTGAGCGGAAAAAAATGTGGGCCCCTAAAACCGAGATGTGGGCCCAAATTTAGAATTTTTGGGCCCAATTTTTTTCCCTGCTCCCCCCCCCGCCCCCAAGATCCGCCAGTGTCATTAACTTGTTAAGACATATTGAAATGTAGTCATGTAGTCAGTTATTCAAACATTGCTACAGTTATCATTACGTAAAAGCTAAAACAGTCAAACACAAAACTGAGTTCTGATTACTCATAGAATTAATGTAGATCCCCCTAATTCAGGAATAATATAACTTAATTTACAAATCTGAGGAGTGTTTTTCATTGTTCTAGCAATTCCGTTCAGTGTATTCCTTCTAATTGCGCTGAACGAAATGTTCTTACCTCCGGTCTGTATATTCCATTGAAAAGTCTGTCCAGTGCCTGGTCAAGTTTCGATTTCCCATTTAATGGTAAATATTTGGAAAAGGGAATATATTGCTGTATACTAACTTCCCTTGCGTACAAGAATAACTGAGACACCATTCGAGTCATTTCCAGAAATGTTTCATCGGTGTATTCGAACCTGTGCCCAAAAACCAGGTAGCTGATAACATTTGCGGTGGCGTTACTGACGAGATCGATCGTGTCAAAGGGATTGCTATTATGGCATGAGATCTCAGCAATGAAATAGTCAAGCTCCGATTGAATAACCGCCTCCATTCTATTTTTCCCCAGCCCAAAATCTCGTAGAGTATGCAATGCGAATCGTCGCTGTTCTCTCCATCGTTGACCATTATTCCCGAGAATCCCTTTGAAACTTAGCTCAGCAGCTTTTGGCCTATAATGGAATGCTTCTTTTGAGTAAGCTTCTCTGACATCTTTTATTTTATGCAGAACTACTGCAGGTCGTGGCCCCACTCGCATCGAGATTATGTCACTCGTGTACTTCTTTGTCAAATCCCATACTCTTTTTGCGCCGGTGTTGTCGTCTGGAGTTGCCATGAGAACTGAAGCATTACCTACATATGAGGATAACCATATTTTAATAATGAAACAGATTTGCATGTTGAATTTCAGCTCATTTTACTTTGAGTTTATAACAATGTACTAAGTCATCAACTTATATTTTTAATAAAATGTTGTTTTTGTGAACTAAAACATGTTTATTGACTAAATTTCCAAGCATTATAATTGTGTGTTGTGTCACTCTCGATGTCACTATAGCTATAGGGGGTGTGGGGTGAGGAGCATAGGAAAGCAAATTGTTTGCTCAAATCAATGTATTAATTTTAATGGGGGAGAAGGGGGGGGGGGGCATGTACCCTAAATTTTTTCACAATTTTGAATTTGTCGATGACATTTCACAAGTACAGAGTGTCCCGAAAGTATGCCCCCCCCCTAGGCAGACATATACCAATGTCTCCATAGTATGTGTCATATATCATTTTAAAGCTCATCCGAAGTTACATTAATTCGCCAAGTATCATGGTTCAACTCACAAATGGGAAAAAGTTACAGGCATTTCAAAATTTAGTGTTTGGCCAAAATTAAAGTCAGTTTTACACAAAAATAATAGTCGGTGTGTCTCCTTAGCCGCCATGTTAACAGCAGTAATACTGTACTTTCCATATTTGACCTTAACGCGCTTCAAATAGGGATGTGGCGTTTTGTAATCCTCATAAAACCTTTGGCATTTAAGAAGAGGTTCCTTGGAGTATCTACCCTAAACGTCCTCCTTTTAGAACTCAATATCCATCCTATCTTCGAGAATAGCATCCATATTTTTGGTCACATTCAGGTCAGGGCTATCTCCAGGATACTGAAATGAACTAAGTTTTGAAATGCCTGTAACTTTTTGCCATTTGTGAGTTGAACCCTCATAGTTGGCGAATCAATGTAACTTTGGATGAGCTTTAAAATGATATATGATACCATGGGCTCTACCACATATCCAGCAATCGTAATGTTAAATCGGACATCACCTTATCTCCTAACTGGTACTATTACTGAGATTTCGTATCAACACTTTAGTCTACTAAATTAATGTTTAAAACTCATATATGTGAGCGTTAATGCAGGGGCATTTCATACAGCCTATAAACACCGCCCTTTCATTAAATGTGTTTTCTGGTTTCCTTAATTTCGCCAATTTCAAGAAATTGATGGATAATTTGAAGATTATATGATCAGACACATAAACATGGCATATACCACATAAGTTTCTCATATTTAGTTGTTGTTTTTTAGTTGCTGTTTTTTGTTGAACCATATATTACGTACATGGATAACGTATTTTATTTACAAGTAGGCTGCATCTTGTATTAGACCAACATAGCATCAAGTTTCACCAGAGCTGCTAAGAACACTTCTTATCAGATGTGTTGACAGCTCTCCTGATAAAGAAAGTGACCGGAGATTTCTGGATTTGATGTAGCTAAATGTTGCCTAAACAAAGTTTACCTATGATTGGCCAAGCAAATGGTCCTGGTGGTAACTTCCATCTTTTTGAATCAAGATATTTAATTGTTATTAAGATCAACAGTGTTGCTATCATCAAACCTGTCAACCAGTTGGTCAGCGAATCCACCGGAAGTGATGTCATTGTTTTCCACTCTACAAATGTGTTATATGTTTAAGTTACAACAACAAAGATTGGAAAAGAGACATAGCTAATGCCTGGGTCACATTTGCTCCGATCCATCGGCCGGCGCCCGGCCGATTGTATGTTTTGTTCAATATTGTATTCAATTTTGAACAAAATACTCAATCGGCTGGGCGCTGCAGCAAAAATCGGAGCAAATGTGACCAGGGCATAATGTAATTGCTTTACTCAAAACAGAACGTGTCATGTCTAGAGTGTCTAAAAAAGACAAAAAAGTTCTGCCTTTTTATGTTTATATCTAAAATTTGATTTTTATAGTTATCTGGCAAAAATTAACCGACCTATACAATTTTAAAGTAAAACCTACCAATGTTACAAAAAGGGGAAACATAATGACAATAACAATTTAAGTCTCAATCATTTCTGATGTTTTAAACACTACTTATTATATGATTATATCCTTAAATTATATCTAACTTTGATTTTTATTCAACTTAAGGACGATACTGATCTGCTTCATATCTCCCCATACGTATAGATATCTGAAAAACTACTTACGTAAACATGTACGTGTACCTCTAGCAAGTCTAGATATATTATATTAGATTAAATTAAATATTATGACAATATTCACTTGTTAAGGTCTTCTCTCCTGTAGTGCTATTGTTATTACTAAACCCGTATCTTATGATATTACTATATCAATCAGTGTGTTCCTACTAAATGCTTATTCACCTTGGCGTGTTTATTTACGTCAACGTATTGGATCAGTATAGTTGAATATATAGCGCCCGGTAAAGTTATAACGACATTAACAAGACCGAGTGCAAGATGAATTACTTAAGAAAGAAACCGTCTCATGTTTACTTTTCAGGCAAGATAGGGTCAAATACTGGGATCATGCGACTTAAAGGGGCAACAAGGCCTGTAGAGAAAAAATAGGAAAATTCTAACTTTTTCTGAGCCATCAAGGCAACATTTGGCTTAACATCTTCTTTGACATACCTATTTTCTTAAAATATATGGATAAACTATTGATTTCAGCATTAAGAAGTGTAAATTCAGTTCGAAACTTCAAAAAGAGGAAATCCACTTTTATATTTTTAAGATCCACCATGTTTCAAGAGGAATATCAGCTGAAATAATGTTTATCTACAGATCTAGGAGGTTTCTTTTAGGAGATAATAAAAAATAGATGTAAGTCTTGATGAAATATCCAAACTTAAAATAAATGTTGACACTGGTCCATAATCGTTGAATGACCCCTCTGCACTAATTATTGCTCCTTTAAGAAAAGCAGTTCTACTCTCCATCCTAGATGAAGCCTACCCTCGATATAAGTATGAGCTTATATTCTACTTGCGAGTAAGTGTCAACAAATGGGACTATACAAAACTGATAAGCCCAACTACTACAAATACGATATTTACATCTTAGTAAGAATGGGTCAAATACTGGGACTATATATCGTAAAAATGTAAATAAAACCAAATCTAGCAAATTTGAAATGTTTTTGAGTTTATGGTCAAAATGTTTTTAAGTTTATGGTCAAAAAGTAGGACAATGAAATTTTGTTAATGCCGTGCACAAAAAATTTAGATCACACTTTAGATAATAAATGTTGAATACTACAGCATGTCATAAGGAAATACGATTCAGATTTCAGGTTAAAACAAATCAAATATGACACATATTATAAATTATTGAATGATTTGAAGTGCAATACAGTATATATTCTGTTCGAGAAATATTGTATTGGTACGAGACGAAGTCGAGTGCCAATACAGAATATTGAGACGGAATATATCCTGTATTGCACTTCAAATCATTCTATAACGTTTTTATCGCGTGATCCTCTGTATTGCTACTGAGATTGTCCTCTCCGTACCAATATTTTCTGTATTGCGACGGAGATGATCAACGGGGACAACCTCAGTAGCAATACAGATTGGTACAGCACAAGAACTGACCAATCAGAGGGCTTCATTTTACAGATCATACGACAATATAGGCTACTCACTTTATTTCGTCGATGCATCTTCTTCAGATATGCCATGAGCGATAACGTCGCGTGAGAATAACTTTGTACTAACTGCCATTTTCAAAAAAATTGAGATAGACATGGAATTTTACTATTTGAAACACAGGCTTTCATCTCAGATACATGCCCCATCCCAATTCCCTCTCATTAAGCTAGAATTCAGTGTGAAATTGTACCATCTCCAGACAAACAGCTTATTTCTAATTTCAAATTGTCATATCTGATATCAACTGTTTCAACCAATCAACTGTCTAAGAATTGGTCATGTGACTTGCAAAACTTGGAGTTATAACAATCTTATATTAAAACGAAGTATGCCAATATGCATGTTATTGTATCTAGAATGAAATAATGTTTTGTAACACAATACCATGCCAGTTTGCATGCCTGGCCTTTCATGTTTTAGTTTTAGAACTATTACAAGTAGATCAAAAAAATAAAATGATACAGTATGTGTAATCCCATGCATATTAAAATTATATGCCCTCAATTACTCTTTGTATTATGGATGCTCATTGGATTATTCATGGCCACATGATATGAAATAGAATTACTAATTTCCTCGAAAACCTAAATCATTGCTACCAGGGAAGATGAAAAGTACAAATGACCAGTTAATTAGATCATGTGAGCAGTCAAAAGTACCCTTTATCTTCCCTGCTACCAGGTCTTATAGGGGTTTGAATGGCCAAATGCAATAGAAATGCATATACGAAGCTGTCATCATTAAATGTTGAAAATGAAAGACTACTTATTTGTTTCTTCAAATAGAGTACATAATAATAGGTTATATACTAGATATAGTAATCAAAACAAATAGTAACTGTCATATTTTGCACTACATTGCTCAAAGGCAATCAATGTCTGTATACTATTGAAATCTCTTTCAAAATGATGTTTTATAGTTTGTGGAAAAAAGCTAAATCTATATAGCTTTAACTTTTACTGACCATACACTATATCAATAAGGAGTTATCTTTATGTTAGTATAGTCCCTTAAAACACTTATTTTATTTTCTCTTCATCTATGATTTACTTTGCGCTTTTCACTGAACATCTGGGATCTTTTTAGTTATTTTATTACTAGTATGTTTTTCAGATTTGTCCTTTCTTTTGCATTTTTGGGATCATTGGTTTTAGATCATCTACATTTTATTTTGGAAAAGTACCAAATTGGTTCAATTTCTTTACAAAGAGCCACTCTTAGTCTCCACTTCTACAATTGCTTCAATTCCTAATTGTACTCCACAGAGTAGCAAACAACAGAAAATGAATGGATAATGATAGCTGCATCCCAATGAACAAAATGTGATTACCTAAATCGAGGTTTCATTAATCTAAAATAAATTAGAATTTATTTTTCTATTTTCAAATTTCTTCCATGTGCATGTAATAAAAATTGGTTATGTCTTAGGCCCTAAGGATCTGAAACCTGCTGGTCAAAATGGAATTACGGACCAGTTGCAATGTTATTCTCCTATACCCAGTGAAAAAATCAACTGGTCTGTATCAAAAATAACCTGATAATGACCAGCGGACCGGCCCTTAGGGGCTACATTGTAATGTGCTGGGAGGTTTAGGCTACAGGGTTTATACCGAGGGAAATATGTGGGGGACCGTATTGGCATCATTGGTTTCAATGCATTGTACTTCTGCCTTAGTTTCAAAGGCAATAAATTCTTTTTGAAGGGTGTCCTGAGATTCCAAAATTAAGAAATAATTGTACTTATTTTAGAAATTGATTTTAAAGTTTTATAAATTGAATTTTCTTTATTTTATTAAATAATATTCTTTGGTTTTTGAAGACTTTTTTACAAAGCAAAACATTATTTTTCATTCTAGATACAATAACATGCATATTGGCATACTTTGTTTTAATATAAGATTGTTTAAAGAGTCAATAAAATATATATATATAACTCCAAGTTTTGCAAGTCACATGACCAATTCTTAGAGAGTTGATTGGTTGAAACAGTTGATATCAGATATAACAATTTGAAATTAGAAATAAGCTGTTATTCCGGTGGGAAATTGTATCAACTCCATTTCCATAGTTTTAAAAAAGGATCTTGTAAATTGTTTCAAGGTATGATATTTCATATAAGATATCTCTAGGGTGAGAGCAGATGACATACAAAAAATCAAGTTTCACATAGCAATACTAAGTAAGATACAGACCTCTAAACTTTCAAACCTTGATTTCTCAGTTCCGTAAAAATGTGAGATAGTACAAAGTTATTCTCATGCGACGAGTAGTAGAAAGGCGAGTACTTTCCTTAAAGCAACAGAATGCCCAGTCCCGTAGTTAGGGGGAGGGGGTTAACTGGGAGGGGGTCCACTGTTCAGGGGGTTCGAGCAAACAACCACTCCCCTGGCCAAAAAATCGTTAAAACCCTCTTAGAAATTTTTCAAAATGTGAATCCCCTTGGCAAAAGCTGGTTGCGGGCCTGATACAAATTCAACAGTGAATCGGCTATAAAATTCAATTTTTATTATGTCTAACATTGATTACTGTAAGAGCCGTAAAGGTCAGAATCTGGGATTTACAATTTAGTATTACATTAAATTTGCGCATCATTTTTAGTTCATCCCCTACTTATTGACACCAGGGGAATACAATATGAGAGGGTGTCACAGGCCTAACGATGTATATATTTTATTTATTTATGTTCGTCTCACGACAGATTTAAAAATATACATTTTGAAAATTTACTTTGTTTCTAAAACACTGCCCGAGCCAATGCGGCTTAATCAGTTAAAGGGCCACTTTGGGAATTTTCAACTTTTTTGGGCAAAATAAAGACTTACATTTAAATTTCATAGTATGGCCAATGTATTGATAAGAACCTTATCTTTCATTTGATACCAACAACAGCCCAAATGGACCACAACAAAGCTTACAATAGATTATCAAAAAAATATTTTTGATCTGTCAAGCTTTATATATCACGTTTTATCAATATCATTGAAAGATGGCGAAGTTGTTTGTATTACACGAGCCTATGTAAACCAATTGTCACACTACTAATATTTTTCAATTTTATCAGTTCAATAATATGCATGGAGTATGTTCAATCCCAATGGGTCCATTTTGTTACTCAAGACTTTATCATGAGGGACAGTATGACAACATCATATATTCCAACCAATCACGGTTATCGAGTGTTTGTAATGGTGACAAGATTTCTGATTTTGACGAGTTGTTGCTAAGTTTGCATTTCTCCAGTTCTTTCGCCAGATGATTGGCTCAATGTAGAGGGAGTAAATAGGCGGGGTCTCATCTAAAGCCCTGCCACTCCCACGGGGATCCAAGTTAACTAATGGTCTACCCTTGATTATGGCACGACTGTTCGAAAGAATGATTGTGCAAAGGTGGGCGATAGTTTTTATTCAGACATTCAAGCTCGTCCTTCATTAAAGTGTACTACTATGCCGTTGATGTTATGGCAAATTCCTATTCATATTGGAATTTCAGAGAACAGCCTTCCATTCTTTCAGCAAGGAGTTTATTAAATTGCTCACTCTGATTGACCGTGAAATAGTTTTTCCAGTCGCCAACTTTCCCCTTTCTCATGAACTCACCTTTGCTAAAATCAAACCATTCTTCATTCTTCATATTTAAAGATGGATCGGCTTTCATTCTTTTGAAACTTGATTCAATAGCGATTTTATTAATGGTTTTGTCATCTAATTCCACATTCAAGAAAGCAGCGACATCTTTAATTGCTTCGAAAGGGTTATTGAGCATCGCTTCGTATGTTACAAAAAATAATTCTGGGAAGGTGTCATCCTGTTTTCCACTCCAGAAAGGTGTCACGTGATCAAACCAATCTCCCCATTCGACATATCCTGCAATAAACATATCTAGAAATTCGTCCCATGTGCCTTCAAATTTGTAATCATTACAAATGCGGTAAAAATGATAGTATGACACAATTGTATCTTTTGGATTCCTTGCAACATATATGACCTTGACCTTCTTTTCTGTCGTCTGCTTCGGGAGCATGCGCAATGGAAGATGCGATTTCATGCACCGTTGCGTTCCAATTGGGATATCATCAACTTGCTTATATTCACCAAAGATTTCAATGAATGGTATTCTCGAATGGATTGGTTTTTCATTTGCTTTGTCAATATCTCCCTTAGCTAGAATCAAGGACACAATTTGAATCATCCATGTTGTTCCTGAAATTAGAACATGTTGGTATATATGAATATAGATCTTGCTATCTCACATTTGTCATCACTACATATTGGATGTAACAAGGAAAATTGATAATCGAGTGAAATATTGTGTTTAGGAACCCCTTTTCAAACCAATTAGGATTGATTTCGGATATGCTCAGTATATTTCTACTGGTTGAGGTTAGCTTAATCAACCGATGTTCTTCTGAGGAAATTAGGATTTAGAAGCAAGGATATTGGCTTAACCTTTGAGATATGCACCATTGACTGAACATGGGTATATGCACCATTGACTAAACACGGGTATATGCACCATTGACTTAACATAGGAATATAAACCATTGACTTAACATGGGGATGTGCATCATTTACTTATATATTAGCATTGGAATACCATCATGGGGATAGATACAAAATCATTTCAGAAGGATCAGTCAGTAGAAATATGTTACAGAGCACATCCTAAATCAATCCCATAGGAGTTATTGAATGGGATATTTTAGCTTAACCGAGGCCTTCATAAAAATGTTGGTTGCATGTATAAAAAAATTTGCATTAAGAACAAAAAATGTTATTTTGAATATTTGAACTGCAACGTTTAACTGGGAAAAAATGGACACGTGTTCATATTGCAATCACTAAATACCAAGATTCTGGCGTTAATGATTAACTCACCTGATTTGGGGTAAGTGTCTATGAGAATATCGCCATCACGCATCTCTAAGGCCCTGATCGCCGGAAGGGTTCCTTTGGTTATGGACACCTCGTCAAATAGTACACCATCATAGAAGTATTCGCCCTTTATCTTGAATTTGAATCTCTCCTGTATGGATTTACAATGCTCTACATCTCTCTTAGACATCTTGTTGGTTCGATGAAGGTGTTCTCGACTATCCTCGACTAATAGAACAAGTATTTCAACTAATCACATGGTCTAGGCTTAAGAGTGCCATAGGTCAAGGTCATTCATAGAGATAAGGCCCGGGTGAATGTACTATGAGTACCATATCCTTTAGTTACGTCATTTTACGTGAGTTGAATATTCATTATTGAGTGTTTCGCTATCTTTCGCTATCTTTTCGTCTATGTTTGTTTTTAGTTAGTGGCGAGTTTTGCATAATTCACCTTTATTTTTCCTTCGTTTTTTGTAGTAAAAAGTATTGCTTATTGCTTTTTCCAAAGAAAATATAACTATGCTCGGTGGAAAAATATCTAAAATACGATAACGCAAAGAGTATTCAAATGAGCACGTAATGTCATCGGCCTTGCAAGAGCGGGCTTTCAAGTCGACTGGCATACTGTACTCTGGATATATTTCGACGCTACAAGTACGTATAGTATTTAATTTTGAGAAATCACAATTAGAGTAAAATGGCTTCAAAATCATTTGTGGGAATAACTTTGCTGTTGTTGGATATTCTGTCTCATGACTTGTGGCAAATCTTCCATTTGCCAGGTTAACATGGGCAAGTCGATTTTCAAAAAATTGTCAGATTTTGCATCAATTTCCGACCCAGAGTAAATTATGAAAAAATGAAAAAACATCGGAGGTATTGGAAATGATTTTCTGCCATAAAAATAGTTTTCTCTCTATATATTATTCAAATAAAGAATTAAAACATAAAGAGGCTTTAGCACGTAATTCAATGGGGGAGTCAGGATTTCCAAACATAGGAGGAGAGTAGGAGAGTGCACAAAGTATGTATTTTTTGTTTTGACTACTCTCTACATGTATATGTCAGAAGGTGATTGTCTTTTTAAATTCAGATCTAAAGTGTCCCGTATGATTCGCCATTATCGTTTGTGAAAACTGGATTTTTAATCTCCATTCCTTCTTTACCATCTTTTTCAAGTCCATTGTCCTTACGCGAATCTTCATCATCTGAGGTAATATACAAGTATACGCACAGCCTCGCCCTATAGATGGCGTAAAGAATAAGATGGCTGATTGGTATCAACACGAGTCCAATGATGACGTAATAGATAAGCGAATCGGACCAACTTGCACTCCAGTCCAACACAGAATAAACATACGGCTTATCTTTTGCATTAGTACCTCCAAGTACATCATATACGACTGTGAATGCTGCATAGATGGCGCCAAACAATACGGGGTGAATACCATGATAGACCCTGATAGGTTGGGCCCCAAATATGATGTCTGCGATGACGTAAACACTATTAATGGCATGTGTCATTATACTAATAGGATGCAGGACCCCACCTAAAACAGACGTGAAATGAAAATTACATAAAATGAGTAGCGCACCAGAGCTAATCATTATTTAATTGCGTGTCACGCTCCACGCTCATATTTGATGCAATGAAATAAAAAAGTAACAATTTTCATGGACACGCATTAATATTTGAAACAAAATGCAAAATTATCAATTAAGAGAACTATGTATGTATGTAAATCAACTTACCATCGTATATGACGCCCCAGTAAGCAATCGTAGTGGCCAAAGCAATCGTATAAGAAATATTGGAAATAATCCACTGAATCTTAAGGGGTACTGGCATGTTGCTATTTCCGTCTAAAATCATATATGAAACTGGTTGAAAAGTAATCACACATAATATATAATTTAGAAACCATACTAGAATGGACATCAGCTGAAGTTATCAATTTCATCATTATTATTAGATAGTCAAACACTTACAGTTCCCGACTCAACTCCGGGAGCATTTTGCTCGTTGAAGAGCTTTTTATATATCCATGTGTAATTATGTTATAATTCGTATACATTTATTTTACATTCCCGTACATATAAGTTGTATTCCAATTTTATCATTGGTAATACAGATATGGGATACAATACAATACAATACAATACAATACAATGCAATAGTATTAATGTACACAAGGTCGACATATTTTGAAGACTCTCAACTTTTAAGAATGTTAGATCTTAAGCGACGGAAGTGCCTTTTTGCATTATGTTTCACCAAAATTTTATGCATTATTGAAAAAATTATCGCCAAATTGGAGTTAAGAACAATTTTTGTCCCACCTTTTATATACGCAACCTAGGTGGTTGTCAAGGTATGTTAGTTGTCATATTAACTTAAGTTTACACACCTGCTGACTTGGTCCTGCTGTAATGTATGACCGTACATAACTTATAGATGCTATGAATGGTAATCATAAAGTACGCCCAGTTTGTGAGGTAAACGAACCATTTTATCTTATTGTCCTCAGTTGTGTACCACGTGGTGCTCCAAAAGCCACTGGCGATTATGAAGGCGGTGTTCCAAAGGGCCCAGAACAGACAGTGGACCACATAGAAGGCTTTGGGCCAACTCCACTGAAAAAGGCACATAAATAAAATGGCTTTTATCAACGATTAAAACTGGTCAGTAGCAGGAGAAGGTAACAGTATCTTCTTTTTTTCAAAATCATGCAGTTTTTCACTATTCTGAGCACTTTTCGAATGATTTTTTTGCCAAAACTGTGTAAAAGCTCCTCCTCCTTGGCAAAAGCTCCAACCCTTGGTAAAACCATGGTCTGATACTAATAAATAAGCATGATCAGAATTGTTAACAGCGTTAACCCGAATTTCAGAACATGTAAGGGTAGACAGAATTGCAATTTGTATAATTGAACTACAAATGTATTATTTCCCATCTCTAACATATCATCGGACAAATACGATTTTAATATTTGCCTTTGGAGAGGATAAACGATATGTTGTAGTCTTAAGATTTACATGTCGTTTATTTTATCGTTTAGTGCTTTATTGCATGTATTTTAAAAGAATGATGAGTATTCCCCGGGAACATCACTAGATGGATCCTTCGACTACGACGTATCATTTACCTCTTTGATAGACCTTTATCTATCTTGAAAGTTTGGGAAGAAATGTCAACTAACACTAGGGATGTTTGGTGCAGATAAGTGCCGGCAGGCTCTGCACGCGAAGGAAATTTATTTCTGAGGTGCGTGGTACGCCTGTGGAATCTGCCTGAAAGATTTCTACTAGATTGCAGCACGCAATGGATACTTTTAGGATCCATGTTAGACGGAGGAAAATTTACGCCCGGATTGAACCCCACAGTGCCTGAATGTTCCATGCTGTAAACTTAAGTGATAGTAGAGGGGTATATGGACACAGTGTTGCTAATGATACCATCCGGATAACATCTGTTGAAACCCATACAATGTAGTTTTCCCCCCATTAATCTACCATCTTACGTGGCTACATTGTATCAAATGCTGGTGGAGCCTGATCAACTCTGCTTGGGGTAACTCCTCGCCATACCTGCTTCAGTTTAATCCCCGAAAGCAGGAGGAGTGAGACTGCTGATGAAGCATATCAGTAGCCAGCGCTGTTAGAGCATCTAAGATGTTTTAAATAACCTATTTATATGCCCCAGCCTCTACTCACCCCAATGATTCAAGGTATTAAATGACGTAAGAGTTATCAAAGATCCAAAGCAAAAATCAAAATTCCTGCTACAGTGCCCACCATAATGACATCTGGATTTGCTGAAGTGAAGATATCCCATGTTAAAAAGACGAACATTTTCGAGAGGCTATACATAAGTGGATGAGAGTATACAAAATGTAAAATATACAAAACTTAAGGGATGTGTATCTAGACATTATTGGAAAGTATGAATTCTCAAATCACCATGGTCTGGAAGTGTTGATAGAAAATCCAGGTGTCATTTACTTATGATGAGCACTTTAAACCACATTTATAAAAAATTGAAGACATACACCTACATCACACATTTAATAGGTTCCCAGAAATAAATTTTAGAAAGTAGAAAATACATTGAATGATACAAGCCAAACCACAGTCTAGAACTGATTCTTTAAGCTGATTAAGGCAGTTCTGAGCTTTCAGAAAAGTGAAAAAATCTAAATTTTGAACTATAATTCCATAATAACTTGAAGACGTCCACATGAAACCTCGACAGCTATTATTCATTTAGATAAATATTGTGAATTGTAATTGTATCATAAAAATAACATGAAAATACTAATCGTGCAAATCACCTTGATTCCTATATTTAAGGTACCTCCGTATGTTAAGACATTTTAATGGCTTCCATGGAGTTCCATGTTATTTTCAGGAATCCATAACTCACTCCATATGGTTTGCATCTTTCAGTTTTGCGCAAGGAGTACACCAATAAACTTATTAGTTTAGGGTCTGTAAATATCTGGACATATAAAAAGAGAAAATCAGTGACCTGTACAAATTATGTACTTTTAAAAAGCTTCATACAAAGAAGAAAGGTTTTGCTAGTAACCCTCAACTAATAAGATCGATAAACCCGTTTGTGCAAAACCTAAAGAAGTAACCATGTATGGAATAAGTCATGTGTTTCTGAAAATGACATGTAACTTCAATTATAAAGGCATTAAAATGTCTGGACACTCGGAATTGCCGTTCAATAATGTTTACAGTAAAATTTAAAATGTTTGGAACTACTTTGAATCTAAAAAATAAGCAATCAAAGGACCACAGTATGTAAAAATAGAAACATTTATACATGGCCTAAGTTTTGTATATTTTAGTTTGGCCATACTGTAGCTTTGCTGCACATTATAAATAACTGAAATATACAAAAGTTAGGTCTTGTACATATGTTTCTATTTTTGCATGTGCTGTTGCAATATAGTCATTTGATTGCTTATTTTTTAAATTGAAAGTAGTTTCAAACATTTAAAATGTTACTGTATCTGCTCTTACCTGAGCCTCGTGGAAGTGATTTGGTTTATTATAGGCAAGTCCAAAAGTTCTCCAATGGAACTCCTCTTTACAAGTCGGTCCAAGGCAACAACAGCAAGACATCATAGGTCTTCCCAAGGGTGGTTCACTACGTCCTGATTTCTTTGCTTTATTTATTTATCTTCATACAGATGTATCCGATGGTATATTCACGGCAGCACATTTACGTGTAGTACTGAATCAATATTTTGATTTTACACCATGCAGTACAGGAGACCGTATTTATGTTATATGCGTGTATTTACAATACAATGTATTGGTACTAAGCTATATACGGGTGTTTCTCAGTCCTATATAACACGCTTAGTCATGCGGTTCTCAAACTGTGGTTTTATGTTTTATGCGATGCTATAAAACTGGCCAAAACAATAACTTATATCTCTCTAATAAGGGTTCGTACCCTTTTAGCTGAGAAACACAAACACTATTAAAAGATCAACACATTGATACCTTTTATTTACATAGTTTGCATGTATTAAGTGTGTGTTCTATTCGCAATATAATCCGGATTTGTTGAAAACGTTCCCTGCTTTGCAAACAGAAAAGTATGTCCCAGGTTCGTCAATTATATTTCAATAACCAAAAACACATACACATGTCTCTGCGATAACATACCCGTAATCCCGTATCAATAATTACAAATATATAGAGTAGTTTTGTCAATTCAATACTATACAGTGTTAATATATACACAATGCACAGGGTTTATCAAAAACATTCATATATACTGGTATATATTTTTTGCTGTACCTTTTAATTTAAACATGGATTTTCAAGACTATTTTTTCTAGAGAAACTACATCAAGTTGCTGTTTAAATGTTTTCAAAATTGGAACAATTACCTTTCAGGAAAAATTTGGCGAGAACAGTTAAAATATTTTATGACAAGATCCATTTATACCATTCAGAAACAATTGCAGATTTGGTCCCCGCGCTCTATCAATCTTTTTAAAATATATGCATTATTACAAAAGTCATCTCCAAATAATAATATGGACATTTCGCCCACCCTTTACAATTATTGTATCATTATAGCATCACTGGGAATTTCACCATTTCACCTCTACCTTTCTAGCCAAAAAGTGCCTGAATATATATTTAAAAATTTAAATACAATTGTATAAACATGTATGCTGTATCTGCAGCAAACAAATTTCTTAAATCCATGGCCATTTAAGCAGAATCGAATCTTGTTTTATAAAGTGACGTCATGCGCACACGTGTTTAAAATAGTTCTACGTTGTGCACCTTAATCGCTGATGGAACCTTTATTAGGACTTAAACCTTGTTGTTTCCTCCATAGAGCTAGTCTGTGCTCGAACCATATCTGAAAAGTTAGAAAAAACTCTGTATATTTATGTATAAGTTAGAAAAAAACTCTGTATATTTATGTAAATCATGAAGTTTAAAACATAATGACAAACTGCACTATTGTTTGAAATTACTCGAAATCAAAAAATCTAATATTTTGTTGCGTGTTTTGAAATTTTGAAAGTTTTGAATCATCCATTTAATTGTCGTTTCTGTTAGCAGCGTGACCATGAACAATAAATGTTTAGTTGGCAAATCAGTGATGATGATATGACGTGACTTATGTATTTGGTGATGACGTTTCAAGATCATGATAATGAATCAGGGGAAAAGTTTACAGAATTTTGAGAATATAAGTGTTCAATGTGTGTGGTCTTTGAATTAAGCTTTCCTTACTTTATCTTTTCGATAGGTTTCTATTCGCGTGCCCGTTAAAATACGCTTATCCATCGTACACCTTGATCACACTCTCATGGACATTGTTAATTCTACTAGAACCTAACAAACGCTGACTTTTGACTATTCTTATTCCGTTTTCATCTATTCATATAATGTAAAAAGAACTACGAAAACCTTGTCAAAATTGATACATGAATCATACACTTGTGTTATCATGTTTATCTTATTTGCGTGCCATTTTTCTAACTCATTCAAACCGTTTTACATGCTTCTTTGATCTTTTATGACATAAATGGACATATAGGTACTTAACCTCGTGTTTCTTGAGCAAAAGTATGTTTTATATATTTTTTATGACTGACGATATAAAGAATATTATAAGTATGATTTTATACATTAGATGTGAATACATTGCTTCAAATAAACTTGTATAATTGACCTTTAGCCAAAACAGTTGAGATGAATAGTACGACAATTTGTCTTTCTGGTCAAGTGACCAATCTCTCAAGCAAATATCCTACATGTACATTAAACGAAACGCAATTTCCTGCTCCTGTATGTTATAAAAGAGGAGGAGTAGTTTGACGCGTTCCGTTTGCCTATAAGATAACCCTGTAGTGTACCTATTAACGAACTGCGTTTTGTTATTTGCTATCTTAATCATTTATCCAATGGGTTAAATCCTAATGACACACTTTACATACCTTAGCATTTTCCTCAACGATGCCAACCTCTGCAGCAATAAGCATCAGTTCACAAGAGGTCGGGTTTCTGTTCTCTTTGAAATGTTCTTCTAGCCGTGACTTTTGCGCTTTGGTCATTTTCGCAAGGTCTTGAGGCGAGGCCAGTTTGGCGTCAATTGACGACATGTTAAAGGTGAATTGATTATACACAGAGTGTTCTTGTTCCTTATTGATATCTTTACTATGATCCCATGAGGCTGTTTGATCGTCAGCACAATAAATTTCACATCGACAAATTATGGGGGTCAATGTACGGCCTTTACGTTCACTCTCAAAAAAGTGTCCGTCTAGTAGAGCAATAGTCCCTCTGTCGTTTTGAATTTGCTTATGATCCCAATATCAACTGCATGATCGAGTTACCCCAAGCGTTATGCAAACAAAAGCATTTTGTGCTCATCCATTCAATCTTAGTTCATATAATGATCGTAAAGTAATGTTCCTACGTATGGTACTAGTTTCTTTGTATCTGCAATATTAAGTATCCAGTATCTGGGAAAATTAATAGTTACAAATCCAACATTGACTCATTCGAGACATCCAAAACGCTTGGCTTCTGATGAACGGTTTCAAATACACAATGTTTGTGCAACCCTATAAAATTCTAGCAAATGTACACAATGACTTCAAAGAAAGTTACTGCGTTTTACTTAGTTAAATGTAAAGTTTTGAGTGTGTTTATTTTTTATTCGCGTAAATGCAACACAAAAGATATCCCAAGCTCAAACAACACGACCATGACAATGCAACGTAACTTAAATGTGTATATAAAAAATAGGGCACATTATCAACAATACACGCTCCTGTTAACTCAATGATAACATGTTAAGCTACACATATTTAAGAAAACTTGTACGTGGACGTGGAGAATTATGGCCATCTAAGGATTTGCTTTCCCCTTGCCCAATTAAGTGAGGTACAAGGGAAATAAGGCCCGGGGAAAAATACGTCGAGAGGGAACAGTGTTCTCCGTCTACGCATAAAATGTCTTGACATGTTGGGTTAAGTGTCCCATGAAATTATTTACCTTTATTTAAATTTATTGCATCCTATTATAATCGTTTACCAGTAAACACAGAGGACACTAAACTACAATAAATTACAAATCAGCTCCGAGACAACTTACACTTTGATAACTTGGAGTGTTGCAAATGGGGTTTTGATAATCCTGAATGTTTCAGTCATGGAAATATAAGTGTACTAGCCCGTATCAAAAGAAACGGGACATCTTTGTGGCACATCATACGATCGGTATATACTTTTTTATGGACTTATAGAGCATAAATGATTAAAAGATAAAAAAAGATGTTCATTTTCACAGAATAGCCCAATGGGTAGCTTTGTCCTTTGTATCAGATTTCCATATTCAGCGTATTACCATGCTTTTGATTTAGACCCAACAATCTGCATGTAGCAATTTCATAGATCCCCATTTCAGTGACATCATTTTGGGCTCCTACAGGGTGGGCCAAAAAAAACCAATACCCAACTTCAAATCAGGATAAAAATAGTTGCATTCAATATGGTACATTGACTTACATATCATTTTAAAGGTTATACATTTCCAAACAATTTGGTATATTACACTTTGTCATGAAATCAATAGTAAAGTTTAATTATACTTATTTGGGAGGCCGGGTTGCTATTTAAGGTCTCCAGATTAAAGGGAGAAAATAGTAAATCTGCGGAATTATGTTAATTTTTTATTTATAGAATATCACTCATTTGTTAGGTGAATACATGCTTGGATATTAATATTTGCATCATTGCGTAACTAAATTTATTGTTTATGAATTTCAGTGTTGTTTAATAACATTTTACACTTTATTTAAATTTAAACAATTTTCACAATTGCTCAATATACCCCCACCCCTCCCCTCTGCATCAACAATAAGCTTCAAGTGGTAGTGCAATCTATCAATAGCCTTATTGAGAGATTTCTGTTGCAATTCATTTCAGCACTTTAGGATTCTGTTTCAACTCATCAAAGCTGTTTATTGGATGCTTTTGATTGTACCATTTCCTTGAGATGGCTCCATGTATGGTAATCAAACACATTATATGTAGCATCGGGGGTGTTGGGTGGCCAAGCATCGAGATCAGTCAAATTGACACCTTGTTTGCAAAGGAATGCCAATGTCTCCTGAGATCTATGGTACGAGGCAATGTCTTGTTGAAAAATAAAATCTTCGTCACATATACGTTTAATGTCTTTTAACAGACCCCCTTTGAGTACTAATTGATAGTAAACAACACTAAAATTCATAAACAATAAGTTTAGTCACACAATATGCAAATATACAAGCATTTATTCACCTAACAAAAATGATATTCTCTAAACAAAAAATTAACATTATTCCACAGATTTACTATTTTCTCCCTAAAATCTGGATAGCCTTAAATACCGACCCGGCCTCGCAAATAAGCATAATAAAACTTTAATATTGATTTCAGGACATAGTGTTATATACCAAATTGTTCGAAAATGGATTACCTTTAAAATGATATGTAAATCAATGTATCATATTGAACATAGCTATTTTCAGTCTGATTTAAAGTTGGGTATTGTTTTTTTTGGCCCACCCTGTATATTCATTGCATTATGCTCATTTCTTTAATTTTCAGGTTCCCATATTGAGTTACTGAAGATGATACTCCACATCATTATAGATGTCGCTACTGCAGACTCCTGTATCTCGTTGATCAACTTTGTGGACAGCTACCATGAGCAGCGGGCTATTGTGGCAAAAGCGAGTCTCTCTATTTCATCACAAAAACACAAAACTAAGTTTTAATTAAAATTAATTTATTTGTTAAAATCAAAAGTTCCGAAATCATGTTATTTACAGTTTTTGTTTTTGTGTTAGTTTTTTGACTCAAGTCCATGCAACGAGGTTCTGAAGATAAAATGTAAAATTTTAGGCCTCTTTTACTCAAAAATTTTGAGGTCTTGTCCAATTAAATCATTCTCAAAAGTAACTATTTACAAAAATTGGCCGGAATTATGTGTAAAATAATTATCTAAAATTAAGTATGAATATTAAGAATTTCTGCTCAAATTGTTTACAAAAAGTTGGAAAGTCCCAAAGGAGTGGTATCAATATGGAGAACTGAATTCAACAATGTTTTCTCTTAAACCAATCATTGAAAACATTTTGTAAATAACACGGTATTTATGTAATGTTGACTGATTAACAACAATTTAATGCGAAAATTATTTAGAAATGTTTTATATAACTGTTTTTGTTATATTTTTTGCTTTTTAGGTGCAGTTGTTTTTGCTCCTTTCTTCCAATTTTTGAGAATAAAATAAATGACTACCTGATGTGTAATTTTTTACAAGAACTCGGATAGGTGAATGTTCTGTCATATGACTTGCGACGAATGTACCATTTCCCATCGCTTTCAATGGGAATGCCGATTTTCAAAAATTCATCAGATTTATCATCAATTTTCGACCTATTGTTGAGGAAAAAATCGGAAAATTTGGAGGCATTGGATATGAAGTCAAGTTACAGTCCAACTAATAGTATAAGTGTTTTTTTTCACAAGTTATGTAAACAAAAAGTCAAACATAAAGAGGCTTTCTTTAACACGTAGTTCAATGAGGGCGCTAAGGTTGCCAAACTTATGGAGGAATTGTATGTAACCAAACAACGCTATATAGAACAAGAAAACCAGTGTAAGTGGTCAACACCTTTGGTACCTCTAAAGAATTCCACTAACGAGATGTTTCACCCACAGTGATTTAATACACATAATGTAGCCCCCCACAATTGCTATACAGCAAAGGAAAGCCTGGAACAGGAACACTTTTGGTACCCCTAATAATGTTTTACTTGGGAGATGTTTGAATAACAGTGGTTCATTTGACCTTAAGTTTAAACCTACAGTGGTTCATTTCACAGTTGGTCAGCAGATATTCTGCATCGCCTTCCGACTGTCATAACTCTGCCCGGCTACCCCAAAATATTCGGAGCTTTAAAAATTTTAAATTATGTTCAACCCTTTTTTCATACATAGTTTTCTGAGATTCTAACGGGCAACGCATACTATTACAGCTTTAAAACATATATGTTAGTGCAGTGTGTTTTTCTGAGCAAAAGTGGGCGTGACAAGTTCTCATTTGATCACAGACAAAAGTCATTTAACCTTTGCTTAAAGTCACAGGCAAATTCAGTTATGTTCCTGTATACTTTACTTTACATATATACTTTACATACTTTACATTCTGGAATGAAAAAATTAAGGGTAAGGGCTCATCATTTTCAACTTTTGTCAGGAGAAACCCCTGGTGGACACCCTTAAGCCACAGAAACTGATATAACGAGCAGCTCGAATTCAATCTTTGTATTGAATCCAATCTGGTTCATGGATCGAGTTTAAGATCTCGAACACTTGCACCATCTAGGCATTAGCAACTGAAGCATACTTCTGTCTCTTTTTGCAACAGAAAATCAAACGTATAGCGTTTTTATAGCCCCTCCTAAAATACTTGCTGATAATGACGTAACACAAACAATCTAATCCCGGCTGCATGTGACCAAGTAAAGTTGCAAACGCCCAAAAATCCCTCCCATAATTCATGATATGATGTGTCACCAAGGCAACTAAGAAAGGTGACCATATCAACGAGGAGAGGAAAATGGCAGCTAGCAATCGTCCACTCATTGCTATATCATCAATTTCGCGTCGAAGTCCTTCTGTTATGTCTTCGGTATTGTCATTTTGATCTGTTGCTTTGCTATCACTCACAATAACATTCATTAATGATATATTGGGAGCTATCGCAGTCAACTGAAAAACATAATTACAGTTTTAATCTAAATGAATATGAACCGTAATAGACTAGATGCAAGTAGAAATAATCTTCATTTACGTCATTAAATATTCAAAATTCAGTCAAAGTGAAGTCATATTCGAAATCTACAGGTAAAAGTACATCTGGAAATATCTAGAACATCTAGAAATATGATTATGATATGAAACTTGCAGTTCATTCTTTTGTGTTGCATCCTGTTGTCTAGGTCATATTTGCTCTGATTCATCGGCCGGTGCCAGGCCGATTGTGTAGTTTGTTCAAAAGTAAAGGTCAAATCTCAAATTTGAGGTCAGATGTGAATTTCTGAGTACTTGTACATGATTTAAAAAAGAATTTGGTCAATTTGAAGGAAGTTGAAATCAGTTTTGAACAAAATACTGCAATCGACAGGGCGCTTTTGACACAAACGAAAAGTAAAACCTGTTTGCGTTTAGCACAATATACATGTAGGCTGAATTAAAATCAACTAGACGAAGTAATTAAGATCTAACTTACCCACCGTCTCTTTGCTTTTATTCTGAACTGTGCAACGATGGTAGACACGAAAGAAAGAATGACAGACAAAGATATAACTGCAGCAAGGAACATATTAGGTTGCATATTATCTAAGTCGGACAAGCAAAACATGGTCTCTGGGTCAAATTCCATCCCACCCCACCATATAAACATTGGTAGCACAGTGATTAGGGCAATACACCAGGGAATAAAAGCAAATATTGGCGTGGTTCTCCAAGTAAAAATGCGCTTGTATTGCTTTGGAGAGCAAACTAATATCATCCTAAAAACAAGGAAACCTTATTTAGTATTGACCTCATGAAGGTAAACTTTAATTTTAAATGTTAGGAACTACTTTGAATTTAAAAAATAAACAATCAAATGACTATATTGCAACAGTATATAAAAAATAGAAACATATGTACTTGTCCCAACTTTTGTATATTTCAGATAGTTATGTTTAATGTACAGTAAAGCTGTGGCCTTTTGTAATTTAGGGAGTTTCAGCCATGTTAATTTTTCCGAAAATAACATGGCAGAGAAGCATCAAAATATGAGAGGCCACAGATATGATAGCTAAACTACAAAACAAACTAAAATATGCAAAAGTTAGGACATGTATGAATGTTTCTAATTTTACATATAGTGTTCAATATGGTCCTTTGATTGCTTATTTTTTTAAACCCGAAGTAGTTACTAACATTTAAAATTTTACTAATAGTATTAGGTAAAATGGCTACTTTGTCTAAAAGAAATATCAACGTTTTTACTCTAACCCTACTATCACACCAAACTAGTTTCACTACGTTCTCGAAAACGGGCTTCAACTGTGAACGAACGGACTTGACGTACTAAGAACCGTTTGGGCTCTATTTACAAACTTCATCGAACGTACTCGAACTGGTATGTCCTCTAGAATTACTCACTTCGAGAGCCATGTTAGATTTTGAAACTTATGGCTCTCAAACGGAGACGTGAACAGCTGATCAATCGTGACCTTTGAAATCGAATTAAGTCGATCCGCGGCTTACTTTTGGTCTCTAACTGTGTCTTACATCAGTATCATCAATCCGTGTAAGTATTGGAGCGCTGGAGTACTTCTTTTTCGATCAAGACTTGTAAATTGTTCATCGAGTTAAAGTTTTACAGACCTATTTCCAATATGGCGGTTTGCTAGGTGCGAGATACGCAACGAACGAAATGAATTTTGAGAATTAGTTAGGTTCGGACAACCTCCGGAGATTTACGAAAATGTCCGAGCAGAAACCGCCATATTGGAATTTGGCAGTAAAACGATTCATTCGTCTAACAATTACAAGTCTTGATCGAAAAAGAAGTACTCCAGCGCTCCAATACTTACACGGATTGATGATACTGATGTAAGACACAGTTAGAGACCAAAAGTAAGCCGCGGATCGACTTAATTCGATTTCAAAGGTCACGATCATTGAGCTGTCCAAATGCTCCGTGGGAAAGCTATTATATCAAAATCCAAATAGCTTTCGCAGGAAGTAACTCTAGAACACTCAAAATGTTATCGTGGTCGATACGTTCTACAATTAGAACGAGTGATAACGTACTAACGACGAGCTGGACGTACTACGAACGGAATCGTCGTACTTCAATCCTAATAGGGACGTTTTAACAACGAGTTGAACTGACTGAGGACGTATTGAGAACGAGGTAGATCTAATTGCAAACGGGTTTAAACTGATTAAAGTCCCCGGTAAATCGGGCTACGTATACCGCAGTGTTTACATTAGGGGATTAGAACAGTTTATTTTTATTTAGGTATGCAAGCTATATCAATATTAGGCCTTCATTCATGTACTCGTGTGATACGGGGAATCAACACGGAACAAAGATTGTTCACCTTCCTGGCTTACCTCTGAAGCTTGTACCTGGTAATCTCTTTATATAGGTTAGCGCGAGCGGTGCGCCTGCGCAGTTTTAAACTTTGGCGCACACTTTAAGAACGTATTTAAGACTGCTTATGAACGAGTTGACAAAAATATAGCTATCACAACAAACAAGTTGCCACTGCGTTCTACAAAACTGGTTTGAAACTGTGTGCGAACGGAATGAATATAGCTGCAACTTTTTAAGGTCTTTTTACGAATTTCATGAACGTTCTCAGATGGGAAGGTGATTTTAGAATTTTGAATCGATTCAAAATTCGATGTCGACCATAACCGTTCTGTAATCAGGTCATGATGACCTTCTAGACTAAGGGACGAGTTATACGACCTTGCACACCGACGTGGTGCGTTCTGGACGAACTGCGAATGAGATGGAAGTATTGAAGACTGTTTATGAACGAAGTAGCTAATTATTTTAGACATATTTCCCGACCGCAGCCAGATTAAGCCCGTTTTACGACGTGTTCGTAGGACTGGCAAGAACGGGTGAGAACTAGTTTGGTGTGATAGGGGGGTAGCGACGTTTTTGAATTTTAATTTCAATTCTGAGTTAGACATTCTAAATAGCTATGTCACACTCCAGACCTCTAATTTAAGATAAAGTCAAACGTCTTATTAGAGATTTTACATTTTGGCATGCCAACCTAAGGTCCTTACCATGACATGGGTGCACTAAGGTCCTATCACTTTTGGAAGAGTTTATTTTCATTCAAAAGGTAGTATAGGAGTCGATACATTTTATAAGCACAAAATTTGAATACACACTCAGTGGAGTCAGTTACTTGAATAAAACCTAGACATTGCAAATCTATATAGTAATGTATTAGTATAGTATATAATTTATCAATTGTGCAAAAGACCCCATGCAGAACAGTTCTAGTGATAAAGACAATCTTCCCATTACAAACCAAAGGCTTTACCAAAATGCCCAAAAAATCACCATTGATTTTTCTATTATTGCAGACATTTATGGTTAGTTTATTGACTAAATTTCACAAACAGGCACAATTCTAAAAAATCTTACTTGGAAATGCAAATTAAGGTGCTATGGAAGTTAACAGGAAATGACAAAACAAAAAATGTCAAAACCATGCTGGATTTTGAAAAATTTTTGAATCAAGATAACAGAGTTCTGTTTGGACCTCCACTCAGTTTAATTAGTTCCACATATCATTTACATGACTGGGAACACAAGGAAAATGGTTTAAATGACCATAAACATGATGAAATAACCTTTTCAGCCCTCTGAAAATGTGACTGAAAAATAGCTAAGAGTAGGTGCCCAGGAAAGGTCACTGAAGAGAATCTTTTGACTTTTTCAGAAAATGTGCCCAATATATTACTCTAAATGATACAATTTTAAAAAATTCATATCATTCTCAGAAAAAGAAAAAAAGAAAAAAAACTGAATTCTAAAATCGATCTATTTTCCTTTTAACTACAGCAATTATTATTTCAGACAATTTTTTAAAATGTCAAAGATTGTATCATTTAGAGCAATATATTAGACACATTTTCTGAAAAATCAAGAGATTCTGTTCATTGACCTTTCCTGAGCACCTACTTTTAGCTATTTTTCAGTCACATTTTCAGAGGGCTGAAAAGGTTATTTCATCATGTTTATGGCCATTCTGACCATTTTCCTTGTGTTCCCGGTCATGTAAATATTTTGAACTAGTTAAACTGACTGGAGGTCCAACAGAACTCTGTTATCTTGGTTCAAAGAAATTTCAGAATCAAGCTTGGTTTTGACATTTTTTGTTTTGTCATTTCTGTTAACTTCCATAGCACCTTAAATTACAAATTAAAATGTGTTGCATGAAACACATTGATGAATTTGTTCATACAAACTGGAGAAAGTATTTAATTGGGTTCTCCACTTTCAATGAACACATTTTTTGTACTTTCTCCTGCATGTATGGATAAATATTTTGTGTCCATTCTCCAACATGCATAAGCAAATGATTTGTACTTTCTTCATTGTGCATGAACCAAAACCTTGTTCATTCTAACGTTGTTAATCAATCAATGTGTCAAAACGAATAAAATGTACCTAAACCAGTGAGTATGAATGAATTTAATGTACTACAATATCTATAATGTGTATGAAGAGACATTACGCTCTTTCTCCAGTATGGACATGAACCAACACGCCTGTGTATATACTCGCTCCAGTATGTATGAACAAACATCATGTACTCCATTGTTTATTAACACACATTTTGTATGAACATATACTATGTACTTTCTCCAGTGTGTATGAACGTACAGAGTATTGGTTAAATAACTAGTGAAAGTACATAATATTTGCTCATACACACTGGAGAAAGTACATGATATTTGTCAATTCACACAGTTAAAATTTATTGTTTCATATATACACTGGAAAAATATAAATAGTAGTCCATACACACATACACAGAAAGTAAATAAAACAATAAAATATTGTTTTAGGCACATGGGAAATTAACCTAGTTTCGATTCATACATACTGGAGAAAGTATACACAGAGGAGTGTGACTCAGAAAATGTGACTCGAAAACAGTTAAAAGTTGGACTTTTAGAAAGGTCACCAGACAGAATCTATTGCTTTTTGAGAAAGTGTGCCAAATATATTATTTGAAATTATAGAAGCTTTTGAAAATTTGAATTCATTCCTAAAAATAGAAAAAATGAGAAACTGCTTTAGAAAGCAATCCATTCTCTTTTTATGATCACAATTTTTGTTTCAGACAACTTTTCAAAATTTCAAAGCTCCTATGACATGTATGATTCAGAGTAATATATTGGGCACATTTTCTGAGAAGTCTTTCACATGATGTTTAGGGTCATTCATTCATACAAACTAGAGAGAGTATGAGAATATTGATAATCCAATCTGAGTAATATGATAGATAGTTGGTTCTTCAACTAGAGAGTTTTACTCAGATTTTGAATATCAAATAGATTTGGATCAAGCGTTATAAAGAATCTGATCTTCTTAACTTACTTTGAGCATGCAGATACATATTCAATGGATTTACATAAAATGCAGAGTTCCTGTGACAATGGCATTTATTTTTAATGATCAAGAAAGTACTTTGCACCCTCCCGCAAAATTAGGAAGAAGCCAGAGCTTTCATTCTGCTACACATCGCATCTAGAAACATGTCTGTGTCTATCATGTAAGAAGAGAGGGTCAAGGTATTCCATGATGGAGCATTTTGGAAACCCTTCTTAGAAATTGCTATGCTGAAAATGGACTATTGGTATACACTATGTACAAGTAATGCAGATTGCTCCGATTTTCACTACGGCGCCATGCCGATTGAGTATTTTGATCAAAATTGAATACAATATTGAACAAACGGAGCAAATGTGACCCAGGCATCAGTGTAGTATGAATTTATTTTGTTAGGATGCCAGTCAGAGCTCTTGATGCAAGTACCAAGTTTGCAAACATGCATGTCAACCATGGCCAATTAGAAAAGTGCACCCCTTCTATATGATAATATAAACCCTTCCTACACCTTGGTTTAGCTTTGGATCACTATGCTATCACTATGTGGCAGAAATGCATTCTGATTGGATATAAATGATCACATGACTTAGTTCACCAAGGTATCAGGAGATGGCATGCCAAAATGTAAAATCTCTATTATCGTTGAGTGAATTTACCATTAGCATAATCCCGAGATACACTAAAGAAACACGTTCGATATACTTGCTTATGCCTGGGTCACATTTGCTCCGATCCATCGGCCGGCGCCCAGCCGACTGAGTGTTTTGTTCAATATTGTATTCAATTTGGAACAAAATACTTAATCGGTCGGGCGCCGTAGTGAAAATCGGAGCAAATGTGACCAAGGCATTACCGGTTTACTGCTAGCCCAGTTATACACCAAAATGCACATTTGCAAGCTGAGTAACAAACTGTTCCTAGAAATTCACATAATCTTACTCTGTGGAAAAAGTACAACTCTCCTTGCACTACACCTACAAAAAACAGATTTATGTCACCAATCGCTCATTTTAAAGCGTTTGGCCAAATGATAACAAACTACTCATTAATGCCTTGGTCACATATGCTCCAATCCATCGGCCGGCGCCCGGCCGATTGAGTGTTTTGTTCAATATTGTATTCAATTTTGAACAAAATACTCAATCGGCCGGGCGCCGTAGTGAAAATCGGAGCAAATGTGACCAAGGCATAATGCCCAGGTCACATTTTCTCCGATTCATCGGCTGGCGCCAGGCCGATTGAGTATCTTGTTCACAAATATATTCAGTTTTGAACAAAATACTCAATCGGCCGGGCGCCGGACGATGAATTGCAGAAAATGTGACCCAGGCATTAGTGCTGCGCAAAAACGATTTCTAGGTATCACGAAAATATCAGTAGGGCCTAGGGGCGAATAACATGGTCACACGTTATCGAAAAAACAGCTGATCGAGGCGCATCTACATTCACATAATTCTCTTGATAGACATCACGGTTTATTGCAATCGAACTCCTTTGGTGCACTAGCAACGCGCCGACGCGGTTGACACACGCGATTAGCCTACAAGATTGCCACAGCACAATTAGCAGTTTAAAGTGCGCTTGGATGAGCTGTTTTGGTTTGAAACGTTTGTTGTAATTTGCAACGCAGGGGCTTGTTCTTTTCATGACAACTAGGGGAAAAGCAAGGTTTTTACACGAAATAACTGTGGTTAATGATAATATACAGAGTGGTCCAAAAAAGTGAACCCCTGCAACAGGCTATATTTTCCTGAATACTTGCATGAATAGGCTCATAGTATCACATGTTGTAGAGAAAGGTCTGAAATTTTGGTTGATGCCATAATTTATTCTCAGTCTTACATTTTGAAGAAATTACAAGAGTGTAACAAACATGCCTAAATAAAATATTGTGCAAAGTTTTACCAATGTGATTCACGGAAATAGTTGAAACACATTGGATGATCTTAAAACAGCTTTCAGTTAGAGATTCAAGTGTAAAACCCTACCATATGACAAAGGGGACACTATTTAAGCAAGAAAATACATTTCACACATTCATTGATCATTTTGAAGCAGTTGTAACCATTCAACAGCTCAGGGGTATGTTACTTACACAAACAGTTAGAGGGGGGCCTCTTGTGGAAGGAAGTTGCCCCCTGTGACCGGGTATATGTGAAACCCTTCATCAATTAGCTTTAGAAAATCAAAAGATAATCTAATAGTCAATGTTTTGAGTCATATATCATTAGAATTGGTCCATGATTTATGAAGATATTGACATTCCAAGATCATATAGGGGTATAATCGCGATTTCAGTGGAAAATGTTTTCGTCTATGGAAGCTTAGAACATTTCTTTGGATCACAATAACTTTGCAAGTAACAAAGGTAGGATACTAGTTTTAAGCCATAATGTGCAGGATTCAAAATTGACCAAAGTCAAAAAAATATTAGTTCTTTTAGACTGCAGCTTAAAAAATGTCAGGGGAAGAGTGTTGAAGGGTTGAAGAATCGCGGATATTGAAAATCACATTTTATCTATTTTCAGTAATGTTTGGTTAGGGCTTATAATTTCTGCAAATTTCAAATTTCAAGAAAATTGTGTGGTACCAACATAAATTTTAGACCTTCCTCTCCAACATGTGAAAATATGAAAGATTTCCTGCTAGTAATAAGGGAAATATGGCTCGTTGCAGGGGTTCACTTTTTTGGACCACCCTGTAGTAAAGTCTCTCGGATATTATGGTTTAGTTAATCAGACCGAAGTGGTATTAAAGTGACAATGGACCAATCGACTTACTTTTTCAAAAATGTTGACATAATCTTCACCAAAAATGCAACATTTTATTGTATAGTTGAATGCATAGTTAGAATGTGTTTTGAGATATGTTCTATTTCCTAAAGGAAACGTTGATTGCTCCAGGGACTTTAAAGATACTGAATTTGAATGGCCAGAATGTACTGACACCTTTTCAATGGAGAAATAACATGTTGAACACTAATCTTAGAACAATTCAGTTTTTCTTTAAAGAACTATTTGATACATCAAAATAAGGAATAGTAATACATTAAACGTTGTTAAAGATGATCATATTTTTCTTTTAGATGGATTTGAATGGATCTAAAAGATATACCTGTTTTAATGGTCAGAAAATGGTCTTAATTCAGTATGTACATATATAACTGTTTGAAATGTTTGCGATAACCTACGTGAACCTTTCAGAAAGGATTGAGGAAAGGAAAAGGTATATCGTTCTCAAGTAGTACTATTTTGTCAAATTAAACGGTACTTTAAAAGTGAAAGATAACCTGCTATGTTAAGAGGCAGCACACATCCAGCCACTAATATATCAGCAGCAGCCAATGACACAATAAACATATTTTCAGGAACTCGTAAAACCTATAATTAAAGATTATAGCACTAATGCATCGCTATACTAATGATAGATAGTAGTGTCAATGCAATCAAAATAAAACTGTTTTACTCTGCCTTGCAACCCAAGAGTTAAACTTGGTCTATGCTGACAATAATTGCATCACCTTGACGACCATTCAACACTTACCATTTGACCTGCATAAGCACCAAGTTTGTTATTTCCTATAATAATATTTATAGATTTTTGCCCAACATCGAAATTGATCCACTTAACCATTATGATACTCATAGCATCTCTCTCTCTAGAAGGATAGAGATGGAGAGGGCGTGGTTTACCACGATGCCACTTAACTGTTTCATTAGTCTCAAGAGATGATAATGGGCGCGTCCGCGCATTATACTGAAACCCATTATACCGACGCGCATTATTCCGAAACCCATTATTCAATTCAATTCAATTTATTCCTTAATAATATAATGAATTACAGTACATATAAAAGTTTTAACAGGTGGCATCATTTCTGATGTTTATACCCGTGTTTATACCGACGCGCATTGTACCGAAAGGCGTGACCGAATGCCATAATCACTGTTCCACAACTAGTTACTTCGACGGAACGTCAATGTAACAGAATGGATAACTTGCTACGCAGTATATGGCATACATTCATGGTTGCGCGGTATTTATGATACGGGTGAACATGCCATACTCACCTGCGGTATATGGCATATTCCGCAGGTGAGTATGCGATATTCTGCAATGAATATGCGATACATTGATTTCAGTGAATACCCGATACTCATCTGCGGAATATGCCATACTCACTCTCGGAATATGCCATATACCGCAGGTGAATATGACATATACGGCAGGTGAAAACGTGATACAGAAAGCCTTGATTTGATTGGTTGCGAGAATCGACTCTAAATGTAAAACTACGCTGGATTACCAATACAGTTAGTGCGTCGAGTACGAATATATGAATCCTGGATTGATTGAGTAAGTTTATGACGCGAGATTGGTGACTGATACTTCTGCTAAGTTAATGTATTCAATACACAGTACTGTTGATTCAGTAATCATTATAATAATTTATAATGTTTCACTTGTTCGTTCAATCTATGCAATTGACAATTGCGTACTTCCGTATCACGTTCTCATTGGTTAGTGTGTATGCCATATACCGCAGGTGAATCTGTCATACATCGCAAGTGAATATGCCATATTCGTTGCGGAATATGACATATTTTTGTATCGTGTTTACCGCGTAATATAACTTCCTGGTTACGAATATTTGCTTTCTAGATTTAAACCTACTAATAAGTCAAGTTGCAGATTATAATTTGGCCCAAACTAGAAAATATAGCCTAGTTTTAGTAAGTTTCTTCGATTTGAAATTTGTTTTGTAAATGGAACTGTAATTCATATACTAAGCCCCTCGCTTTTATTACATTGACGAAAGCCCGTTATATTACCAATGTATTTGTATGTTACTTTGACGACTTAGATCAATGTAACAAAAGCGATGGTCTAAATGCACAAATTAAAGCTTTATTGGAAAATCAAATTCTAAACCGAGAGCATTTCTAAAAGCTAGACTATATTTTCTAACGTCGTGCCAAATGATAATCCGCAACATAAGTTTAAATCGAGAAAACAAATAAACACATATCCAGGAACTTCAGTTTTACTCTATATGAGGAAAATAGAAGTTGGTAGCTTCCTCAGTAACAAGGCATTACATTTAGACCCAAAATATTACCTGCTAAAAAGTGTAACAAGTGTTACAGATGCCAAATACTGTCCCTCGATGCTGGTTTCGAAAACATGGAGGCTTGAACAATATGTCACAACTTCTTGTTGTCGTGGTATAGAAAAAGCCATCTCTTTAGAAATGTCCTAGCAAAACATTTGGATGTCGTACACCATAATTTTAAGGATATATAAGTTATACTTAGTTATCAAATAGCAGGAATACGGTAAATTTTACTTTTGCATACAGATTTGAATTAGAGTAAAGAAACAGTGCTGTTTCATTTTTCATGTATTCATTTTCTCTCACTGTATTGTAGTGTACATTGTATGTATGTTTTGAATGTAACTGTTTGTAAATTGTTTTATTTAACATTAAAATAAATAAAATAATTATAGAAGAAACAAAAGTTTTCATTAGTGGAACATACATTAACAGCTACTTTCCTCGGGATTTATAAAATGCTTCCAGTTTTAAGAGTTCTACAAAATACGACTTGTGTCACATTAAGTTTATTTCTGCTTGAAATTCAAGTATATTCCATGCGTACATTGTCATGATTCAAGTACTACTAACTATGGGTTGCATAGTAACAAAAAATATCATCTAAAATGTCGTTAAATATAAAAATGAAATTGGTCCGTCTAATAACCGAGAAATCAAGCATTACGAATTCTCCTTTAAAAACACGATTTTACAAACCAAAAGTTTACGTGCATTTATTCATCGTGGTAAAGCATGGTTAGCCACGCGTTAAGCACACCATTGGAAAGTTACTTTTGCGATTTTATATATCGTTATGATATTTACCAGAACAAAATAGAGAATTAAACCTTAGAATGTCAATGATACACCCTGAAAGGATATGGTACGTCCCCGCTAAACGCATTCCCCAAAAAGTTTGATTCTGTAGAATTGTGTTTTGGAACATGCGGAAATACTTGAACACTTTAGAACTTAAGTACAGTTCCTAAAATAGGTCGTTCAGTTTTCTTGTTTTTGTTCTACACAACACGCGTAATTTATTAATAAGCGTAATCAGATTATTTTAAGTGTCGAAATAGCTTATTTTCCTCGACGTATCTACACAAACATATTCACTTACCTTTATATTGAGCGATCTAGAAGCGTCAATTATAATTGTTTTCACTCATCGGCTTTAGTGGCCCGCGATACCTTTTATTTTATTCATTTGAGACGCAATTGTTATATTGGCAAAAAATCAAATGTTCTTAATGATTCTTCTTCATTTTGGAATGTTTCTCCTATCCGATATTCAAAGATGTGTCTTAAATATTATACTTTACATTGATCACGATTCTTGTACTTTCTGTCTTTACGACTCCCGTTCACATTTGCAAGAGTTGTTGATTGCATTGCCTTGATTGTTGGTCGAACTTCGATTCCAACTAAATCAGATTAATCAATTAAGAAATGTAATATCATGTTTATCCAAGCAAATAATTGTAACAACTACATTATTTTTTAGCAGTTATGACACCTAAGCAGGGTAGGCTGGTGGCGTAGGCTGAGGCTACTTTGCGGTTGAACGTCGTGGGATACGGAGGTCCCGCGTTCGAGCCCCAGGTACGGAGTTGTTGATCATTGTCACTACGGACACCCGGTCCGAAGGTCCAACCGTTTACCGGCCCTTGGCATGGGTTGGTTCTCTGGCCGCTCTTGCCGGAGACAGATTGTGAGACTGTGGTTGGTTCCTCCACTAACGTGCTTTAGTAAACTCCGGGAGTCATATAGTATGGTAGCGGGCCCCCACCAAGGGCAGTAGTGGAACGACGCGAATCGGTCCCAGTATGGTTGCCTTGCAACTGAAGAGACTCGAGGAAATCATGCCATTCGCAGTGACCCAGAAAAGACTTTTGCTTCATGATTTGACGTTTTAGTTCATTTATTTACATACTTTATTCATATTACTTTCCAGGCAGTTATGATTTTTATCGGTCAAATGAATGAACGAGACATCTAGATACTACTAAATACATCTAGATAGTATAAAACCATAATTCGATTTCTCGAGCATATATAAAAGAACACTTGAAAACACAACACATAGCTGCAATATCTGTAGCATTTGGCACAGTCGGTTCCCACGCTCTGTCATTTTGTGCGGTCATCATAAGATAAGGAGGTACGGTTGATTGGACCATGGGCTTTCAACAGAGTCAAGAAATTGGCATGGAAACTTTGAAAAATGAGGTAGCAACAAAAGGAAACACCGGAAATAATCCAGAAATGTCCATACGATTGTCGTTAGTTATGGCAAGACCCCGGAGAAAAAACAGCATTCGTAGGTAGCTTGATTTTTGTACCAATTAGCGCCATGACTTAACTCAACCAAGAACGGTGGGACAACGTGCCTATGGGTCCCAATTGAGAATCAATTCAAATCAAAATCAAATTGAGAATCAGAATATGATTGATTTGCCCCTAAATAGATATTAAAGGGATGCTAAATATTGGACTTAGTTAATGAGCACCATTTTTAACTTTCAATTAGAACATGTATTCAGTGTTTCAATATAATTGAGACTGAAATATTGGGCAAAATAATTGATATTTCGTTCGTGGAATGAAAACTGATGATAAAGATAATATCAGTAGCCAAAAATGTATAAGCAAATTGAACATGGAAATGATGCCAATTTAGAAGTGTTATATGTGAAATGGTTAGAAAATGAAATAACTTCAGAATTTATAGGATCATTAAGGCACACATTGATAAAAATCACACGTCGGTTTGGAAACATTTAGAGTAAAACAAATGGATGTGTTTCTTACTATCTCCATGACAACATATCTTGCTCTTTCTCCATGACAACAATTTTTGGCCCAATCATGCAGCACACGATCGAAAAAACAGTAATGATCAAGTTCGATAAGAAATGTGAAACTTTATATTTAATAGCACAATTATTGATTTCTACCAATGAAACAATACAGTATAAATAAATGTTTACTTCATTGAATACAGAATTTACCACAGTTAAATATATTTTATGAAGTACAGGGTTTACCATAATCAAACATAAATAACAAAATTATGACTTTATCCTCTATGAAATACAGAACTTGATGGTTAACTGGAATTAAGTTTGCTGAGACGAACCCTCAATCCGAATCGCCTAGCATCAGTTGAAATATTCCTGGTCGAAACTGAGATCTAAAGATGAAAGATTTTAAAGTAAGCTTTATCTGAAAATATGTTTTTGCGCGATAGAGTTTTGATTGAAAATGAATACATAAAAACAGATTGACATCCAGTCTCATATTAAAAAGTTTAAAGTAAAAATATTATGGAAGTAAATAAAAATGAATATATACTGATGCAGTAGAATTTATCTTGGTTTTTCAACATAGCACCATATTTGATTTTCAGGCTCAACTTTTATTATTCTATGCCTGCATAATGTTACTGTGCACTATCATACATGTACATAATCATGTGACTATATGACGTTTTGAAAGAGTATAGGGCTAGATTCAAAGCACCGTTCTTACGAGTTTC